TGAGCTCGAACTCGCCGTCAGGTGGGATGAAGCTGATCGTGCGGTCATTCTCGAAGCGTGAAAGACGCACACACTGGTGAAACTTGACATCCTCCATTTCGACAGCTTTACCACGAGTTGCGCGACCTGTCGACTCGAACATGACTTTATCGTTGAGACCGAGGCGGAGTTCGGGCATCCCCGACAGGTAACACTTCATCTTGACCGCGCCCAGGATTTCAGAACGCAGAACATTACCAGTACTGCTGACCAGCAAATTCAAGCTTTCCACCACGTCAAGGAAGACTTCATTCTTTCTGTATCTGATACCCTCGCTACGCCACGACACCGCGTTTGTAACCGCTATTGGTGGTCTGGCTTGGACTTCCAGCTTATGTGATTCCTGAGTAATATATTCTTGCAAGATCTTGGTTTCTGTGGTTTGTGGATAACCAAAATCCATCATCTCATCGAGAAGTTCGTAGATGACAACAAAGTTGTCGCGTATCGACTCCTCTTCGAGTTCTTTGAAGTATTCTGTGAAGACTTCGACCACTTTGTGGAGGAAGAGGAGGATTTCTGCGGCATTCGTGTTCCGTTTCGTTATAGCGAGGAGGTAGAGGTTGTTATGTCGTATATAGAGATACTGCGGCTCGAGTCAGCCCCTATTTCAAGACTAATACGAGACGCAAAAGGCTGTGGCAGCACCTACATTGATGCCTTCGTCAGAAAAGCATGGCGGAACAGCAGACGACTCTTCTTCGGCTTCTGAAAGTAGTATAGGGAACTTCTCGACTGCTGACATAGGTATGTCTCCTCTGTAGTTCCGGGCGAGCAGGGTCTGGCGCATTGTGAGTCAATCGCCCAGACTCTACACATCCCCATTTCACTCACCTTGCCCTTCAGGTCGAGGAAGAAGAGTGCGGATGCCATATCGGAGATTCAAGAACTTTCAGAGCAGGTATATCAGGGTTTGTGCTTAGAGACAGAACATCGACGACGAGCAGAAACCAGCTGCCTAGTACTCTTAATGCTATCCCACCACCAGTATCGACATCGATAATCCGCTCATGCCGTTTGTCTCAAACAGGAAAGGTGCAATTGCGGAGAACGAGGGCCGCAGTTTCCTCCTCTATTAAGAAAAGTCGCCCAAGCACAAGACATTCCTTCCTTTACAATTACACCGCGTCCTACAAGACAGTGCAATGCAACATTTTACAACAGGGATTCTCTCTGTCAACTCAATTGTTTGACCTTGCGATTTTGGACGCGAAGAAGGAAAAAATTACATTTAGGGCTCCATAAGAACTGGTCGCGCATTTCTCTGTTGCGTGAGCGGTGTCAGAGGAGCTGTACATCTACGAATTTGTAGAGCTTCTATATAGTGGGTGTATGGTACAGGAGAATGGATTTCTATACAGTGACCTGGTCATGAAGCATTGAGCTGTGGTTGTGCAGGTGTGGTTCCAACCATGTCGCTTCTCAACCCGATGGGCTGTAATATCCTTTCTCTTACTATTCGGTTGGCGACCTGATTGCCTTGTTCCAATGACAATGCTCCAATGATCGCAAAAAGTGCTTGTGTATAAACCATGTCGGAGCCCGAAGCTGGTAGATTGTCAACCTGCAGTATCTGATTAGTGTCTCTGCTTGTTATCCGCATATAGTCTTGCACTTACATCTTTTGGCTGCCATCGCACAACTTCTGGTAACCCATATCGCGAAGCAACACCACTCATCTGCTTGTGATGCATGTAAAATTCTTTCGCACCACCATTGAGTACCCCCACGTTCGCAGTTGCAGGATGATGGAATGCCAGTCTTCCAAAAGGATCCACGTTGTTATTAACCTGGTTCGTGACATCGGCAGCTGTAAGTACTGCCAACGAGGTTTGTAGCTCGAGTATTTGACGTCCTGTAAGGAAGTATCAGCATTATTATCCTGTCTCTTTTATAGTGAATGATTCCTACCCAAAAATGACAAACGATCATTAAACCCTCTTCTCCCGTGATCGAAACTTTTGTGTGTAATAGCCAACCACTTTGTCTCGTCGCTCAGCATCTTGGGCCCCGTCCTGCCTAGAAATCTTGTGTACATAGCATCGAGGTTTGTTGGATCCGAATTGACTGTGAACAGTTTCTGCCGTTGAGGTCGCGTGCGTACAGGGGCTTTCATCGCAGGAGGTGTTTGCGCCCATCTTCCAGAAGGCTGAGCAGGTGGTGTCGCAGTTGTCTGTGGGCTCGAGTCATCTTGCTGAGATGTGTCTGTTGTCTGCCATCGTCTCTGATGTGCTGGTATCGATCGTTTTGACCTAGAGCATTGACACGCTGGTCGGTCGAGGCTTGACTTCAGCGACCGAAGGAGGGACCGAGAAGGTGCTTGCATCGATGCGGACATAGCGAGGGCAAGAGATGATGAAGGACAAGAGCGCTGTATTACTTGGTCTTGTCCTTGTGCTTGAAGGCTCGCAATCTGAAAGTCCAGCACGAGGAGCATACATTCTCACCTAAAAGCAAGTTTGCCGAGGATGGATCATGAGTAATTTAGATCATCACTGCTCAAGGGCAACGGGGTCAACACCCAATCTATGGAAACTCTTCATAGTATTTGAAAGATCAGGATGAGGCTCAAGCGAAACGTACCACTATTTGAGTCGTGATGAAAATGTCCTCGCTTTCAAAACTAGCTTGCGCCTCAGAATGCGCCTGCTGAAATCACGCCGAAGTCACCTAGCATTTTCAACAAGACCCCTTTTCCTTCGATCAATACGTTCTTAGCTTTGGTGGTACAGATGGACACTCCTGCTCGTCCAACGTCGCAAAATTGACCTGGCGATATCCAATTGGTATATCCTGTCCAACTTCCTTTTGCCAGCTGATAGTATGTTTCATGAACTCCTTGTCCACCCTCTCCGTAAAGTCTTCTCGAGCATGGCTACCACGACTTTCTTTGCGAACGAGTGCACTTTTCGCTGTCTGCGCGGCACACGTCAATAGGTTCCTCATTTCCAGTGTCTCGACAAGGTCCGAGTTCCATATCAGACTCTTGTCCTTGACACAAACGTCGTTGTTGAAAGCCTCTTCGACCTCATTTATACGCTTCAATCCAGTACTCAAACTCTCCTCGTTTCTGAACACAGCCACGTCAGTTTGCATGGCTTTTTGCATGTCACTCCGCAGGTCAGCTGTCAGCCTCGTTCCATCGCTATTCCTGAACCTTTCAATGTCTTGAAATCCTTCGATACCCATCTCGTTGGTGATCTCGGAACCGTTTCTGAGAAATGGCATTCCAGTTTCGTTGTTTTCGGCAATGTGTCCAGCTGCTGCTCGTCCAAATACAACAATATCCAACAAACTATTTGCCCCCAGCCGATTCGCACCGTGCACACTGACACAAGCAACTTCACCCGCCGCATATAGTCCGTTCACTATCTTCTCCTTCCCAGTATTAGGGTCAACATCAATGACTTGTCCTTTCCAGTTCGTTGGTACTCCTCCCATGCAGTAATGCACGGTCGGTATAACAGGTATCGGCTGCCTGGTTACATCCACTCCAGAAAATATACTAGCTGTTTCTGCGATACCAGGTAATCGTTCGTGTAATGTTTCCTTCGGTAGGTGTGATAATTGCAGATATATGTGGTCTTTATTCGGCCCACAACCTCTTCCTTCTCGGATCTCCATATTCATGGCTCTGCTGACCACGTCTCGACTTGCCAGGTCTTTCGCAGTTGGCGCGTACCGCTCCATAAATCGCTCACCCTCTCCATTCAGTAAGTACCCACCTTCACCTCTTGCTCCCTCTGATATCAGCACACCCGCGCCGTAAATTCCAGAAGGATGAAACTGTATGAACTCCAGATCTTGTAACGGCAAGCCAGCACGACTCGCCATAGCCAACCCATCACCAGTACTTGTATGTGCCGAAGTAGCAGAGAAATAGGCACGTCCATACCCACCAGTAGCCAGCACTGTGTTCCTCGCAAAGAGTCGATGCAATGTCCCACTTTCCATATCCAGCGCCGTGACACCAATACACGTAGGTGTGGGAGTGGATTTGTCCATGATCAGATCCAGCGCAAACCACTCAATCATGAAATTGCAATCGTGTTTTAAGGCTTGTCCATACAACGTATGCAGCATACTATGCCCAGTTCTGTCTGCCACACATGCCGTTCGGTGTGCTTGCCCTCCTTGTCCAAATTCGAGACTTTGTCCCCCTAGCGGTCTCTGATAGATCGTCCCTTCCGACGTTCGAGAAAATGGCATGCCGTACTCCTCGAGTTCCCGCACTGCACGAGGCGCTTCGCGACACATATAGTGGATTGCATCTTGGTCCCCGAGCCAGTCGCTGCCTTTGACTGTATCGTACATGTGCCACCGCCAGTCGTCATCGTGCATGTTGCCTAGCGCAGCATTGATGCCGCCTTGAGCTGCAACAGTATGTGATCGTGTTGGAAAGAGTTTCGTAATCACGGCTGTGTTGAGATTGGCCTCGGCAAGACCGACGGCAGCCCGAAGGCCAGCACCTCCAGCACCGAGCACAATGGCATCGTATGTGTGATCTATCACTGTGAAGGGTTTACTCGACGTTGTCAATGACGGTATAGAGGTTGGATTTGCGTGTCGACGAGCTGCATGAGATAAAGGTCTAATGAATCGGTGTTGACATATTCGTTCGTGCTGATTGGTGGATCTCTGAAGTCTCAATCTGAAAGAACGACAAGCTGAGAAGACCTGTGCACTCGTATGGTTGAGGCTGTTGCTAGTCATACTTAGCTGTCCACTCTTCGCGGCAAATGGCCTCATCTTTGCATCGAATGGTTCAAGCGACCAAACATCGTCTTTGCAGCAATCTAAAAAGTGACAAGAGAAGAGGCAATGAAGGTTTCGCTCAAATGAGTGGAAGTCCGAGAGGTGGAAAAAGTTTCGAGACGCTAGAGTTCGATCCCCGCACGTTCGATATGGGCGCTGTGCTCCACTGTGGCCATTGCCTCGGGCAAGACCTGCAGGGAACACCTGGGATTTTGTATAGGCGGTTTTCAGGCATGCTCTTCATCAAATGACCACTGGACACACAGCCCATGGTTCGTCCTTCAAGTCGATGAAAATCAATGCGGAGTGCATGTTCTCGATGCAGAATTTATGTCGTTCAGGCTTCCCGCGATGTAGTGAATCATCCTTAACACATGTTATGAACTCGCACGGCTGATTTCCACATTGCCAGTGCGACCATCCAGTGTGGTACTCCTCAGCTGTGTGTTATTGAGCTATCGTCACATCCTGGGCATTGGCAAGAAGAACGAAGAGAGTGTAATCCTATGATAATCGCCAGTGTTTTCGTCTAGAAAAGCCGCCATGCCTCGAGCGAAGACAACATTGGGCAATTCAAGTCCTGCAGCCTTCTGCTGGGTTGGACTCAATGGGCGATCTGGTTCTTCCGATATTCTGACAGGCATTCTTGCCCAGACTTCTTGAAACTTTCCGCCTCTGTGTGGGTCGTAAGGGCTGCGAATAAAGTATATTTTCACCAGTCCGCTGTGCCAGAATTGCTGGTCTTCCCATATTCGGACTCTTGCTTCTTCGGGCACGTCTTCTTGTCTTGTGACTATTCTTCCTTCTTCTTCCAGCTCGATTAGACTTTGCAGTACACTGCTACCAGTACTTGCCCTCATGTCGCCTTCGACGTGGTCATCTCGTCTGAGCAGGCTCAAGGCTTCACGCCTGGTTTGCGGATCTCTACACCTTCCTACCACAAAGGCCAAGGTGTGAATGATACCAGTATCAATGCCGAATGAGACTTTTTGACGACGCTTGAGAGTGAATGTCTTACTCACATGCTCGTATATACGCACTATCTCTTTGAACTTGTGTATGTGCTTGTCGTAGATACATTCTTGCACCGAACCCAGAGTGTCGAAAAGAATCTTTGTGACCAGTCCTGCTGCTTTAAGTAACATTTTTGAAACACCGAGGTTTGGATGTTCCTTGTAAGCTTCGGACGGAACCGTCTCAAGGAGGTCGTGCCATTGAGTGAGGAGTGACTCAACCAGATCTTTCTTGTCACAATAAATTCCAGTTACCTCATCGATACTGGTAGTATTGACTACTGACCAGGCAGCAATCATATCCAGACTGTTTCGAGCCTCTAGCAGGGTAGTAAACTTCGAAGGTAGATTCGGCACTTCAGTCCGAGGTATGTTTTCAGCCTGTTTAGCGTCAACGTGTAGAGCAAATGCAGACGGTAAGTCCACAAGAAAACAGTATCTTGTGCCTAGTCTTTCCACAATAGGCTTGAGGTAGTCCTGCAGTAGAGTTGTCTCACTCGACGTCAGCGTTAGTGTGCCATCAGCAATTTGCTGTTCGAGGTCGTTGATCAGGTTAGCGCTTGTTCGTAGCATCTGAAAGGCAACAGGATTGCTTTGTAGATTTTGCAGGCAGACCATAATGATACAAGACATCAGCGCCACAGTGTGAGATATTTGTCCCTGGTTCGCAGCAATAGCGGCCTTCGAGCATTGTTGCCACAGCAGTTGTTGCAGCTGGTTCTCCTTGTCCGCATCCTCATTGGTCTCGAGCGACTCGTGCAAAGCTCCGAGCGCAGTCACGCTGTGGAAAATGGATTGATGAGCCGCAGATGCCTGTGGCACGAGAACGTTCCAAAACGACACATCACGATAACCAGACCATTCTTGGGCTGTGCGTTTGAGAAAGAACAGAAAACTACGTCTCTCCTCGGGTGTGCCTCCAGGCAACCACGTCAATGCTGAGGAAAGAATGCGAACGTCCTGCGTTCTGTCGTCTGCCATACGACTGAGCTGCTGATCTTCAGACTCGAATTCACTGTCTTTCAGCTCGCCCATACCGAATTTCGAAGGCGCGGATTGATCACTAGCAGCAACCTTGCCATTCCTTCGAATGGTTCGAGGAGGTGGCGCCGATTTTCTTCTCTGCCTCTGCTGAATGGACAAATGCTGGACATGGGCTCTAATGCGTGCTGTCTCGGCTTTCGAACTTCGCGACAGATGTGCGGATGTGCTGTCTTTATTGACCCATAGCAGATCGCTATTCATTGGTGCATTGGTTGTAGCTACTGGGCAGCTACCGATTTTGTTAGTTGAACGCTCGGCTGGTCGTTAAAAGATGGAGTTTTTCTTCAGTCCAAACAATGTGCGAAGCATTACGGATTATCGCCTGCGAGATCCCTGTGTGCAACGTCGATGGTTAGTACTGCAAGACCATGAGGAAAACTGATCTACAGGAATTCAGCGTTGATTCTGGAAATTCCGTCGCCGGGCCGTCCTTGCAAGAAGGAGGAGGTGTGGATAGAGGTATTGAGGTTCTAGAACGTGACTCCTCCAGGCAGAACCTTCAAGGCACCGATGCTTTGGTCAGCCAGCTTCGGGGCAAGGCAATTCAGCCAATAGTCATAAGATCGCTTGGTGAGGACAATCGCTTGTTCTCCGTTAAGCTGACTGGCCGTTGCAGGAGACACTGGCATGCTGGCAAGTGCCTCAATAGGCTAGCCTATACTACTGCCAGTATTGAGAATTATTGCACGTGCCGTGCTTATGGTACAGAGTCTCCAGAATGCCGCGTTGCAGTCAAAGCTAGTAGGGATCCCAGGTCGGAATCTTAACGTTCATCCCCAATAATTCCTTCCTTCGAAATTCTCGAAGATTTGTGTATGGCTTGTGACCTTCCGCACTGTGCTCTTGCCATGACTTAGAACCTCAAAAGGCCAAGTCTTGTTGATACTCGAATCTACACAACCGCAATATGGAACGTGAGACAGCGCAATCTGTTCGATCTCTATACGTACCCAATGTATCGTTCTTTCATGTTGCTAAGGTTTGAATGAGCTCAAGCACGATATCCACGTTAATCCTCGACTCGGATGTTTGGGGGCTAGGCTGGTATGCGCTTCAGTAACTTTACCAATTGTTAGCTATAGTATTCTGTGTTCCTATTTATATGCCCGGGCTACCGCTAATGCGGCTTCGCAGGAGCAATCTGTATCATACCGAGCGACACCATGTCGCTGTAGATCGTTACACGCTGAAGACCGTCGCACCACACGATCGACTGATGAGGACGGACAGAGATGACCGTAGGGCAGTAACTCCAGGTGCTCCCAACTTGTTTCATGGGCATCAGCTAATCACATACATTGAAGCCTCCACATACGATGCAAGGTCACACCAGCTGCGAGCCCACCAAGGACAATAGCCAATAGACTCGAGCGACTTAACCATGCCTCTTCCATTACACGCGGTACAGTCTGAGAGCCGCTTTTGCTCACCTCAGAGTTGAAAGCTGACTTTGCCGAGCCGGTGGCATCGAAATCCTGCCACTTGATCTCTTCCAACAGACGCTGGTAGTCGATAGCTGTTCCCGGCCAGTTGTTCACGATTATACCGTCGTGTCGTTTCCACCAACTACTGCAGGCAGGATCAGAAAAGCTTGTGTTCTGAAGCCTATCTTGCAGCTTCTCCCAATGACGCTCTGTTACTTCCTTCTTCGGCCATACAGCCAATGTGCCATTGCCGGCGTTCCTGCGCACTGTAAACACTCTGTTGATCATAGCTGCAAGACATCGTGCTTGAGCCTCTATTACCAAGATCAACGAGTTGTGACTAAGATTTGTATTCGGCCCATAAAGCATGCCAAAATTCGGAATTTCAGGTATGGCAATGCCTTTGAGTGCCTTTGCAACACCATTAGGCCATATTTGATCGAGCGTCTGACCTTCGCGGCCAACGATGTGCAAGTCACCTAAGAAGTTGAATGTGTCGAAGCCCGTTGCAAGAATCAGAACGTCGATATCTCTTACTTCGTCAATACCCTGAAACTTGATACCATTTTTGGTAAGCTTTTCGATTTCTGATGTCTCTAGATCGACGTTCGGTCGCTTCAAAGTCGGGTAGTAGTCATTGGTTATTACCGTGCGTTTGCAACCGGGATTGTACCGCGGCTTGACCTTCTCTTGTAAGTCGGGACGATCACTCAGCTGTTTCTCCAGAAGTCCGTTGTTCATCTGTCGCATCAGGTCCGCATATTTCGAATCAGCTTGTGTAACCGCTTGGTGGAAAAGCTCTCGGAAGTTCATGTTCTCTGCCCTTATTCTTTTCCTCACAAGAGGCACGTTTGCTCTCAACCATCGCTGCCATGGGGAAAGCTCGTTGTCGTGTCGTGGGATAACGAAGCCAGGATTTCGTTGGCATACAGTAAGGTGCTTTGTGATTGGCGCTATTTCTGGGACTACTTGAGCACTTGTCGCACCTGCCAGGATTGAGCAACGATCATGGGATATCTTGGATCAACTCACCTGTGCCAACGATTGCCACCTTCTTACCAGTTAAGTCCAAGCCTCTATCCCAGCGTGCAGTATGCATGACTCTGCCTTCAAAACCCGCCAAACCAGGTATGTCGAACCCCTTTGGCTTGCATAATTGTCCGATCGCGGAAATCACATAGTCACTCACAACTTCGTACGAAGTGCTATATTCAGAGTCCTTACCACCATCGATAGTAACAGTCGTATACCACTTGAGCTGGTCGTCGTTCCACTCCATTTTGCGAACAGAACTATTGAAGCGGGCATGCTGATATAGTTTGTATTCTTGAGCCACGTCTGTCAGATAGGTCTGGTCGAAGTCAGTTGTCTGATACCCATTCTGTGCTAAGATATTACCAGTATCTCCTCCTGACCAGGCAACGTCCTTGTGAAATCGAATTTTTGAGCGAAAGAGTAGGAGTACAATGAGCTGAAAACATCGCATGCCGCGCCAGGATAGACATTGTCTCGCCAAGTACCTCCGAAGCCGCCACTCTTCTCAATGATCACAATTTCTCGGATGCTATATCGCGTGATGAGCTCAATGGCCATGGCCATACCACTAATACCTCCGCCGATTATCAAAACCCTGGTGTTTGTGAAAGCCGGTGGTTTGGCCATGGCACCAGGCTTCGGAACTGTAGTGGAGGCTGGTAAGACTTGTAAGACAGCCTTGCGAACAGTATCCTAACGAAGATGTTCGCTTTCCTCGGCGCCGCTTGTTGAAGGACGAATATACTGATCTTATCCTGTTCTATGAAACTGTCGTGCCAGACTCGAATAACACTCCGCGACTCAGGTGTTGTAGTGAACTCGAATAAATATACAGTCCTACCGGTATTCCGGAATCTGGCAGCGAAGTTCTGTCAAAGGTGTAGTAGAACAGAATACTGAGCCAGCCTAGATGTCAGGATACTACCGCATTAGGAAAGATGTCAGTAGTTGGGTGCAACTCGTGACAAGAGCTGATGCTGTCCCATGGTTTGAATCCTGTCAACTGGGATTGTCCAATTGCTGAAGGACGCTTACGTGCATCGCCTTGAGTGACTGACATAGATCCTGCGATTCGTCCGTGTCACGAAGACAGAACACATGGTTATTAGCCAGCCACATCCTCTGCGACTCTGCTAGAAGAGCTGTAAATCGTACCCTTTCGAGACGGAATACGCAACGTCGATTCGCTGGCTATCCAACTTGCAGACCGAGGGGCACCCCGCAAGACCAGCTACTGAGGTCTCGATCTTACGACAGCCAACGAGCATCGATCAGGCTGAAGCTCGAGCTGCGTTTCAGACTTCAGCTGATACGCCGTTGCGCACAGGGCAGGAATGAGGGGTCCTGGAGGCAGAAAAGCAGAAGGACAGCTACTACTGGATCCGTATAAGTGGAGAATGCCGGGCAGATTGTCTTTCGGGCCGGTACCTCCTTCCTCGACAACGCTGCATAGTAGTCCCAGCATGCAACATTGATGCTTTTGCTGCTAAGAGCGAGAGAAGGCGTCGACGAGGATCATCGACAGCGTATGCAACTGTTGTGGCTTCATCGTTAAACTTGCGATTGTATATCACTTCACGGGTAGTTCTACCGACACCTAACCGAATCCCTTTTTTTTATCTATCTCGATCTCCAGAAACGCCTCTCCATTCCATACGCGCCATGCCTGTGTGTTTCATCTCTCCATATAAACACTAGTCACCACTACCTGAATTGGATACTTAGGACCTCCTCTGTTTCTTATTAGGTCGAGCATCATTATCGTCCGTGTTGTCAAAACCTGCAAATTCGACCAGATCAGGAGCATCGTCGTCTGCCTCATCATCTTCGAGTTCCGATATGTCATCGTCGCCATCGTCTGTATGCGCCTGAATGAAGTAATCCACGCAATTCGGCCACATGTCCTCGGCTAATACCTGCGCGATGTCGCCGCCGGCTGGATAAATCTCCACCTCCAGCAGACCGTCAGCTTCGACATTCTCGTTTTGGTCCTCGTCCTCTTCCGCATTTATTGCTTCGGCTTTTTTCTTACTTGTGGCTTTTTCTCCCTCCTTATTGGGCATTACAACCCCTCGATATCCAAACCACTCGAGGAAACTGCGACTCGCGTTCTGATCCTCGCCGTTGGTTGCCTTGTCTTCCTCCTTTTCCAGTTCTGATCGCAACTTCTCATGCTGCCACAGTCCTTCTCGCTCTTTCTGCTCAATATCACCATCTTCTACCAACGCTCTCTCGGCCTGATACAATTGCTCCGCCAAATCTAGCATTTTGTTCAGTTCCTTCTTCTTGCCAGCCTTTGTCCACTTAAAGTTGACCGGTTTTGAAACATAGCCACCACCCTCTGGCAGATCGTCTCTTGACACAAACTCAAAGTCTTTCGTCACAGTCGTGTCCTCGAAAAGCTTGGTTTCTTGCTTAGATGTGTCGAACTCGAACGTGAAGCGCAAGCTCCGGGGTTCACCTTCTGTCTCTGATGTGATCTGATATCGCGAGACAGTGAAGTTCTTGATCGAGTTAAGTACCTGCTCATCAATGTCCTCGTATGTTTCTTGAATTTCTTGCGGACCTGCGATGAAGACCGTTGGCCAGAAGCTAGGTAGTTTGGCTAAATGTTTGCTCCGTTTCTCGTACAGCGCTTTGTGTGCGTACTCTTTCCGGCGCACTGAACGAACATATTAGCTGGTCACCCTCGTAAGCTATCGCTGGACCACGTACTCGCATCGAGCTCGACTGCCGCAAAGTCCTTCTCAAGTTCTGCTAAGCCTGAGAGGGCAGTCTGAATAGATGGATCGGTCATATCCATTGTGTCGCGGGTGGCCTACGCCAGGAATTTACAGTGCGTAATTGTGCAGGATGGTAAAGATATGGGTTAACAATACGACTTTTACTTCTCTAAATTGCTATTATGCGACGGCACTGGAATAAAATATTTGGAGAATCAATCAATAAATTCTGGTATGATGTCGATTCATGCCTGAGGCAATCGCAACGGAGACTGGTTTCTCCCGATTGAGGTGGAATTAATCTGAGCGAACTCTTTCATGAAACCTATCTAATTCTGATTACGCAAAAGCAGCATATTGTGAAGCTTCTTGCCTGAAGCCGTACATGTCAAGACTACATGGTACTGACGTGCTCAACCATCATCAGTGAACGAGGACCAATGATCGAACTCGCGTACGTGTACGCTTCTATTCATGATGACCGCCCTTCGACAAGCATAGAACTCCCGACAGTGACCGCGACAAAGCGCACTGGTGTTAATGTTCTTATCAGTCGCCTGAAAAGTATATATCTCGTTGTTATTCTAGGTAATTGACGACCTCTAACATCTGCTGACTTCATGTGAATGACGTCGAATGGTAAAGACCAACACCGAGATCTTGAGCTTCTTAACATAACCGTCCTACCACATACCTAGGGCATAGCACAATTCGATCCCAACACAGCACACAACAAACCATGGCCAAACTAACAGACTACCGCCTCCTCTCCTTCGACTGCTACGGCACCCTCGTAGACTGGGAAACCGGCATCCTCACTAACCTCCAGCCTCTCCTCTCCCGCGCCCCCTCTTCAGCCAGCCTGCCCAAGTCCAAGATCCTCGAAATCTACCACACCCTCGAAAAGACCCAACAAACCAAAACCCCAGATATGCCATACTCCCAACTCCTTACCACAATCTACCCGCAATTCGCATCTGAAATCGGCATCAAAGACCCCCCAACCGCCCAAGAAAGCCAGACATTTGGTCACTCAATCGGAACCTGGCCCGCCTTCCCAGACACCGTTGACGCCCTCCGCCGCCTCTCAAAGCACTATAAACTCGTTATCCTCTCCAACGTCGACAGGCAGAGCTTCCGCGCCAGCAATGCGGGCTCTTTAGGCGGTGTGCAGTTTGACAAGATCATTACGGCTCAGGATGTCGGATCTTATAAGCCCGACTTACGGAATTTCGAATACATGCTGAAGAGCGTAAAGGAGGAATTTGGAGTTGAGAAGGGAGAGGTGTTGCAGACGGCGCAGAGTCAGTTTCATGATCATCATCCGGCGAGGGAGATGGGGATTAAGAGTGTGTGGATCGAGAGAGGGGGGACGATGGGGAACGATGAAGAGGAAGTGTATGATTGGAAGTTTGAGACGTTGGGTGATATGGCGGATGCTGTGGAAAGGGAATTTGAGGGGTGATCGAGGTGATGGTGGTATGTGGAGGAATAGGACATTTCATGTGTAGCGTGGTTGGAAGTCACATTTTGTATCCATCCAGGTATTCAGGAAATGATATAGAGCTTCACTTACTCCTCTTGGTTCTCGCTATGTCTCCAACCACCGTGCTCATTTCAGCGACGCGACTTTGAGTAGCCTGAACGATGGCCGTCCAGCTCGTTCTGTATGTACTGTATCAGAATTCCTATCACTGAGCCGGCTCAATCACTAGTAGACTTTTTTGCCCTGACTCGGGCAGGCATGTACGCCAGCTGACTTTTCCAGCACAGCAGAACTTGATTCTGACTCTATCACAGTATTGATCAGTAATGTTACGGCCAAATCTGTCAAACCACCGATCACATGATATAACAATGGTGCATCGGATATTACACAACCTTATAACTCAAAGGTCGTGTTTCTGTTCCGATTGTCGAGCACCTGAAAGTGTTGGCACTGCAGAATCTCCGCATGGAGATTCTCCCGCTCCTTTTCGGAACCAGCACTATAGAATTGCGGAGAGTCTATCTGGATAGATGGAGCAGACAACCATAATACGATGGCTTGAAATTGTGATCGAGACAGCAACTATTGCTGTCAAAAACTACCATATGATAGTACCTCGTTGTCACAGCCCACAATGCCGCTCAAAGTCCACCACCACGTCTCTTCGGAGATGGGCCTCTTCAGCGTTACGACACTGGTAGAGGGAACACAGGCTTGCATCCTCATCGACCCTCCGTTCCTGATACCAGACGCAGAGAGCGTGATTGAGTTCATCAAGTCGAAGACCAGCAAACCTCTCGTCGCCGGTTTTAATCACTCACCACCATCCGAATCATTGTTTCAGCGCTAATCCTATTCTCGAAGCTTTCACTACTGCCAAGCTCTATGTGCATGAGTATGTGCTTGCAGGTATAAATCGGGAATACGACGAGAAGGTGAAGTACTGGCCAAGCGTGTTCGGAAAGGAAAACGTGCCAAGTGATCCTTCGCCAAGGAAGCCAGAGGTATTCCGATATAGTTTCTTTCTTCTACCTGGCGATGAAACCAGCCCAGTGGGCCTGCTTGGACGAGTGCAGCGTGACAGTATTGATCATACACTGTTTTAGTTACCCACAGAACGAACCATTATCACTGGAGATGCTGTGTACGCTCGTTCTGTTCATGCTTGGGTCGAGGAAATCGAGACTTACGATGTCCTGCATGCATGGCGGCTTACTTTAAAGCTTATCGGCTCACTGAACCCCACAACCATTATTCCTGGTCATATTGAGCGAGGTTGGGAACCAGATGCAAAGAAAGACTTAGAATACATGCACAAATATCTGGATCTCTTCGAGCAGAAGATTGCTAAACCAGTCTTCGTGGAAGGCAAGAAGAAGCCAGAAGTGGATGATTTGTATCAAACGTTCAAAAAGGCTTTCCCGGATTGCGAAAAGAACCTAGATTTCTTCCTAGGAAAGATGAGTAATGCTTTCGGCGAAGGCGGTGAAATCTGGGAGGAGAACTGTCGACATCCCACCAAGGATAGATCAAAAGCAGTGCTGGAAGGCTTCATGCTGGAAATACCCAAGACACATTGAGTATTCGTTGTGTATATCCCCACTACTATCTCTCGCCACTCCGATTTCTAGCTTGCAATTTTCCTTCACCACCATGACGTGTCGTGAGGAACCGACCCAACCTCCTTGAGCAGCTTTTTCACTTGCACGTCTGCTGCACCACTTCAGCAAATAGTGAATTGGATCCCCTCGTGAGTGCTAAATGACTTGCCGTCATAGCATGGTAAAGATCACGAAAGTGGATAGCCCACTTTCATAGAAGACTTGGGTTGGCACAGTTGAACCAGAAACGTGTATTTTTCGGAGGAACCGCTCGTACACGCACAGCATCGCTGCATGGCACAGGATTTCCAGCTTTGAGATTTCGGCTGGAGTCTATATTCATCTCAAGCGCAATATCCGTGCCATATCACCTCTCGGTCGACGGACTTGGTATTTGGTGGAACACTTCTTGGTAAGGCATGCTGGTTAATGGCGAACGAGGGCGCAAACTGCGATTGCGGCGTTTCAGGCATGCCATATATTGGAGGAGTCATAGTCGCGTCATTGTGGTTCGCAATACTTGGGCTGTAAGTCTCGAACATAAGGCGTTCTTGATTTTGCTGCGATTGAGGTGTAGACACTCCATCAGTGTGAGATGTCGGCCTCCCTGAGAGGGAAGTTGATTGTGCTGGAGATGGTATCTGTATGTGTTGTGGTGGGGCTTTCAATCGTGATCTGTTGTCCGTGTCTTGAGGGCTTGATTGCGTGCTAGGACTATCTTGCATGAATGCATCGAGGGTTTGTGGTAAGTGGGCCAAGGGGTTGGATAGATGATGTAAGTTCTCGGAGACCTTGGCCATTAGCATTGGGACGTAACGGGATGCCCCGCCTCGTAGTCGCGATATTAGGTTCAATAGGTGGTTCAAGCAGTTTTGTGGTTGTTGTGCTTCACTGATAGTCTGCTCGATAGGCACGTAGGCAATCACATCGGATAGAGTGCAGGACATATCGAATAGTTTTTCGATCTGCATGAGGTTAGCTTTGTACAAGGATCACTTCAACGCACTCACTAGACCAACGCCGTGCACTTCCATAGCCTCGATATTCATGCTGTTGACATCTTGTATCAGGTCTTTTGCAATCTCTATTGGATATCTGAAAGACATCGCAAGATCAGAGCTACTAGAGCTAAGATAGCCGTTTGATATAGACAGCTGCCACACCATACACCTCAACCAATGCTGTGTAATTTTGACATCAGCGGCCTGGTTTTCTGTACATAGTAGTACTCGTGGTAGAGCATCAACGAGCTGATTCTGCAGCCTGGAAAGATAGGAAGGTGTGCACTCTGTTTTTGCTTTGTTCCAGAGTACCATAAACTCGTCATCAATCAGGCGAAACAGTGAGGCTAAATATAGAAAACCATGCAAGATCGGCGCGTCAGGTGAGTTCACATCAACTATCGGTAGCTCGATCGTGGCCAACATAGACAATGGTTTATGTCTGTGGAGGCAAAATGCACGCTCGGTGACAAGGACTAGCCAGTAGAAACGACGATTTCTCTTGTTCTCCTCGGGGTCACCAACCTTGTATGTTGCTTCTTCGTTCATGCCTAGCATATGAGCCAATGTTGTCGCTTCTCTGAGATGGTACCAAGCAGCATTGGCTTTCTCTAGACCGAAATAAGAGGCGAACATGAAGAACGAGGCCTGCACTGAAAGTAACGTAGGGTTGTCGATATAGTCGATACCCTTGCGCATTCTGTGCACTTCTCTCAAGAGCAAGTTAGCTAGACGATATCGAGAAGCTGCTGGATTCTCCTCATAGCTGGCTGGCATCGGCATACCCTTGAAAGACATGCCTGGCTGTACAAGGATAAACGAGCACAGAGAAAGTGCCAAGCAGTAGACCTCTGGTGGACCGTGGCGATACTCGGCAACCAGCCGGCTCAGGTATTGCCGGCTGAATATTGGCATGGTAGGATAAAGATGGTTAAAGAAGAAACTAATACAACTTTCAACAGTTGGTGTAGACAAGAGATCCAAGTTTCGAACATTGTCCGCTGGTGACATGGGTGGCGTGTTGAAATCGAAGGGATTGTCTTCAGCTTCATGGCTGTATGCCGTTGGTGTTGGTGCTAGTGCTGGCGCCGATGTTGAGCTCTGGATAGGTGAAGGAGGTGTTGGTGTTTCTGAAATCGATTTTGGTATCTGAGTATCACGTATTTCTGAAATGACCTTCGCTCTTGAACCTTTAGGACCCTTCTTCTGGGGAATTGCTAGGTAAGTACATTGCAGGTTCGCTGAGCCGCAATTCTTGCATGGCAGACCTCCAGAGCAACGGACTTTACGCCTATGACACGCATCGCAAGCCTTCTTGACTGGCGGCAAAGGCATCGTGGTCGTATGCTGATCGGCCTTTCGGATACGCTCATCTGGTCGGTATAATACTTATGCTGCTTCTCCAAAGGCTATACCAAGTGACTTGGACGATGAATTCCCCACAGATTGGAAAGATATCGGATTAAAGCCGTAGATCATCAAATCACCCATGATCAAAGACTGGCATTCTCTTTGACGACGAACGAGACTCGGCAAATGGCGAAGACTAGTGGATGTGAGCGGGAACAGAGGCGTGCAGCACATGGATGAGAGGCTTGAAAACAGTTCGTGCCAATTGCCAATGTGGAAGGTCCAACCAAGCGGCTTGAAGATGCTTTGCGGGCCAGCTGGCTGAGCAAATCAACAAGAAAAGACCAGCACCCAAGAAACTCAAAAGCTTGGGCCTGGAACACCACCACCAACTATATGACTTGCTCGTGCATATTGCACGAGCTGTTTACGTTTCTTTGCTGGGCTATAGACGAGGCTCGCTCCCAACATGCACTTTCACTGCTACCATGCAATTTGTGAGGGTCAAGAATACGACACAGACCACGCAGGTTTCACGGCACGATTATGTATAAACGGGACGAAAAATGAGTTCATTTACGTGCTTGCCCAAACAGCACTAGAACAATTTATTCGAGTCTAATGCTGGCTCGAAATCTTTCTAATATCGTTGAATCGAAGGCGACTTGTAGGAAAACACAACAAGTTGTGTATTCTAGCTCGAGGAAGACGAAAGAACAATTGCCGCCCCGCCACAGATATGCTCTGATTCCAATGTGGCGCACCCAGAGGATTCAGAATTGAGTTGAGCAATCAGGATGCAATAGACATTATTTTCCACCCATGCTCTGAAAGACTTCTCTCTGTGTCCGGCGGTCCTGTTCGACCTGGCCTAAACTGGCCACACTCCTCAAGTCTCCCACCACGTCCTTGGCCTTGCCAAAATACACTTCTTGCAACTGATTCCTCATCTTGCCCTCCATGTCCTCAACCAGACGACCAATGTTGGCCACATGGCCGCCATCTCGACCCAGACTTCCAGTACTCTCAATTGCAAGATCACTTTCCACTTGTCTCGTCAAACTGCCTGCTAACGTCAAGCTACCTACAGCATCGTTGTCCTTGCCCAGGTGTAATATGACTGTAGATGTGAGTTTGTAATGTGCACTCTTGGACGTCTTGCCCCGTTCGTCGACTTCCACGACATGTATACTATCCCATCCTGCAGCATCTTCACCTCGTCCACTCTCCTTCTTCAACAGCACCACGCCTGCGAAGCCGTCGTCGAGGTCCCAGAGGTATACACTACCAATGCCGCCCTCATAGTATAGACTTCGATAGACTGTAAACGCTTCGTTCGCCTCAACCTCCATGCGCCGTACCCGATCAGATGGATAGGCTGCATCATCGATAGGTGGATCGAACTCGTTCGACCATGGTGAGCGGAAGGAGTCACCATCACGGTTGTAGTCGCATAGTAAATAGTCACGGCCGGTCTTTTTGCATCTGGCTACTTCGAGGGGCTGGTCGACTGCGGAGAGGAGGTCTTCTTGTATATCTGGGACTAATTGTGTGATTTTGGCTAGATTCTGTTTGATTTCTAGTGGTGAGAGACGGCGGAGGAGATCGCTGTTGATACAAGTGGCGTTAGTCCAGTGGTCTCACAGAGATCTCTTCGGTATGCTCTCCCGTCAAAAGGTAAGGGGTAGTTACTTAGACGTACAGAGCTGCGTCGAGCTGCGTATCTGCGCTCATTGTATCATAGGCTTTGCGCCGAAGCTCGACTTTAGAATTAGTGGAGAATGTCGACGATGTTTTCAGGTGCGAGACGTTCTGTTGAGCAGAGAGTATTAGGTAGTAGCCGTGCAGAGAGAATCACTAATTTTGAGATTGTGCTTGTATTCGAGGGACTTGCACCAAGTTTGTATAGGCCATGGTGACCGCATTTTGTTTAGGCCGAAGTTACAGCCCGCGACAGCCCGCAGGAGCCCACAACAGCCTCGTCTCCCACCAATTTCCAAAGGTCAATAGTACATCAAATCTTGACTCTTTCCCTACTACTCTGACCAACGATTTACTTAGTTTCTAGATGCAGCATTCTTTGAGAGATGTCGAACATGATATGTCTTGGTTGAGTTCTTTTCTAGAGACTTCCCTACGAAGAACGCTACAGCCACATCTTCAACATGCGGAGACTGGAAATGTTGTTAACCATCCAACAGCTCTAGGGGCATCTCCTTCTCTCAACGGCTGCGATCTTTAAGTGTCACTTTCAGCCATCATCGTCATCGTCACTGATGACTCTTTTGCTTGCACGTTTCTTAGCTTGGTTCGGCTTCTCCTTCGACGTCTTGGCAGGAGATCCAAATAGATTGTTGAGCTCAGGCAAAGCATCAGCTTGAGAAGCAGCGGCCACAGTGTTTGTCTGAGATACATAGAATGGCGCTTCGATTTGCTGGAGCTCAGCGACTGATTGGCGATACAACAACCTCAAATCTTCCTCGGCTGGCTGGATTGGTCTCTGTTTATACTGCGTCGAATTTCTGGCCAGACCGAATGCCTGGACAACATCTCTGGTGGCTTTGGAATGACCGACCAGTGTGGTCTTGTCGAGTCTTCTCAGTTTTTCCGGCTGGTTCCTGACGTCGATCGCTTGAATGAATTGTTCCTCTGTACCAGGTATTGTAGCATATCTCGCCTCTAAATCAGCTTCTTGTGCAGGCGTTAGCAGTATCTCTGAGTCGGCGGGCATGACCGCAATGTCCTCGTCTGAAGGGTCCCGTTTCTTCTTGTGCTTCGACGCTTGTAGTCTTTCTTTTTCCTCCTCTAGTCTCGACTTCTTCTTCTTCGTGCCGAGGAAGGTGAAACCTGTTTCAACGTTGTCGGGCATATGGAACTTCTTCGGTGGTTTCTTTTTGTTCTTTCCTCTCGACCTTTTGGGCTCAACAGACTCAACAGAGCCAGGTTGTGTATTCTCTATAGGAATGTCCACATGCTCTTTCGAGACCGATGGGTTAATACCTTTGGGCACTATCCTCGGAGAACGGTCAGTATGGAACGTAAATTCTTTGCCACTTTCTATCATCTCTTGCATCTTCTGATAGTTGTCCTTGGCCTTGTAGTAATCCCCCTCTTCCTTGTCTCTCATCAATAACATCACAATATTACCAGCTCTTTTTCGACCTGTTCGACCCATGCGTTGAAGCATGCGAATTGGGGATTTGGAACAATCGTAGCACACAATCAGATCGACCTCTCCGATATCAAGACCTTCTTCACCGATCGACGTTGCAACAATGGTGTTGTAGGTTCCTGCTTTAAACTTCTTGATTATCTCAGTTTGCTTCTTTTGGTCCATACCGTCTGATCCTTTGGTATTCGACTGACCCACGAAGACATGCGCTCGAATCATAGGTTCGTGTCTGTTCAACACTCTACATATCTCCTCCGCACTTTCACGGTAGTGGGCGAAGACCATGATTCGGGTTTCGGATGGTGGCCGCCCACCAGCACGGCCAGCACCTTGTCCTGCATCCAGGAAGTGGTTCAGCACCACAGAATTGAGATATGCCAGTTTTGGATGACCCACGAAGTCGTTGTTGTTAATCCAGGCTCGCATTCTGCTCATCATGGTTGAAAAATCCGTACTTTCCGTTATCATCTTGGTATACTTACCTTTACCCGACTCGTCTTGAAACACCTTCATCTTGCGATAGAAAGGACCCACGCCATGAAACTTGAGCAGTTCCAAGTTGTGAGCAAGAGGTAATAAAGGTTGAAAGCATGCCAGAACCATGCCTTTGACTCCTTGACTTGCTTTTCTTCCGGCATCAGATGCAAACCATTGTTTTTTGGCCTGCATCAACCCGTACAGGGTGATTCTTGTCGGGTCTTTCATCCATGATGCATTTTGAGAACACAATTTATCCAGCACAGGTTTCACAGCCTTCGAGAAGAGATCTAAGCACATTTGAATCTCATCGGAATAGTCGAAGAGCTCCAATTCAATATTCCTCTGATGAACGAACGCCTGGATGTCGATTGAGTCCTCAGTCCTGATCTCAACTCTAGCGATATCAAGACCGTCAACAACTTTTTGTACAGTCTCAACAGTAGATCCAGGCGTGGCAGTCAGTGCAAGGACACGAAAGCTAAGATTGAAGCGGTGCAAGAATCGGACAATCTCAACATAGGCGTAATTGCCCTGAGCTTTATGAGCCTCATCCACAACCACAAGGACTATTCTCTTTGGATCTGCTATACCAGTTTTTAGGTCATTTATCATGGTTTGAGGTGTCATGAAGAAGACACGTTTAGTTTGCCATTCCTCGCGACGAACGTCAGGTGGTATTTCGCCGGTCATAAGTGTGGTCTGTGACCGAGGTATACCAGCAATATGGAAGCAAGCCTCTATCTGCTGAGCAACAAGTGGTTTTGTAGGCGCCATGAACACTATCTGTGCACTTTTTGTCCAATTGTACCAATTCATCATGACCGAAGCTGCGATGAACGTTTTACCAAGTCCTGTAGGCAAAGCTACTAGGATGTTGTTGTATAATGCCTTGTGCACTATATTGTACTGATAGTCACGTATTGTGCCAACATTCAGAGGGAATATCCACTTTCGCATCGCCACTTCGTCAATCTTGTGATGGGTGGGTGGTTCGTCACGTTCAGCTAGACGCCAGTTGTGGGCTTGCGTAGCTGAAGGTCGAGATTGAGCTTGCCGCTGTGTGGTGTGCAAGCCAAATAATGTAGTCTGCCTCATGTTCTTGGATGATTGCCGTTGTAAGGCGGGAACGCTTGCACCAGAACCTACAGATATGCTGGCAGAGGTACCGAGATCCCGATCCGCCATGAGAGCCTCTATCTCATCATCGTCGAAGTCATCAGCAACAAGAACATCATCGCCTAGGTTAGCAACTATAGTGGTTCTCTCCACTTCATGGCTACCTGGTCCAGTTTCTGGTGAGGGCGAAGGTGTCAGGCTCTTCTTCCGCCATCTTGGTCCACGAATTCGCGTCGGGCTGGACCAAGGTTGATCTATCTGGGTAACAAACTCATTCTTTTGCGACTCCACAAATGCTGGCTTGTGTAGCACATGTTCGTACTTGGAACGTTCTTGACCTAATAGCTCGTCGTCGATCGCAATGAATTCCTTCGAAGTACTCGTCGGCAAAGTTACAGAGGTTTCTGAAGCTTGCGAGCTCGATATCTCATCATCTGAATCAGCTAGGATCTGCCTTGTTCGTCGTTTTTTACGTGGCGGTTCGGAGCAGGGCTCGTATCTCTGCGAACTTGGCACAAAGACTTCGCCGCCAGTTAGTCCTAACCCGTCGTCGTCGATATCCATAAAGTATATGTGGATTGCTAGACTCCAATTTGAATTCTTTTGTGGTATCACCCTAACCTGAACATGGAACGGCTCTAGATTCGTGTTCAATGCAAAACGCGTATGAATAGGCAATCACGTTGACACGTGATTGCGTGTTCCATCATGTTCGACCTGCCGGTACAGACTTTTAAGACGTGCCTAAACAGACTTGTGCTGCCACGTCGTACGCAACTATTGACCGCAACGTGAGGCCTCTGGCGTTCACCCTGTGGTCAATATCAACGTCGACATCAGCGCAACAAGATCAATCATGCTGGATCACATTTCGCGAAGGCGCATTCAGATCTAAGGCAAAGTTCCCACCGAGCTTGGCTATTATGCAAGTTCCCGGCCCATATTGGAATAGTAGTTTTTGAATGTCATATCCGCGATACTACTTTACAATAGAAATAATTAGTACAGAAGTATATAGCTTTTGAAGAATTCCTAGACAAGTATAAATATATAGTAGAGGATGTAGAACGGCGCTAGAGGCTTGAAGCTGTGTAACTATCTGGAGCGACGTACTACGGCCTTCACTTCTAGCTTAGCATCTAATCGATCCTTGTTTGTTTTCGCAACTACAATAGAGACTAAGCTTGCCCATAACTCATCGTCAAAGATCATCTATACACCACGCATAGCATCGTCTACGAAGTGACTGTACTAGACCTACATCACCGATACCATACATCACAGTCCTCTGGGTTGATCAACAAAGCGCCTGAGGGCGATATCGTCCATGGAAAACCCTGATCAGGCGAGTGGCATAAAACCAACAACAATGCTTCGCATCACAACTCTGCCGACTACCAACCAGCTTCTGTCCCTCGATCCCACAAGATGGAGGCATTGGTAGCGGAATAATCAAGAGCATCAGAATTGAACAAGGTATCACCACCACTGCGATAGGCGGCTTGATACGTTTGCTGATTCGTGGGCGCGGGGCGCAACACGAGCACGTTCCGCTACTCGTAGCTGAATCATGGCCTTCGTGCGGCATGCGGGGTGGCATGACAAGGAGGTTGGCACGATTGACAACCCTTCAACCTTCCAGTCCCGTCTGTGTCGTCAATCAACCGTCGGCGAATGACTTCAAGGACCTTGCAAATGTGAATTTAGAAGCTGAATCTTAGAGGCATGATTCCATTTGCTACGCAAGAGCTGGAGCTCTTCGATCTGACAGTACAACGTGCTGCGACGATGGAGAAGGTGATCGATGGTTGCCAATATTGACCATAGCCATGATAGTGATGGCTGAATGCAGATCTTTGCAAGCGGGATCGTCGACTCCAGTGTCGGTGAGCTGTCTTCCCATACAGGCAATTCGCATACCTCTACGGATTCTCGACCATTTAGCGGACCGGAGCAACGATTGTGTGCCACGAGTACTTTTCAGTATGGGTTAATGACCTCCGTCAGGCTGTAAACTCTGTGAATCGCGAGCATAGAGCTCTGATCTTACTGGTGTGCTGAATGACACAGGTGATCGCTGGACAAAGTACGCATATTTGTACTCACAAGCTATTGGTATCCACCTCTGGCACTAGTGGAATGTCGTGCAGTAGGGCAATATTCAGACCACATCAGCCTCTCAAAGCCCACAGATCGACACTCACGAGCATCTCATAGGCAGTGGAGCGGTGAAAAGAAGAGAACAGTGGATATGAGTGTTTTTGCTATAGTACAAGTGGTATGGAAGAAGACAAGATGATCTCCAGTCTCGAAAAGACAGGAAACCGCTGTGACCGCGCTAAAACTTGAAAATCACGCCCCACAGCGGGCGTTGATGTTTTGGAGACATCCCGCACGACTGAAGTCTATCAACACATGTTTTCAATCTTCTCGAACTCCGCCACGCACACCGCCTCCAGTGACATGAAACCGTTTTGCGGAAGACAAGTCACTATGTGAGAGCACGTTGTGATCGACGAAGATGCTTTTGCGATATGACTGCAGATGTTGTCAAGACGATGACTTACCCGATCCGCACCAGACTTGTGTAGCCATCTAGTCCGAGCGTGGACTTGATTTACTTGGGTCGAAGCTCAGTGTGGTATATTGCGGACTAGTTCTCGCCAAGCTATCGTAACTCAAGAAACCGAGAGCACACTCCATAAGTATCACTTGCCGTGAAAAGTGATACGGCATCGCCTGAAAAGGATAACGTAGGCTGGAGCAGCAGGCTACGAGACTTTCCATCAAGCGAAAACCAGCTTCTGAGGTGAACTCACGAGAGAAGCACTACTGATATCAACGCCACCCAGGTATACCAGACGAGTTCAGAGATGGCTGCGTAGAGATAAGATCTACAAAAGGACGTCGTCACTACGATCAGGTGACAACCTCGCGACGATATCAGCGGCTATACCAAAATATTTCGCCAATTCTCAAACAATGATTCGCTGACCAAGCACTGCATTGACGTACAACGGGAACATCGAGGTACACTCGTCCACATGACAGGTCAAGAGGCTGTCGATGTGGTCCATCGAGAGCCCATCACATCGAGGACGAGCTGCGATGCAGTGACAGAGATTCAAGACATTCAGCATGAGCTGAAGAGGGGAAGCAAGAACCATCCGAGCTCAAGAAGTACATATAAGGACGATATCCGTCGTTGAATCAGAACAGAACTCAGACACTCAACCACCAGTCAACAGCTCAACACTACCAAAGCCCAAAGCACAAGCTAACAAACAGCCATCTAAAGCTCCCTTCTTCTTCTTTCAAACCAATCAAAATGCATTTCGCAAAGATCCTCCTCTCTACAATGGCCCTTGGCGCCACAGGTCTGTCTTACACGCCTTGAATCAGCCACATAGCACTTTGTCTGACGAATGCTATAGTCTTGTCCGTTCCTATCAGCAAGCGAGAGGAAGACAGAATGGAGAAGCGACAAGTTGTGGCAGCTGTGAGCAGTGTCGTAAACACGGTCAATACCTTAGCCACGACAGTCAACACTGCACAAACTGCCATAAGTGAGACTATGTTCCAAGCAGAACGTGAGTAACGATTCACTGACTATTACACAGCCTCCGCAGTCGCTGCCAATGCTGAGGTGGCAATCTCCGCAAATCTGGCTGAGGTCGTCACGGCACTTCAAACTGCACAAACCGCTGTCCAGGCCCAACTTGCAGGCGCTGCGACCAGTATCACCTCTGCAACCGCCACTGCCCTGCAGAACACGCTCACTCAGCTAAGAGCTATTGCGTCTGGCCTGCAGACTACCCTTGACGAAGTTGAGGCTGGTAAGTATAATGTCTCTAAAATGTACTCACATGTTCTTATATCTGACCGTTCACTAGCGACCGATCTAGTAATTACTCAGGAGGCTGCTGCCATCAGATCTGCACTCACTGGAGTTTTGACGCCGATCAGCAACTTTGTCAGTGTTGCACGCGTGTCTGGACTGATAAGCGGTCTTTTGACCTCACTGACAAGCCTTCTTGGCGGTCTTGTCACAGACATCAGGAACATCATCGCTGCCATTTAAGGGTCAGCTTGGCCTGCACTAATATACTGGCGGGTACGGGACATACATACATGCTGAGGCTGGGACTTGGCGTATGTCATCTATTATCTTACATGATCTGACATGATTATGACCACAATCCTTAAACCAGGAAGATGTTAATGGCAAGGATGACACCTTGGAGTGTTGCAGCAGTGGCAATGGGAAAGAAACAAGCTCAGGATGGCAGGATATCGATATAGCATATGGATTGGATAATTCAGTGCAGACACTCCCTAATGTGAATCACAGGCAGAAAATCAAACAGTTGAGTCAGCACTCGACGTATTCGACACCACTTCTTTTTCATCCTAATAACTCCGTCACTCTTTACTGCCTTAGAAATGAGCTTTCGACAATGAGTTTCGCGTAGGAGGGTCATAACCTGTCTGCTGGTCACCAATTCATGGTTGCGCAGGATTTTGCAATACCAGGCGCAAAAATATAGTGCAGATGGGTCTTTGGAAGACGTGAGAGCACAAGACCGCAGAGACTCGAGCAGGACAATCGACGGGCCAGGTTGAAGCCATAGTGACAGAATTATAAACCGACCCTCGTAATTCTGTCCACTGTGTAACGTGCCATTTACAGCCACTAGGTTTCAACAACACAATCCCCGAAATGGCCACACAACCACTTGCCTAAAACATGGCAGTGCATTCGTTACACCAAGTACTCGCCTCTCTATTTGTATAGGTCGTCGTGCTCCCACTGGCTTTGACACACAGATGTCTCAGACGAACGCTCGGATAACCAATGCGGACAGGACCGTGGCACGTTGGGGACAACCAAGACAACCTAGCAAGACCCACAGACTAATTAGATCGACCAAGGCTTAACTCGATGGGTCGCCAGCCGGAACTTAGAATTGTCTGGGGGAGATTAAATTTAGGTCAAGGATGAAGGAGGTATTCATATGTGGCAGGTGCTGTCTACAATTCACTTTTTTCTGCTATTGCCTCTTTTTCCAGTACACATCGACGACCACGTTCACTTCATTCTATTTTGCGTTTTCGTCTTCTTACATTCGCTTAACAACAGAACTTAAGATATCAGCATAAAATATTAATATCGTGTTCAATAACAGCATCTAATACTACAACATGCGCTTCTTCACCACTGTCGTTGCCCTGGCTGTCGCCGCAACCGTCTCTGCACAAAATTCGACCAGCAATGGCGCTGCATCTTCGACCACAACTTCGTTGACTCCACAACAGACCTGCTTAGCAGCTTGTATGTTCCCCACGACGTCCGCAAGCATAAATAGCACGGCTAACGATCTACAGGCGCTACAAGCGACACGTGCTGCAGAGCAGCTTGTGTTGGTGTACCCTGCCCATCTGACCTGCAGGCAAACCAAACCACGGAATGCGCCGCTCGATGCTACCAAGGAAATGGTACACAAGAGGAAACCGAGGCCTACGCTCAATGCCAGTCCAGCTGTGTGAGCTCATATTTCTTGACAAGCACCAACGCTGCTGCTGCTTCCACATCCCGAGCTGCTTCGTCTGCTTCCGCCACTGGTACGTTCTTCTTACTGCTAAGGAGCTCGTTTCATGCTAATACATTTACAGGCGCTTCCGGATCCTCCAGTGGCTCTGCGACTGCCAGACAGACTACCTCTTCCGCCTCTGGTAGCTCTTCGACTTCTACTGCCAACGCTGCAGTCAGCACTCGTGCTGTTGTAGCTGGAGCTGGACTTTTTGGCTTGATCATTGCTGGTCTTGCTTTGTAAGAGCAGTGCACGATTCTCTCAGAAGAGTTTTGGGTATCATAATTTGGTGAACTGGCACACTAGAACATGTCAATTTTGATGCTACATGTCAAGTCAATGAACAGGGGCCAGGTACGTGGTGATTGGGCACTATGATCAGACCTCTCAGAAAGAATCAGGAAATGCATTTGTATGATTTTACCTATTTCTATCTTGTGCAGATTTGTGACAAGGGTGTTTTGTGGTCTCCAATGTTTGCCTTTCTGAGTCGTGCTGATGTGTTTTACAAATATCTGGTCGGCTGGTTTCGCCGTTGCGACCGTGGCTGAGTGCAGATGTGTAGGATATATCCGGCCAAAACACTTTCTCCACAACCACTAGGAATGCTGATCGTATACAACTATGATGGATACTAAACTGGTGAGCGAGGTCGCACACGAATAATAAAAGAGTGTGCGACCGTGCCGAACACCGTAGTAGGGTGCCAAGACCAACTCTCCCCCTGACTCGACGACATGGTCGAGAGTCTATGGTCGCGGCACTCGACTCCCCCTATCTCCATAGAACTCCTAGCTTTGGGACATAGTTGTCCCAAAAAGAAAGACTTCCGTACACTCCTCCTATACCTGTACTCTCACTCCCCCTGTTTCCTTAACGCCCATGCGTTCACGAAGGTCGTCGTGTATTGCTCTAGCTAACGCCTTCGTTAAGATATCTACGAGATTATCCTTAGTATCGACTCGTCTAGTATTAAGTTCACCGCTGCGCACCTTCTCTCTAACGAAATGCCATTTTACCTCGATATACTTAGCGCGAGCATGGAATTCCGGATTCCTCGTGAGCTTCAATGCGCAGTTATTGTCAATACCTAGAGGTACCGTCTTCACTGCTATATCTCTGATCCGCAGGTCGTTCAGGAAGTTCCTGATCCAGACTGCGTCTCTGGCCGCCTCAGATGCCGCAATGTATTCTACGTCCATAGTTGACTGTGCAATCGTCGATTGTCTCTTCGAGGACCACGAGATTAATGCCCCCGCGAATAGGAATACGTACCCCGTGGTTGACTTACGGGAGTCTTCACAGTTCGCAAAGTCGCTGTCCACGAAACCTATAAGTCTAGTCTCCCCCTGATTTGTAAAACAGAGACCCAGCTGCCTAGTACCACTTACGTAGGCAAGAATCTAATCTACGGCATCTATATGTGACTGGTCCGGGTTTGACGCGTATCTTGCTGTATATCCTACAGCGAAAGCTATGTCCGGTCTCGTACAGTCTGCCAGATAGTTCAGTGACCCGACCTTCGATTGATACAGCTTCTTAAATGCCGGATCAGCCATAGAATCTTTCTGCTTCTTTAGCTTAGCTCTCTTATCTAGCGGCGTCGATACCGGCATAGCGTCCTGCATATCGTACTTCTCGAGTAGCTGCTCGACGTATTGCTCCTGATGAATGGTGATACCGTCCGTACCCTGCTCGACGTGCATGCCAAGATAGTACTTACACTCGCCCTCATCTACCATAGAGAACGTGTCCGATAGTCTTCGTTTGAAAGCCGAAATCTTACCCTCATTTTGACCAAAAATCAGGATATCGTCCACCCAGAGGCAAAGTATCAGATCGTCTTTGTCGTAAATGAACACGCATGGATCATATGCTGACGGTCGCCATCCCCATCTCTGGATTGTGTTCGCAAACTTCTCATACCACGCTCGTGGTGACTGGTTGAGCCCGTAAAGTGCTTTCAGCAGCTCCAATACGCAGCCCTTTGGTAGCTTCATACCCGGGGGGGGCTTCATATAAACCTTGTGTTCGAGGTCACCGTTAAGAAAAGCCGTCTTAACATCCATCTGGTGAATCTTCAGCTTCCGCTTGGCGGCGATAGCGAATAGTGCCCTAAAAGCGGCTCGCTTTACCACAGCAGCGAATATCTCATCGTAATCCACTCCCTCTGCTTACTGAAAACCTCTTACAACTAGACGCACCTTATACTTTTTGATTCTGCCCCGCTGGTCCATCTTTCGCTTATAGACCCAGCGGCTCGTGATCGCTTTAGCCCCCGGTGGCAGTTTAACGATTCTCCAAGTCTTATTTCCTCTGATGCTTCCTAGTTCCTCTTCGGTGGCCTTCACCCATTCAGCAGCATCCGGGTTCCGCATAGCTTCCGCGAAGTTCTATGGGTCTGGCAGACGTGTGTGTTCCGCCGCAATCATAACGGCGTTCCCAACCCTCACTGCTAGGGCTACTGGTTGATTCTTCGACACCATCGTCTTTTTTCTTGTGTCGCTGGTCGACTTTTTCTTACTCTCCCGAGCCTGCTTCGATTCCAACGATACGCCTTTCATTTTTAAGCTAGGCTTTGGCTTTGTAGGTACAGTCTTCTGTCTCTTAGGTGCTCTACCTAACCCCTCATCTGGATCACCATAGTCTTCTCGGGGAGTATCCAGTGTGGGCTCGCTGCTTACTGGCATAGGCGTAGGTCTACGACCTAGACCCTCCCAGTGGTTCAAAACCTTCTTCTTTTTTCCCTCTCTCCAAGCCCATCTAGCTGCAGCGTTGTCATTGTGAATCCACAGTACACGATGAGGATACGTTCCATTCCGCGGTATACCGATAAGGCGTACATCCTCGCGGAAAAGCACGTATCCGAGCTGTAAATCCTGTCCCTTAGATAATCCCCATTTGTTAAGGATAGCGGCGAGCTGATCAACACTAAGGTTATCAAAATCCAGCCCAGCAGCGAAAGTCGCCACAAGAATATCTTCATCCTGCAGCACCAATTACAGCGCTTGACGCAGATCCTCAACCGACGGTACCTCCAGATCAGGCAGCTGTGCCTCGATAGACAGTCGCAGTGCGTGTAACCCGCACTCGAGGTTTATCGACGGTATCGGTAGCCTCCGATACCCAGCAGGAAACGCGTTCAACAGGTGCTGTAGCATGTCTTCCCGGATAGACGACAGGAAGTTCTGCTCGGTGCTTAGCCAGGCGGACATATCTACACCTACTTCGTCGTCCTCGATATCCGGCGCTAGTTGGGGTCTAAAAGTAACCTCGGGGACCTTCTTTGCTCCTTGACTGTTTTCTGTAGGCAGGCGGGATTCCCAGTCGTCTCTAAGGACTACCTCTCCATTCGCGATCTTATGCGTCGCGTACTGGTAACTTTCCACAACCCCGTCGACCACATATATGCATGCCTTTGCTCCTTTACCGATTTTGCCATTCTCACCCATAGCCACACAATTTTAACAAGGACGGCCATTATCGCAACGTGGATTATTCCGCGCTCTGCAGTTCGAACACCTACTGTCACCAGTGGGGGGTTCACGTGTCCTTGGCGAATAACCGCGCTTAACAAGTCCCTGCTGTTCGATATATGCACAAGATATGTCTTTCCTACTACATCGCCAGCATGGCCTCTCTCCACTGCACACGCCGCCTTCACTGGTGCACAAGACACATGACTGTTCGACCAAATCCTGTCTTGTTGTCGTATAAATCTTATAGATTTCTTCGTCTGTGTATATCTTAGGTCTGCAGGCCTTTAGCAATTGCTTTAAAGGCTTACAGTGGTTACACGGTGACTCGCCATCGCAGGAATACATTCTTTTAATACATCGTATACAAGCTGGCTTACGCTGCTTTTCCTTTGTATCTTTTCCTGTTGTCGCGGGCAGCCGTGCAAGCCGGCGGCTCACCAGGTTCATGTTTTCCGGTGGCACCAGTGCCTTGGTCTCCTCCGTCTGCTCAATACATGGCGCTCGGTGTCTCGCGCACTCCAGGCACCGCGGCCCAAAGCTTTTGTCACACACCTTAATGTAGAGGCGAAAACACCGATCGCACCTGCTTAGGTCTAGTACCATAAGCCACCTACTTCTGTACGTCTTCGTGTTGGGATACTTCTCCTTAAGTATTTGTACCTTCCCAGTTCTACGACGTGACTTCTTTTGAAAAAATTTAGATCTGGTGCCTGCTTTTGGTCTTGTCTCCTAGTCAGATTCGGTCCCCAGCGAAACAGTATCAGTTTCATCGTCCTCCCATTCATCACCGTCTTGCTGATGTGCGGCAGCACCCGCGAAGTACGAGGCATTAAAGTCGTTAAATAGGTCTCCGGGTAGGTCCCATACAGCTGTAGTTCCATCTTCACGCTCCACATTTTCATCAATCTCCGGCTCACCTATTGTATAGGGATCCCAAGCCGCCGCTGGTTCGACATCTACATCCTAAGTGGCTTGTATTCTGTCGACATCCGGCGCCATTGCGCCCTCTATGTCCCCAGATTCCTCTGACAACGGATCACGTTCAACGCTGACTCTCTGCCCGCTATTTCCGCTGGGAGGATAAGGGAGACGCGCATCTTATAGCACGGGGGTATTGTCGTTCTGTGTGTCGGTAACTCCGGTAGTGTCACCTACGGTGGTCTCAACGTATTCTAAGACAGAGTCGGTTCCATCAGAGCCGTCCTCTCCGTTCCCTAAGCTATCTTCGTCTTCTTCGGGATCTTCCACATCATCCTCATCTTCTAGGGCTTCTATATCGATAACCGGTTCTTCGTCGATACCGTCCCCATCGATAACCTTAGCTTGGCCAACGCGAACCACCTTCTTTAGGTCGGGAGAATAGATCCTATAGATAGCCTCTCCGTCGCAACCAACGAACCATCCGTACCACGCTCGAGGAGTGTGTAGTTTAGATCCACGCTTCTCCGGTGGAAAAGAAACATAAGCAGTGCTGCCGAAGATTCGTTCTCGTACCAGGTTTGGCTTCACACCGCTAAGCGCCTCCCACGGCGTCTTCTGTTCTCTCTTGCGGAGGGCACGTGCAGGTGCTCTGTTCTTAAGGTAGACAGCGTGCTCCATGGCCTCGGGCCATAGACTGTCGCATTCCGCGGGTCCGGTTGGATTATCGACCCATTACTGGCCGTCTCTCTTTTTCAGAATCCCGAGAAACTCTTCTGTCTTACCGGTAATGATGTCCGTGATTCTCCCAGTCACGTCGATCTCGCCGTGCATTACGGATGTCCTCTCACGCAGAGTTCTATGAGTTCTCTCGGCCACACCATTCTCGTAGTGGTCGTAGGGGGTTGTTGGCTCCCAGCTAACGCCCCTCTGAGCGAGCCAGTCGGTAATGGCCCCGTTGTTGTGGAACTCAGCGTCGAACCGATATCTACGCACGTTCATGTCGAAATCCTGGTTTAGGAGGTCATGCATACGCTGGAACTTACCGACCAGGTCGGCCCCCTTAAGACGTACGCACCAGGTGAAACGGGTGGCATCATCCGTAAAGAACATCATTCTAACAGTACCGTCGTATGACTTAACGCGTTCATATAGACCCCAGGTGTCGACATATATCAGACGTCCTTTCTCCTTATAGTGTCGCTTAGCTGGATCACGCGGTATATAGGTAGTGGCCTTCGTCTGGTTATAGGTCGGGCAACTCAGCTTTACACAGGCCTTGATCTGCTTGCCGGTGACATTCATGCCTGTGCTCTCCTTTTGTAGGGTTAGCATGTTCTGGAAACTCAGGTGGCCTAGCTTTCTGTGCCATAGCATCACCGGACTTTTGTAGTCTACAGCGGCAGCGAGTTGTTTCTCTGCCCCTGTTACTTTAAGACCGACGACATAGAATAGATCGTTCTTTTGTTCGGCGAAACCGACCGAACGACCCTCGTAAAAAAGCGTCATCCCGTGTTTCTTAATTCCCACTTCGACACCGAGCTTTAGCAATTTACCAAGGGAGACAAGGTTGCATCGCGCCTCAGGAATATACATCGCACCATCAATATGACTTATAACTTTCTTGCCATTTCCTAAACTCATGACTAGTTTGACCGTCCCTCGGCCTAGAGCCTTCATCGAAGACTTCTTTCCAGCAGTGTTTAGGACTAGGTCGTCTACGTCTAACTTTATAAACCATTTCTTATCATTAAAGATATGCATACTGCAACCAGAGTCGATCAAGACCACATCAGGAGTATCAAAATCCCCAGCGGCTAGGGCCATTGGAATCTCATCGCCATCCTCTGTACCCAAACCTCCTTCCTCCAGGTCTCCTCCCCCAGTCCGCACCTTACCACCTCCTCTACTCGTCATAGTCTAAGACGCAGAGTTAGCAGTGGCTCAGGCAGAACTGGGATCAAGGGCCATACCTGAATCAGGGGTCTCTTCGGCAGTGAAACCTAAGAACTTAACGGTCTCTGTCTTGACCTTATTGTCATTTCGGGCCTTTCGTTCGTCGTCTTTCTTCTTCAAAGCCTTAGGCTTAAGCTCGGCGTGAAGACCCCAACACTTGTCTAGGCCGTGGCCAACTTTACCGCAGTGAGAGCATGTCTCGTTAGACTTCTCTCGCTTGTTGCTGCTGTTGACGTTATCTTATCTCTTAGTTCCATTTCGCTTCTGCTTCTCTTCCTTAAAACGTCGATCACCCTCTCTCAATAAGGCATTAGTGAGTGCACCGATGTCGTGTATGTTGCCCATACCGCGGCCACGCATAAACCATTCATACTGTGTGAGGATGTTCTTGTATGAGTCTAGCAGGCCTTAGATGATGTAGTCACATAACTCCGAATCATTCATCTGGGTACCGACTTCGGCCAACTCAGTCCGCGCCTCATAGAACTTGTTGAGGTAGTACTCCATGTTATACTTACTACCCGCAAGAGTAAGAACTCGCATCTTTCTAAGGACATCTTGTCTAACGACTGTCTCTACCGGTCTGTATGTCTCGACGAGGTAGTTGGCAAGATCGACCGGATCGGTGAGGTGAGCCGCCTGCGACTGGATCAACGACGATAGTGAGTCAAAAAGAACCTTTCTGGCGGCCTTGATCTGTTTGACCTGTTTTTCGTACTTAAGAAGATCAATGTTGTAGTATACAATTGCTGCTTGTAGCTCGACTCTAATCGGTCTGAGGTTAATGTTCAAGAGGTTAGGGATTGGCGCGACTTTGGGATCCGGCGCAAAATTGTCGCCGTCGAGCAGTGACTTGTAATCGTCTTCGCCTTCAATTAACGGTGGATTAGAGACTGGCCAAGCACTGATGGCCGTCCAATACTTAGGGTCCTGGAGCTAAGGTTCCGGCATCCGCGCGTCCTTAGCCTCATTGGTGAAAAGGTTAGCCACATCCTTGTCTTAGGCCTGTCTTATTACAGACTTGTACCAGGTGCTCCAGTTACTAGAACCCATGAGCTTAACACCATTGGATGCCATCTTATATCGGTGGCCGCTACCTTAGCGGCACTTCGACCTGCAGAAATAACTTTAAGAAGTCGTTTATGCCCAAACAAATTGGTAGATCGACTTCTAGATACGTAAAAGCCTACACCTCTATACAATCAACACCCTTTCTGTAGAAAAGAGCGCTCATAACCACTAGGAATGCTGATCGTATACAACTATGATGGATACTAAACTGGTGAGCGAGGTCGCACACGAATAATAAAAGAGTGTGCGACCGTGCCGAACACCGTAGTAGGGTGCCAAGACCAACTCAACCTGGATTATTCCCCAATTCAGATAACTTCGAACAGAGTTTGTGGTTGCTCCGAAGACGATTGGTTGCTTTCGCAAGCAAAAGCACAACTTTGGGGTAGGACCAACCCTCTCAACCTTTGAGAGACTGCTTGCTCTTGGCTCAGTCCTGCAAGCGTCTGTTCTTGACGTATGTGATGTCAGCCACGTCTGAAGCCACGATAATGGTTCTCTTCTGATGAGCGTCGGATACTCACACGTGGTTAGGAGCTAGTTCCTCGATAATCAACACTATCACAACCGCAATGACGAAGCCAATGCTGCGGTACAGGTATATAGGCGGGGTCGCTCTTGCGCGTAGAGTGCTCTCATCTCTTTGTTTTGATACTTGACACAGCTTCTCCAGCAAATCTACTGAATCACAATACAGCAGCTATGGGTATTGGTCAGAAACTCAAGGATACATTCAGCTCCGGGGATCATCGAGATGATCATACTAACCCAGGCTCATTCAATTCAGGCAGTGGTAGGGACTACGTTCCACCTACTGGCACACATGTCGGCCAAGGCAGCCATAGTGCGGGCACTGGTAGCAACGTCCCCGACCGCGATGTTATGGATCCAGCGGATCACAAGCAAGGCCCCAATGTGATGAGCTCGACAGGCGCCGCTGGAAACCCAGTCACCGGATCCACAGGTCTTGGAGGAGGTAGCAGCGAGTACTCCAGCAGAGACCAGTACGGTCAGGGGGCCGGCATTAGTAGTCACGACATGGCGCATCGCTCACACGACACCTCCACTGGTCGTGACCACGATCAATCGTCTTACGATAATCGAACTATCGACCATGGCGTCGGGTTGGTGCCTATCGGAGGCGGGAGCGGTGCGGCAGCAGTTGAGGCGGCCCACTCTCACAAGCAGCATCATGGCCACCACGGCGACGAACCGGTGGGCACGACTCATGCCCACGACTCTGCGCACTCTCACGGCCAGCATCACGGCCACGATAGCTCCAGGCACCAAGCGGGCACGAGTCACGGTTACGAAACTCATCCCCGTGGCGCAGACTTACTTCCCATGGGCGGTGGGACTGGCGCAGCAGCAGCAGAAGTCGCCCATCCTCACAAGGAGCATCATGGTCACGATGGTTCCACGCATCACACTGGCACCTCTCATTCTCACGATTCGTCTGCAGCAACGGGTATAGGCGGGCAACGCAGCTACGACATTGGCAACCAGAATCCCACCCTGGGTGCTGGGACAGGTTCAACCCAACAGTACTCGCAGTATGAGCAGGGGCTGCCATCGCGAACAGGTCACGATTACGACTCCGGTAGAGGCGTTGGTGATGACTCAATGCGTTCGCAGGCGCAGCAGCGGGGAATGGAATCTGGATATACTGGTCAAGGCGCTACGAGTATGAGCGGTGGACTGGGGTCCAGTTCATATGGCGGGTCAGATGATTATGGTGCAGGTCGTTCAGGTGCTACAGTATTCCACAAGTGTGAGCATTGCGGAAGAGATAACGATATCAGCAATTATTTCAAGAAGGATGCAGCATATCGCACTGGTTGAGAGCCGGTTGTCGGATCTGAGAGAAGCGGGTTGCCATGTATGGTAAATGCTTCTTCACTCTTTTAAGAACTTCAGGTAAGTTGGGAATACAGAACATATAGTGAAGTTATGCTTGAAGCCTGTACTTTGTAGTTACAGCAATCTGGATCGTCATGTTGTTTGACTTTCAACCCGTGATTTGACAGATCCCAGCTTAATCGTCCTCAACACTATCTTGATACTGCAGGCCCCCCACTATTTTTCCATCGCTTTGTCGACAGCCAACTTGGTCACCTCATCAAGTGACGGTTGATTCAATCCTAGGCGCGCATCAGAATAATCCTCTAGTTTTTTGACAGGAAGTGACGGGTAGAAGTATCTTGAATAGAGCATCACTCTGTACCCGATCATATTCCTTTGCTCAAACATTGTCTTGCCCTCAACGTAGCGAGCTTCCGGGGTCACATGCTTGATAGTCCAGTCACCCTCCTTGCCACCAGTGACTCTCAGGACAGAAGATAGCATATCCGCTTGACTGATGTGAAAGGCGTGGACGCGGAAGATGCTGTTCCTGTAGTCCTCGAGACAGGGGCGTTCATTGCCGGCGCCATTTACTGATATAGGCAGGCTCAACAATTTCGCAACAGCTTGGCCGACATAGGGCAGAGTGCTGCAATACACCTTCGCAGTCCCGTCGTTGTAGAAGGTGACTTCCTTATTCTCGAAGTCAAAGCCAAATGTGGACACCCCGGCTACTAGACTGTAATCGTACCAGAACCCGCAAGCTACGGCGATCCATGCGGTCTTGGTGGTCTTCGATTCGATCAATTTCCTGATTGCCAATTGGCTGTCTCCGAGCATGGTGTCTCTGTTCACATCGGGGTCGGTGTAATCATAGCCCCACTCATTAGGTAAGATCCAGGGGACGTTTGCGTCAACGGCTGCTTCTACAAGCTTCGTGACGGACTCCTGTGGTGCTCTAGCATTCATGGTGATTATCAAGGCATCTTGTCCACGCATGGCATTTGTCAAGGAGTTGTGCTCATCGTAGTTGACTTTTGCAACCATGATCCCATTGGGGAAGGTGCTAGTGCTTTCCAAACGCGTTATAGCAGTGACATTGTGTTGTCCAGTTTTGAGAAGCTCAGCAGTGATATAAGATCCTTGTCCACCAGCTGCCTGCAATAGTCAGTAAACATTCAGTCGTGAAGCAGTTTGGGGAGCATACTCCAACAACGGCTACGTTCTTGATATGATTGGAGGCGCTCGCAGGCTGATCGTCAGCATAAACACCAGTCATGTTTTGAATCCAGTGCCCGTTGTCGAAATGGCTTGCTCTCAATTACTGATTGATTCCAGGTTTTGCATGGTCGATTTTCCTTTGAACATATTTCGACGTCTTTAGCACATTCTTTGATAGGAAAGTATAGATCCTTGCTTCGTGGTCTGCCATCGCGGAAGTATGGCTTTACCTCCGCTATCACCGTACGTTTCGACGGGAAGCATGCATCAAGGAGGCTAGCATCCACAAGGCATTGGGTCTATAGAGCATTTTCTCTACTTGGAACTCTACAACGCGTTTCCCTCCAGACCCCTCGGATATACCAGCTTCGGCTTCAGCAGGTCCTTCTCAATAATCCTGTCCTTCATGGCTTCAAGCTCCGGCAGATCCCAGCACACATTGAGATACCTCCCACTGATCCACGGTCTACGCTCGGCACCGCCACCAGTCATCCAGACTACAGCATCGCCAGCCAATTCCACCTTCTCAGTGAACACGTGCGCTAGGAATGGAGGTGGTCCACCCGGACCAAAGATGTCTGTGAGAACATTGCCTGGATTTATCGCGGTGCAGATAAGACCTTGCTCTGCATACTCCACTGCAATAAATTCGCTGAGCCGCAGAACTGCCGCCTTAGAGACCTGGTAAGAGTTTCCACCTGGACTTACGATAACCGCTCCCACGCTGGCAAGGTTGACGATGGTCTTGAGGCCTTCGGTTGACTTCAGAAGCAAGGGAATGAATGTGCGACACGCATAATACACACCCTTGAGGTTGACATCGAAGGTCGACCACCAAACCTCTGGGTCAGTGTCTATCAACGGTTTTACCTCAGGCAACATGCCGGCACTGTTGACAAGCACGTCCAATCGACCAATATCTTTCTCTACGATTTCCCTAGCCTCTTGAACGCTTTCCAGCTTGGTGACCTCCAGCTTTATCAAATGTACTTTCGGCGCGGTCTTGCCCGCTGCTTCGGCGGCGTGGATGAACACTTTTTCGAAGCCGTCTTGGAATGAGCGACCCGTTACGGCGAGGTGTGAGACTCCTGCTTTGGCAAACGAGACACTTATGCCTTTGCCAATGCCTTTCGAGCCACCAACAATCAAAACCGCTTTTCCAGATAGATTAGCTACGGCGCTATCAATTTCGGGGTAGGTGTCATTGTGTACTGTTTTGGTGCAATCATAGTCACCTGGACCCTCAAGCGGGTTAAAACTTCCTTGTGCAGGAGGCATTTTGGATTCTATCGCTTCCGTTTCGTTCTCAGCTTCGAATTGAAGTGGTTTTGTGATAGTTGTACCACAATTTCGGGCAAGACTAGGATGTTGTCGTCGAGTCGCACAGCTTGAATCAAGACAAACCCGTTCTCCTTATATTCTCATAATCTCTTCGGACCTCAATTTATATCTAGTGTTCGTTCAGTAGAAACGAGAGTCGTCAAGCAGTGCATGCTCGATCTCTGATTCGAATCTTTGAATGGTATTATAGCCAGAAAGAGGTCATATTATGGCCATGTAAGCCTTGCTAGTCGAGAGGGGCATCCGACATCCCATCGGGAAGTTGAATGCAGACTAAACTGTCGTGTCCTCATAACGTACAAAATTCGGAACTAGTTCCATGACTTTAGAAGGCCATGCTTATGGATACATCATGCTTATAGGTGCCATATAGCTATAATTTTTGGAAGCAGCAATTGTTATACTGTTTAGATCGATTTGTTTTGTTAACCAAGATGGTTGGTATTCCGAACATAAGCAGCTTCGTTGTATGAGAGTAATGCACAGATAAGATGCGCATCTTAAGCATTCTTGGCTATTGGTATGTTGTTTGTGGACAGAACTCTCTGAGTCAAACCAATAAATCATCGCTATGAAACCATTAGACGAAAAGCTCCAGAGTATGATAAGGTCGCGTCCTGGAGCTCAAAAAGGTATGTACGATAGTCCTTTTGCAGCTGGGACTAACACCGAATGGTTGGGTCAAGCATAACATGGCAACACACAGACCCAGCACTCAGTCCCGCTCTCACTCTGGTGCAGTATCGATTAGCTCTCTTTTCGTGTTTTTGAATGCGCGGGTTCATGCATGCATGGTCATGCAGGACTGGAGGGCACAATAAGTCACTAAAAAGCAGATGTTTTTGTCGCAATATCTTCTCTTTAAGCCTTCTGAGCAGTAGTAACGGTAAACAAGTGGTCTACCTTCACAAAACCGCAAACGCCGCGACGAGCCGTATCATAGGTGACGGCTGTTCGTGAGGCACACAAAGAGATCTTCAGCCCCAAGATTGTGGCTTGCCCAAAGTGGTACCTACTATAGCTGCTCATTGATGAACACTGCAAAGAATTAGCTCTTTTCTTGACAAACCAAGTCGATACTTACAGCCAGCCATGCCCTGGCCTGTTCCCACACACATCGTCGTTAGTAGAACCCTTTGTCCCTGCCTCCTACATTCGCTCGAACCTGTTACGATCTGGCGCACACCTGTTGCTCCAAGAGGATGGCCGAGTGCTATAGCTCCTCCACGAACGTTCATCTTATTGTGATCGATGCCCAACTTATCCTTGCAATAAATAGCCATAGACGCGAAGGCTTCATTTAATTCGATAATGTCAATATCGTCGATCCTGAGGTTGAACTTATTCAGCAGTTTAGGGGCGGCAATTGATGGGCCAATGCCCATAATGCGAGGGGCGAGGCCAGCTACTGTCGCGCCGACAAATTTGGCTAGAATAGGTTGTCCGAGTCGCTCTGCCATACTGCGTTTCATCAGGAGTGTGGCAGCGGCTCCATCGGTAACCTGGCTCGAGTTACCTCCAGTGCTGCGATCTCCAAACTCCTTGAAGGCAGGTCGTATCTTGCTTGGGGCTTCATATGTTGTACCCCAACGTGGTCCTTCGTCTTTTGTGAGCATTACCGTCTGCCGCACACCTTCTTTGTTCGTAACAGTCGTTGTGATTGGGACGATCTCATCATCCAACCAACCCTCCTTCTGTGCTATCTCTGCCCTCCTAAAGCTTTCATATGGGTAGCGATCCTGTAGCTCCCGTGAAATACCAAAGTCTCGACCAACGTTTCCACTGGTTTGGCCCATGGGCTGCATACAGTCTCTAGCATCGGAATTTTGGAGAACTTCTTCATCATAGGGTTCCTCAAAACTATCATTGCTAAAGCTCATGGACTCGGCGCCGATTGCCAGACCGCAGCTGATACCGCCCTTCGAGATTTGATCTGCGATGTCTTGCACAACTTTGAGACCAGATGCACAAAACCGGTTGGTGGAATAAGCCGCCGTAGTAGTGGGGAAACCAGCGGCAAGCACCGCGGCGCGCACTTGATATGCTGCCCTTTTGTCATTCACGTGTAGTATGCATGAGACTCATGGCTCACCGAAGTCTCGACTGGAATGAAGACGAAACATACATTACCTAAAGCGACATCCTCCACTAGTGCAGGGTCCATATTCATCTTACTGACAGCATGTTTAAGCAGTTTGACGACAATCGCGTCCAACGGGGTATCCTTGAGTCCACCCTTTTTGGCCTTGGTCAACGGTGTGCGCAGCGCCAAAGTAATCACGATATCGTCTGGATGTTTCTGTAGACTTGGTTCATATCAGGATACACGCGCATGGGAAACTGGTAATAAGCACCTGCCATTACTTACATTGACGCCAGAGGTGGTGTAGCTGGCTGCGAGACGTGCCCAGCGAGCGAGGCTAATCGCTCGACAGCTGAACCCTGCCTAGACATCTGATGGTATGAATTTGGAGCGCGTTGACGATGAGTGCAAATTCGAACGACGATTTTCTTCAAAATTCCACACAAGTCGGAATCTTGTCTTATTTGCAACGCGCCATATTGATCGATCAACAACTAATTCAGACATCACAGGTGGCATCGCACAAGCTGCCGGAATTGCCAACTCGCTCATCTTCCATGATAAACAGAGACACGGGTGTGGTGGGATGGGGTTATCCTCCAGAAACAAAAACACTCCGTGTATTGAATTGACCCACCGGAAGGTAACAACCCGAATGTGGGCCTCACCACCTTCATTGTTACGATCTCGGGGTTTGGATGTCCACAATCACTACATACCTCAAAGTTCAAATTCATCGATGGGCAAAGAGCACGATCCCCAGTTCATTCGTCGCGTTAGAAGACAGCAAGCTAGCAAATCGAGCTGTTGCATTCTAACAGTAAGGTCCGGGCTTGCAATGCAAAGTTGAGGGAGCCATCGAGCACGAACGCACATCGCAACCATGTCCAACGAAGGAGAAAGTGATCTCACCACCCCCCGAAAGCTATGGCAACATCCAAACCCACAATCGACTCGCATGTGGAAGTTCATACAAAAATGCAACGCAACATATGGACTCTCCCTGGGTGACTTCCATGACACGTACGAATGGTCAACGGGCTTAAGACGCAACGATTTCTGGACGGCGCTCTGGGATGAGGTCAACCTGATACATGAGGGCTCATATGTCGAGCCAGTCGATGATAGTGTTCGTATGGATTCGATTCCTCGTTGGTTTGATGGAATCAAGCTCAACTTTGCCGAAAACATTCTCTTCAACAGAGGAAGTCGGCCGGGTGACCTTTTCACAGATAATGGTAAGACAGATACGAAGATAGCTATCACCGAAGTCAGGGAAGGCATGTCGGAGGTTCACAACTATACCTGGGCGGACATTAGAAGATCAGTAGGTCTGCTGTCAAATGCAATGCGAGCGCATGGCGTCAAGAAAGGCGACCGGGTAGCTGTTGTCGGGAGCAACAGCAAAGACACTTTATGCACATTTCTTGCTACCACCGCAGTCGGCGGGATCTTCAGCAGCAGTTCGACTGATATGGGTACGAACGGAATTCTGGAACGTTTGAGACAAATTGAGCCCATCTATATCTTCATTGACGATTTTGCGGTTTACAACGGAAAGACGACAGCTCTGAGGTCGAAGATCCAGGGTATCATCGAAGGGCTGAAGGACAAATCCAACCTCAAAGGCATTGTGATACAGCCCCGGTTCAGTCAACCAGCTGATATCCAGTCACTACCACGAACCCTGACGCTGGAAGAGTTCGTGGGCGCAGCGCGTGGGAATGTAGACCTTCAGTTTGAGCGTGTACCGTTTAACGATCCACTCCTGATTGTCTATTCGTCGGGAACTACTGGTGCACCAAAATGTATCGTTCACTCTGTTGGAGGAGTCCTGATTAACGCGGTCAAAGAATCTGCTCTCCATAGGAGTATGGGCCCAGAGTCCGTTCAATTGCAGTATACTACGGTAAGCTTGGCCCGCAACGAGTTTGGAGTCTTGTCGAGCTTACACAAAACCCCAGACCAGTTGGATCATGTATCTTTATTCCATCATTAACCTTCTTGTGGGATCACGGCTGGTATTGTATGATGGCTCGCCCTTCAAGCCAGACATAACGAGCTTCATTCGTCTTATGGAGCGGCAAAAAGTCACGCACTTAGGCATTAGTCCACGTTACTTACTAGAACTGCAGCAGAATAAGGTGGTGCCGAGAAAACTTGTTGACCTCAGTTCCCTGAAACACGTGGTCAGTACAGGGATGGTGCTCAGCGATCAACTTTTCGAGTGGTTCTACGACACAGGGTTTCCACAGACCGCTCAGCTAGCGAATATATCTGGTGGGACCGATATTGCTGGATGCTTCGGTATGGAGAACCCACTAAACCCGGTATATGTCGGTGGATGCCAGGGTCCAAGCCTCGGCACTGCTATCGCTGTATTTGAAGAGCGACGTCAAACCGATGGAAGTCCTCAGATAGTTAGACTTGAAGATGGGGTGCCAGGAGAGCTAGTTGCGTAAGTGCCAATGTGCTCAACGACTTCCCTTGTGGAATATGCTTACGTCGTTTTAGGACCAAGTCGTTCCCAAACCAGCCAGCCTTTTTTTGGGGCGAGAACGGCTCACAGAGATATTTCGACTCCTACTTCTCGAGATTTGACAGTAAGTTGACTGAAGACGAGGCACAAAGCTTTTTAACTAACCAGCAATCTCGCAGATACATGGTCCCAAAATGATTTCATCATGATTCATCCTGTCACAAAACAAATATTCTTTCTGGGCCGTGCAGACGGGGTTCTTAATCCGTCCGGCGTGCGATTCGGGTCGGCCGAAATCTACAACGTGCTTGAACAACACATACCAGAAGTCCAAGACAGCATCTGTGTTGGACAGCGCAGGAAGCAGGACGATGATGAATCGGTTCTGCTTTTCCTGCTTATGGCGCCTGGTCAAAAGTTCACAGCAGCACTGATCGGAAAAGTCAAACAAATTATCTCACGAGAGCTAAGCAAAAGGCATGTCCCGAAGTACATATTCGAGACACCAGAGATACCGATGACAATAAACGGGAAAAAAGTGGAGTTGCCTGTGAAGCAGGTAGTGTCGGGCTTCAAGATCAAACCTTCAAGTACGCTCACAAATCCAGGCTGCCTCGCTTACTACGCAGAGTTCGCAGAGGATGAAAAATTATCCACTGCATCGCTGGAGCGGGCCAGATTATAGTGCACGAAGTTAGCAACGTGGTTGCTGAGCAAGATGACCAGGAGAAAGTATGTGTTCCGCATGTATCAATGTTGTTTGTGCTGATTTTCATCACCACGTGATATAGCGATGTTCAAGTCTAAGTTCTAGCAGTGAGAAGGCCCAATAACTAAGATCGACTTGGTCAATACGTACTTACGACAGTCCTCTCTCACTCTACAAAGACTTCTTGATGATTCGTATCCAACTGAGCGTAGATAGTGCTGTCATCGATGCAGCGCGATTCACTGCTATGTACGTAGATTTTGATGTCAACCACTCATGCTGCATGACTGTATATCTTGCACGTGGAGAGCATATCAGTAAATTGGTAGTAAGACAGGCACTCAGGAAAGGGATAGGGCTAGTTTGGGGAAGTGTGCCTCAAAATCGATAAAATAAGTAATGATCAATAATTTAACATATAATATAGCAGGATCCAATAAGAATTATGTTTTTAGCTGTAGATTCTTCTTTGTTTGGGGGTAAATTTAAAAGGGGTGTGGGGAATGTGGACTGGTCAATACTTTTTGACAACCGCTGTAGGTCTTCCACTTGGCTGCTACACCATTGCAATATCTCCGTGTCCATATGGGAAACGAAGTGCCTTCATGTTCAGGGGCGAGAACACTGCTTTCTCTTGCTCAATGATTCGTTACAAACAAGCCTGGCTTGAACGATACGAACAACGAAACGAAGAGGACAGAAGGACTTGCGGCAGAGGTTACAACCGTTTACAGCGATTATCTGCCACTCAAGAAAGCCACGGCAGCTGCGCGCAACGTATCGAAGCCGATGCTGGAGTCGTACTGGATGAGGGTCTCTCTTCTGCCGGTGTGCGCAGGTATGTCTTCTACCAGCTTTCCCGGCTTTGCTTCGCCCCCAAAAATAAAGGCGATTGGTTCGTGAGCTGAACTGGCTTTCCAAGGGGAAGTGGCGTTGATGAAGCAGATAGTAGCATCACCAAATGCCTCACCCACAGCTCGCGTGCCTTCATCAAGCGTATGGTCGAAATTTTTGAATAGAAGTGCAACATCAAGAATGTGGGTTGCTTGACCCTTAAAAGGTCCTTCCCATGGGTTCGGCTCATTCAGGTGATACACATACACTGTCTCTGGCCAAACATTGGAGACGGTCACCGTTGGCACGTAGAATAAGACGTCGTTGATAAACTCCAACACTCTCAGGTACGCTATCTCGTCGTTGTCAGCAGCAGATATACCGTATGCCCCAACAAGTTTTTCAATTTCGACTTCATGTTCTGGGACGTTTACATTGAGGGACTGCTCAAGTTGCTTCCCAATATCCGCCTTGCGAAAGCCAAGGGCAAGTTGATAGATGCTACCCTAATTCAACAAGTCAGTCTCGTCGCACTGTAATCTCACGGTCTACATCCTTACGTCGAATTGGCAGTCACCAATGAGAAGCTCTCTGCACCATCTTAGACCAGGAAGAGCAGGATCTGATCTGTTTTGCCAGTCTTTGACAGTCTCGTACGTAGTTACGTCGTGGATAAATTCGTTGTCTATCGCCGGCAGTGACGGCACTGAAGGAGGAATCTTTGCAAGTAGTTCATGGCTGTTGATCTTGTCTAGTGCTTCAAGACGCTGGTCGCCGGACAGATTTGTAAGGCCATGGATTTCGCAGACCTGTTCGTAGAACTTTTCATGCAGCGTTGTTGGTTCGGACCTCAATGCCAGACATGTTCCTGACATCACGACCATTCTGTCGAACAAAGGCTCCTCGGACTGGAGTAGCAGAGTTGCAGAGACTAGTATCTATTAAAACCATGAGTAGAGACACTACTTGCTCGTTTCTTACCTCCGCCGGCACTTTGTCCAATGGCTGTGATGTTTTCTGGATCGCCATTGAAGCCAGATATAAATTTCCTGACCCACTGAAAGGCAGCTTTTTGGTCGCGGAGACCGTTATTCGCTTTGAATCCAGCGCTTCTGAGCTCTTCGGATGTCAGGAAGCCAAAAATGCCTGTTCGATAGCTTTATGGTGTTAATACAACGAATGCTAATCACTTTGGAGAGTTAAGACTTGCTTGATGTTTACTCCAATGATTGGCCTCCCGATCTCAATCGAGCGACGAACAATGGCACTGTGATCGTACTGTGGCCAAGTACCTGATCCCATCGCCAAACCTCCGCCATGGATGAACACGAATACGGGAAGCTGTGTGTTGCCTGGATTTCCTGGTGCAGTAACTGTGAGATTGAGGCATTCTGTATCCGATTGTGGTGGTAAATGTGGTACAATCAAGTGCTGTTGAATCAGCTCGAGCTCTAATTCGCAGCCCGTGGGATTACCGATGGCGGCAGGGCTATTTGTTGATACGGTTATCAGCATGTCACTCTTAATGTCGTACAATGAGAAACATACCCGACTTTCGTTGCGTCGACGACTGCTGGTTTCTCACAGCCAGTATGCAATTCAGGGGGGCCGAATCTGTGCTTCAATGAGGCATACTTGATGCCACGGTACTGTACAACGCCATTATAGCACTCTCCTTCGATCTTGCCCAGTTCTTTATGGAACAAGATCGTCATTTTGGTAATAGCTATGGAATTGCGATTGTGATGCGAAAGGAGATATTCACAAGTACGCTACTTTCTCATACAGAGGCTAAAAGAACCGTTCGTCTAGGTGGGATGACTGAAAGCGCAGCCTTACATGAACTCGCACAGTGATTTAGAAAGTGGGACTCAATCGGAGCACAACTGGCGTCCGAATATAGCTTACGTCCGCAATAGCAGTCTTCTGATGCTTGTTGTGCAATTGTGTCTACCACTTTGGAACCCCAGACGTCGGATCGGATTCTAAAGCAGCCAAACCCACCTCCACCGGGAAGTCACGCGACTTCGGCATGCTTGAGCCCGTCAAATGAAGAAGCCGATCATCGAGCCAAAAGATTATGGTATAATCTTGTAGCGGGCAAAGTATGCTTTTACAATCATTAGCCTTGACAACATCGCGGTTAATATGTGGTCAAGTCTTCGGGATCATGCAGTCGGTAAAGCACGCTGAACTTGTTCACTCTTTCATCTCCATAGATTTGGCTCTCGGATTCAGTATATATCATTAACGATCACCACCATTAAGACTTGCAGAATTGCCGAAGAACGTAATCATGTCCCAAGCCACTCACATCATCCGCTTTCTTGCCCAAGAAGACAATAGAATCCATTTAGGTCAATTAGTCGATCCCACACGAAACGTTGGTCTCGACAGCTATGACGGCAAAGAAATCAAAGCATATCTAATTAATGGCTCGTTGTATAACCCTGAAGTCACCAAGCATGTATACACTGTCAAGACGCTACTTTCGCCAGTATCGAAGGAGGATTGCAACTACATCCGTTGTCTAGGATTGAATTACAAAGACCATGCAGCGGTATGAAACCTAACCCAGCGATGTGATCAGGTATATTGTACAGATAGCTGAATCTGGGTCATAGGAAGCGAAGATGGCACTCCCTCAGGCTCCTATCTTGTTTTCAAAGCCTCGGACTGCCCTTGCCGACCCCTATCCTGCGGCCATACCAATTCCGAAAGCCGCACAGGATGGTACATCGGACTACGAAGCTGAATTAGCTGTTGTGATCGGCAAAGATGGTCGCGATATTCCGGAAGCCAAAGCTCTCGAATATATCCTTGGATACACAGCCAGTAACGATGTCAGTGCACGTGCCTTGCAGATGACGACTAGCCAGTGGGGCTTCAGTAAAGGCCTAGATGGTAGCTGTCCTTTAGGTCCTGTACTGGTGACCAAAGATGCCATCCCAGATCCGCAGACCCTGGGCATCAAGGCTATCTATAACGGGCGCACTGTTCAGGACGGAAACACAAAGTAAGTCTTTCCTCTAGCGGCCTATCACCATGCTGTTGATCTTGACGATGGTTGTGACATTCGATGTACACTTCGTCGTTTCCTGCGTTAACTCTTTCAATTTCAGAGACATGATCTTCACAATTGCAAAGCAGATCAGCTATCTTTCGCAAGGTACAACGCTGGAGGCAGGGACTGTGATATTAACCGGCACCCCAGCTGGGATTGGCTATTTCCGTGAGCCAAGGGTTGTGCTCGAAGACGGAGGCGATATTCGTATTGAGATTGAGAACATCGGAACTCTTGTAAACAAGGTCCGATACGAAGAGTGGTGATGGAAAGCAGCGATTAGATCTGTGTATAGTATGTCAACGCTCGTCACAATATGAAGTAAAATGTATATGAGCCTGCTTCCGTAGCATCATGGAATGCAGAGCAATCACAACGTTTCAGTTGTGGGTCAATTGTCCCACGAAGACCTCTCTATAGAGAATCTTCAGGTTCGATACAGTACACCGTCACAACATGAAGACCAGATACTAATGCATCATGTGGTATCGTGTGAGACCCTCCGAAACGCAGGGCGCATTACACAGGTTGTATGATGCGGTGCCCTGTCGATGTATACATTACCGCTAAACAATAGGCAGTAACCCGCCTAATTCAAGATGTTGTCGACATTCAACACAAAGGTACTCCGATTTAGCTTGTGGCTGCCTGAGATTACGCTATATGATGGCTTCACCCGATCAGTAATGTGAAATATCAGAACGCGAGACCGCGCTTGAACAGACACTAAACATAAACAGGTCGATGAACAGCACGTGACATACTTCTTATGGACGGCGTCGAAAGCATCAGCTCTTTCCACAGTAGCCATATTACGACGAATCTTGTCATCAACCATAAAAGAGAGAGACGCTACGTAGAGTACTAGGCTAATGTGTTGGACGCGAAGTTGACTGGTACTCTGAAATACGTGACATGCTGCTTGTCCAAGCATGCTGGGTCTGGAACACGATCCCAGAAGCATGTACTAGACCGTCATCCACCCCCGCTATTTCCGATGTAATCTCCCCCAGCGATACATACTGCTGCTCCACATCTCGCTTAATTCTTTGAGCAATTGGTGATCCAAGAAGTGCAAACTTTGGGGCCTCAATGGTGTGCTGCACTCACAAGGCTTTCGAATCAAATCCGACATCATTTACGATGGTTCGAACTCATCGACTCGTGATCTGTGGAGTACTCCAGGTTAGTCGTATCTCTCACCACTATCGCGGGGAGGGAAGTGGAGGTTAGCTTGAATAATATACTTGGCTGGGACAGTTCGGCATATAATATCACTGCAGTCGCCGCCTCATCTTGTCAACCAAACCCACAGTCCTTCTGTTCTGCAAGACCTTTTGTTTTCATTCTCGATCATCATGACCTCGAGCGCTACCTCCAAGTGTGAGGCCTCTCACCTTGAGAGGTTCGATACAGGGGACTACGAAGGTCGCGTTCATCTCAAGACCTACCTTGTTGTTCTGGTGCGTGCTGCGGAATTTTTGCGTACAGGACTTCACCTTACATGAAAGATCTAGGCAATCGATTTCATATACTTTGTGCAAATTTTCAACGTGGTCGGGGCCGGTTCACTGGGGACCAATATCACATCTGTCATCGGGGGTTCGAGCCACATTGTCTGGTTCACGAGCTCCATTACGGTCACCACGGTAGTGCTCTGTCCTCCAGTGAGCCAAGCTGCTGATTATTTTGGGAGAAAATGGCTGCTTGTTATCCTTACCACTTGCGGTGGTGTAGGCGCCATCGTTATCTCCAGAGCTCAATCAATTGGCGCCGCCATCACCGGATTCGCCCTAGGAGGCGTCTCGTTTGGTGCCCAATCAATTCTATACGCCGTTGCGTCTGAAGTCCTGCCTCGAAAGTATCGGTCCTGGGCACAAGCTAGCATTCAGATCGCGGGTTCTCTGGGTGGCATAGTTGGTCTGCTTGCGGGAGGTGCTCTCGTCACCAACGACAGCACTGGCGGGTTCCGCACGTATTTCTATATCGATGCGGCAATCTTCTTCGTTGCTGCCATCCTATGCGCCTTTTTCTACAACCCACCAATACGAGAGCTTCAGACATTACCGCTGCGAGAAAAGCTTCAGCGGCTCGACTGGATTGGGTATGCTCTACTGACCATTGGGCTGCTTCTATTTTGTATCGGTCTATCCTGGTCCCAGAACCCGTACTCGTGGCGAGACGCACACGTCCTTGCACCCTTTATCGTCGGCGTCCTTGTGGCTATCGCATTCGTTGCCTACGAATATTATAAGGCGGACGGCATGGTTCACCGCAAACTTTTCCAGGACCGAAATTTCGCCATTTCCTTGGGAACCCTCGGTGTAGAGGGCTTGGTCTACTTCTCTGTCAACAACTACTTTGCCTTGGAGATGATTATCTTGTTCCGTGCTGACGCTTTCCGAGCCGGTTTGCACTTTTCAATAGTCTTCTATGTCTACGTCGTGTCCGCTCTGCTCGCCGGCGTTTGGATTACGTACCTGAAATCCATCCGCATTCCAGCGGTCGTGGCGTTTGTGCTCTTCATTGCCTTCTACATTGCGATGGCAACAGTCGACACGAGCACTCCAGTGCGGAACCTCTGGGCCTACCCCATCCTGATTGGCTTCGGGTTGAGTATATGTGTCGTGGTTCTGGTGACTGCTGCACAGTTCGCAGTACCACCCGAGCTAATCTCCACTTCTTCCGGTCTGGTTACATCTGTCAGAAGTCTTGGTGGCACAATCGGCCTCGCGATATACAATGCAATCCTTAATGCTACACTCGCAAAGCACCTGGAACCAAAGATTGTTGGCGCTACGATCCCCCTCGGCTTACCCGCAACTAGCCTAGGCGAACTGATTCCTGCTCTTCTAACCGGCAATCCCGCAGCTCTGGCTGCTGTTCCCGGTGTGACCTCAGAAATCGTCGGTGCAGCTGGACTGGCGGTAGCCGAAACCTATGTCCTGGGATTTCGATATATTTGGATCGCCGCAGGGGCATTCACCGTGGTGGCCTTAGTTGGTAAGATTCACTTTCATCCCCGTTAGAAGCCATTTATGACGCACGGGTCACTAACCTTCCTTAGCGTCATTATTCCTTCGTGATCCTAAGGCCGATTTCAATGGCCACATCGATGCTCCAATCGAGATCCGAGATCAAGAGAAGAGTCGAGGAGATAAGGTATCAGCATAGGAAAGGGTGCTGCCAGCTGGGAAGATTGTTGTGAGAGTTGGACGCAGCGCAGGATTGCATATTGAATAGACCTCATAGTAGGTCATGGCAAAGCCGTCTATCCATCAGTAGTAGTAGAGTTGACCAATGTGCGCTGCTTTGCTGCACGAATAGGCATGTTTGTTCTGTCTCGTTTTGGGGGCAGGTACTTGGTCAGGTGCTGGCAGCTTGGTTGGCACAAACTCTAATTTCAGTAGAGGAGGAGACATCAAGAGTCGGAGTTTGTGCTAACCAAATGGCTAGGGTCCTATCAAGTAATCTCTTCCTGCAGCGTACTCGCACTTCAATGTCCTGCCAGTGAAGTATTTCGGTTTGAATCGTTCGAAGTTGTTCTGTGTGCAACATCTCGAGCTAGTCAAGATCCGACGTTGCGTCGAACATTGTGGATGTTGATACACCATTTGGAGCGCAATCTATCTTAAAGACTGCAAGGATTTCGCCATTGTTGATGGATGGTATAGGCTCCAGCGGGGAGACCAGAGACGCCATTGCGGGGTTCGTAGGCTTCTTGCATTGCCTTGTTAGCGGCACGGTGCCTGCGATTTTAGCAAAGGAGGAGAATCTGGGGCTGTCGTGGCTGGGTCACGTTACGTTTGTACCAGTAGTATGGTATATGTCGCAACCAATTCTCCAACGCAATCCATGCAAGACACCATGACAACCTCTCGCTACTTTCAACGTGACGGCCCTTTATAGACTTCTATACATATCCTTTTTGCAGCCAGAAATGCCAGACTCACCTGCCCGACATTTCTGCGAGCAATGCGCTCAGAGTTTCGCCCGGAAGGAGCACCTGCGGAGACACCAACTGAAACGTGCAAAACCCAACATCACGGCATAAAACTTGACTGACGAGTGGAATGACAGATAGTGCCACACGTGCATACCAGTGTCCTAAGTGTGCGCAGTCATTTTCTCGAAGGTGCGGCCCTCGATTCCTTTCCAAGCGCTGTAGCACTTGGTCATAAGCTCACAATCAAGCAATAGTGATATTCTTCGAAGACATGAGCTCATACACGTGTCGCAAGAGAACGGGAACGGTACAACCATCGCCTGCAACGGCTCACCGAGGCGACAACGCAGGGCGCTAGTCGCTTGCGATAGATGTGCCAGATTCAAAATTCGGTGCGATGGTCAGATGCCATGTAGCCAGTGTTTGCAGAGGTCCTTGCTTTGTACAGTCGACCGACCACGGCCCTCCGGAAATCGAACTTATTCGTCTGCCGCTATGTCAGACATCTCAAGCGCTCCAAGTCGTGTCCCGGTCCCGTCTCCTTCGCATCAAAGCCGTTCTGTATGTAAATCTTTGCCTCGTACACCGAGCGTTACTAAGATGCCCTAAAGGCACGTGACGTTATTTTTACTGATCCAGCGGTCGATGCTCCGTACCTTGAAACGACAGCAAAACAATCGAATCCTGATACTGCCGAAAGTACGATGCAAGCCAATTCTACACATGCTGGCAACACTCTGCCTTTCGAACACATCGCCACCGAGGGTGAGAATGCTTGGTCGGGAGTCACGTCGACTTGGAGGAAACCCCACAACGCCGATGTCTGGACGTCGACGTCAGGGACCTCGACTTCCGAAGTTACCTGGGATGACTACTCCGCTCTATTCGGCACTGACAATCCTATGATCTTTGAATATCCCAACTTTCTATGGCCCCTCGAGGAGCTCAATCAATCGAGCGAGGTTGTTCACGCGCCTGTGGAGAGATCGCTAGACGTCGCAGTTGCTCCCACCGCCACCACCACCACCACAATCACCAGCGGGAGCACGAAAACCCCATACGCGAATCATCCGTTCATCTACCACTTCAAGACAGGACGACCTATCGACATCTCCATCATCTGCAGCTTCCTCCATCCTCAGCCCTGTTGGAACCAAATCACATCGCTTGGAAGCTTTCTTAAGGTTATACATCCTCAGCAGTGGGTCGTCTCCGGTGCAATTAGAGACGGCATATCTGCACGGGTGTATGGTATGCTCTCACGACGCCTGGAGCATTCTTATTCTAAGACGATACCACAGTCATTTCCGCCCCTGGAAACCATCCAAGTCTGCTTCCAGGCTTACCAGAGGAACTTTGCGGGTCTATACCCCATCATCCATCCTTCCACGTTGTCAGAGAGCTGGTGGACTAGCAAAGACGCTGAGAACGACATAGGGATCCTCTTCACAGCCATTATGACCCTTGGATGCCTAGGGCTTCCAATCCAAGAACCCCGGCAATTCGCTATTGAGCTCACCTACCTGATCAGAATCGCCATCAACGAGAGTGCAGAGCGGGATGAATCTAATCTCGAAGACAAGTGGGTTCTGAGCGCGTGGCTGCTGATGACCGTTTTTAGTGCCTGGTCTGGTGTCAAGCGGCATTCGGAGCTGGCTGAAGCCTTTCATGGCGTTTTTTCTACGGTTAGTACCCGATCTCACTATCACTGTTGTACAAACTCATTCAGTACAGGTTTTTCTAAGACGAAACTTCTACAGTGCCACAACAGTGCCGGAAACGCCTGAGATTGTGCCACCCTCGTGGAGTCCATGGCTAGAAAAAGAACGAGATCGCAGGTGAGTCGACAAGAATGCTTTCCGAAGACATTGTAAGTATTAAGCAGTAACTGACTTTTTGCAGACTGGCTCAGGTCCATTATATAGTGGAACAAGAGATCAGCTTGTTCTATAGTATACCCACCACGCTAAACTTCGCTACACTACGTTGTCCTATGCCATGTACAGATGAGCTCTTCCTTGCAGAGAGTGAGAAGCAGTGGCTGGCGATCCTGGAGACTCGGAAGGAGGAAAATTCTGTCAGTCGACGACTAAATCCTCCTTCATTGTCAAATTTTTACCTCTGGTTTCAGCGTCACGACTTCTCCGAGCTCGGGTACGACGCCACACCACTGCAGATTCGCTTGTTATTATGCACTATCTCAACACAAGTGCTGCAGTACGCGCAAACGAACCGCTTCGTTCCATCCAACGACCGATTTGCTTCTGCCTATATTGGCAGATCGAACAGTGTATGCTCGATGCTCCGCTTGGAGGAGCTTGAAGGTATGCTGGGGAAATGGAGGGCCCTTGCTTCTCGGGTCATTTCGTCTGATGCTCCCTCTGACATACAACTTTGGTGCAAATTGATGTACCATGTTATTTGGCTTGAATTATTGATATGCCACGAAGACGTACAAATCATTGCAGGCAAAGAAGGCTACGAGAATGGAAAGTCATTACTCGCACATCTACGCTGGTGGACACAATCCTCACTTGCCCGTAGAGCAATCTTCCATGCAGGCCGGATCTTCAAGATTGTTCGACAGAGTTCCCGTGATTTGGTGCGGCCGCTTTGGTGGCCTCTGGCTGTGTCCCGCGCGGCTTTGGTTCTATGGTGCTACACCATGGGATCCATGTTGGCAGGTAACAAACCAGCATTGTTGGACGGATCTATACCGAGTGGTGGCTCGCCTGTGCCACTCTACACCTCAGACGACGATGACTTTGCCCCACACATGCCAGGTATTCATGGTTACGAAGATATGGCGTCTATTCCAGACGTCCACGGTCAACTTGTCCCGCTTTGCCAGATTTCACCTTTCTTTGATGTGTGTATTCAACACCTCGATCCAGGCAGAAGTCTCAACGCTCCTATTCGCGACAGCGTGCATCGTTTTCTCGAAGACGTGAAGAAGTCTGGGATGCCATATTGAGCAATGTACAGAAAGATATGATTAGAGTTCGGAGCCAGCAATAAGCAGGTACATCAAAAAGTTAAAGGACCAATGCAAGCAACCTGGTTGTGCAATAGCGTGGAAAGTGTTCACGATTCCCGAATAAATCTGGGTTAACAGGCTATTTTTCTTTACCACCTTTGTCGCCTGCCATCTTCAGCGCATCGCCCCCATAGACCTTCGCTGACCAACCTTCCGGATGATGACCTTCAGTCACGATCGTACGTTCGTGAATCAGCCATGTGCCGTCTTTCTGCCTTCGGAAAGTGTCTTCCCAATATCCCCAATGATCCGCAAATTCATACTCGGTAGTTGCAAAGAACTGAGCTTGAGAGTGAGCTTCCTCCTCCGATGTGAATTCGATGTCAACCGTCGTCAAGTGATGACGGATAAATGCTGCTTCCTTGCCTCGTACGACTTCTCTTGCCTGACTGGGTGATAGGATTCGGCGGTCAGGGAGTCGATAGATTCCGTCCGTTTCAAAGCACTTCGCAATTCCATCCCAATCACAATTCTCTCGTGCTAGCCTAGCATATCGATGAATAACCTTGCTTATATGTGATCTGGCAATCGCTTCCTCAGTCAAATTCATTTTTGCGACTTCCGGCGACGGCTTGCAACCCGCCCTTATGAGCGGTGGTTATGGCTGATGGTCAAATTGAGCGTCGTTTCGTAGCTTTCAAATACACTACAACGACAAATGGTCCAACGGCTAGATTCAGGGCGACTAGCCGTTTTATGCTGAGACTTGTCACTGTCTTCTCGGCTGTCCGTGTTCCGATTAACCCGGGGACAAGCTGAGGTTCATTGAGCATGAACTGCAGTGGGGAAGGGAGTCGTGTTGCTTTGCCCCGCCTCCGCCTCCGCATCCGATGCCGTGCTCGTCGGAGTCGAGCAACCTGATGCGGCTGCTGGGGAAAGCGCGTTTAGCTCCACACCAGCGTAGTCTTGGCACTCAGCGGACATTTTGGCCGACTCTCGCCAAGCCGTGGTTCTGATGGTCGTCCGGCTGTTCCATGAGCAGAGACTCACGCTGACAGACTTTTTACCAACCTCAAATACTTCGTGCGGTGTACAAAGCTTGAGATACCGAGCACTACTTCCGCTCATCCAGAGAGTAGTTGCAAAAGTACGGCATGAGAATGGTTTTCGTCTTCGAGATGCGATACAAAATGCTTGTACTAGAACAATTCACTATTTCCTAATTCTGATAACCATACAAGCAAGCATACCCTCCCGTATAGCTAATATTAGAAGGAATCGATGAAGGGGACTACCTTGGTGGAATTAAGTACAATTCAACCATCTTGAGCTAAATCTGGACGTCTAGGAGGTTGCCTGCCTGAAGGACTAGGATCTGAATCAAGTATGGGCACCAGTAGAGTTGCCGCACAAACTAAGTAGTAGCACCATGTATGCGCTTGGTTCAACTCTTGAAAACGACCACGCACTAAATTGGAAGCTCGAGACTCTGGCCAGACTACAGCTGTATAAAATCGTACATTGTATGACCGTTTCGAAATACTATCTCATCATATCTTTGCTGCTGGTTGTTCACTCCTATCAACCAGATCCCTCATCCGGGTGATCATTTGTTTGTCAAAGGATTCGTTGATCTGCTTGAGCTCGTCGTCTCGATCCAACAGAACCTTGAAGAAATGATCCTCCTTCGGTCTATCCGGATCAATATTGTGACAGCGCAGCTGATTGTTCGTCGAGATTGGATCCACGATGTTCTTCCACACAGCGTGCCTTGCCTTTGCCCATATTTCAAGGACATCTTGCGATTTACCTTCGTTCAGAACCATATCAAAAGCATCGCCTAGAGAGTCCGCGTCCAATATACCTGTTGTAAGTCCTAATCCACCCCATGGCTATATTTCAGAAAGGTTAGTTCTCGTCCTTTGTTACGTTTGCTGGAGTCTTACCGTGTTCAAGTGAGCTGCGTCTCCAACCAGCACAGTCCTGCCGACCTTGTATTTTGCAACTTGTCTCTGGTGAATGCGATACGGCTGTGCATTCCGTATTTCATAGTGTAGAGGCCGTTTCCCTGGAACTAGCAGGTCGATCTTCTCCCTTAGCTTTTCTTGGAAGACCGAAGGCTCGACGTCTTCAGGTGCCATTGGCAGTGTGAATCGATACAGGTTCCACCCATCGTACCGCACCTTCTCTAAAGGTGAAAAGAATGCGATATGTTTTTTATCGAGCACGTACACAAGTGGTGGTTCGTCCTTTGGCGGATAGATTGGACCATAAATATCAACCGCAACTATGGTGTATGGCCAGGTGTACCCTTCCAATGATAATCCCACCAATTTCCTAATGGTAGACTTCCCTCCGTCGGCACCAACAACAAAGGGTGCCTTGAATTCCTTCGGGTTTCCAGATGCGTCGACCGTCTTGACAGTTACCGAATTATCATCTTCAACCAGCTCGTTGACAGTGTGCCCAAGCAGGACTTGTGCAGACTCAGATGCAGCTTTTAACTTTGCCATACATATGTCGCGCAACTTGTCTTGTCCAAGACACAACATTCCATACCCGCAGTCGCCAGGCTTCATGTCCACATCTTCCCATGGATTCCAGGCTGCCACCAAATCTCCCCAGGCTTTCTCATCTGGTCCACTGTCTTGTAGATTCTTGCGCCAGGAGAATGAAAGCTGGAAAAATCCTCTATCGCGTACTGCTTCGTATATTCCCGCCTTATCAAGCGCATACTGTGTGGGTCCGTAATAACCAAGGGCTCTGATTGCAGGTTGAAGGACTTCGTCTCTTTCTAGCACGAGGACCCGTTTGCCCATACGAATGATTCGGCACGCGAGGAAGACACCTGTTGGCCCTGCCCCGGCGATGATAACATCAGGAGTAAAAGACATCTTGGATAGCTGAATGAACTCAAAGGTCAAAGAATGCTAGTCGATGCAGCTTCGTACGTGCCACGTGATGAACATAAGACACGATGAATATAATACAATATTTGGGTGGCTGTTCGGGCGAGTCCACATCATCGCCAGACTTCCCGGCGGGATATCATCCACCTCCATAAAACCCCGGATCAGAAAGCTCACCGTCACCCACAGCCTATCCGTAAGGAGGGGTATCATCACGAGACTGTATATCTCATGAGACGCCTTTCGACTGCAACTTTGACTATCACCGACCCCGGACATTGGAGAAAGAGTTGGTTGTACCTATAGTGACACGAGCAACGGACGTCGACATCCTCGGAGCCGAGCATCCCGCACTTGTGATGGACAAGCTGCGTTGAGAAGCATTCATCACAAACCGCAATAGATACAATATTTTGCTTCGTTTGCTGCTGGTAGTTGTGAACAATGCAGGCGCGTCGGTCGTGATCAACTAACGTGTCCGTGACTTGAGCAGAGCGACATCTACTACCCGCTAGTCGGGCTAATTGTCCATCCTTCACACTGAATAGAGTAAATCAGCGGCCACATGGCCTAACAAGTAAGTAGCCTAGCCACTACTTTTGAAGAAATAAGATCAGGAAAAAAAAATTATTGCTAATAATAAAACGGCTTCTTTATGATGTTGTTCTATTACAAGCTAATCTTAGGTATAAGTAATAAGATATCATAAGGTAGATATATATTGTATATTATGCTAGATAGACGCGTTGTACTTAACTCAACTGCGTATGAGTCGCACACGATCTAGGGTGGCCCGTAGGTGAGCAGAGCGGTAAATCACCGGGACGGATTTAGCCCATCAGTTGGGAGCAGTTGCTCTCACAAGACGCAGCAAACTCGATTGTGTTGGTTGCTATTCCTCAGCTTTTCTTTTAACTGGACGCACACGCCCTCACTTACACTTCTCAAGCACTTGATTCAGATTGCCTTCTTCGACCTTTGTCTTCCTCTTGCATACAAATAACAAGAGACTGTTCGAAGCTCGTGATGAGCCTGAGTGTTATAGAGGGCCTTGTCTGTTCAGCACGATGGACGTTGATAGAGGAGCTCGGCAAGTGAGTGTTACAGGCACAATCTTATAGGGTCGCTATCCTGCGAAGAGCAGTACAAGAACGTCTATCTAACAACTGCACGAGTTGAGGTTCCCAGAATGAAGCAGCTGCGAGATTTGGTGGAGGAGAGCAAAATGCAACGCTGGGCTGTGGTTATACTCATCTTGGTTCTCGTTGCTCTGGCCTATAGGCAGACCATCGTCACAACCTATATCGACCATGACAGAGCTATTGACGAAGCCAACCACAAAGGTCATGCACCAGCCCTAATACAGGTCGAGACATTAGACCCTCGTCATCTACCCAGAACCTCCAAAACCACACCAGATCACGCAGCCGCTGGGAAAAGATTGATATTCGTTGGTGATATACACGGTTGTATGGAAGAACTACAGGCTCTGCTGAGTAAAGTCAACTATAAACAGGACACCGATCACATCATCGCTCTTGGAGACATGATAAACAAAGGTCCGGATTCAAAAGGTGTCGTCAATTTCCTCATGGACCAAGGTGCCTCTGCCGTCAGAGGAAACCACGAGGACAGTGTCCTTCTCGCCGCGAACAATCTACCACCCATACCACCCATACCACCCTCCCTTGCGAACACAGCCATCGAAGACTCGCCCAAGATCAAGCTTGCTAGAACTTTTACACAATCTCAAATACACTGGTTGAACACGTGCCCGGTCATTCTTCGAGTCGGCGACCTCGATCATCACGGTGAGATTGTTGCTGTGCACGGCGGTCTTGTTCCTGGCATACGCTTGGAGAAGCAGAATCCAAATTCCGTCATGAATATGAGGACCATCAACCCCAACTCTCGCAAACCATCTGCAGAACATGTGCTGAAAGGCTCTATACCCTGGGCAGAGTATTGGGACAAGACTCAGAAGTCGTTGTTACATCGCAAATTCTTCTTCGGTCGCAAAAAGAAACCTACCACAGTCGTGTTTGGCCACGATGCAAGAAAACGTCTCCAGATTCTTACCTATGCAAAAGGTCTGGACACAAGTTGTGTGAAAGGGAATCAGCTAACTGCCTGGGTGGTCAGCGATTTTGGCAAGGATACCATTGTTCAAGTACAATGTAAAGGATATGTCTGAATCAATTACAGAGCCGTGGAATGTGGCACTGCATTCCAACGACGCTCCGTCCTCGTCACGTGAGTACTCGAGAGCTACGGGTCTGTGCTTTCGACCGCTTCTGTTTTCAGCATCGTAGTTGAATGCATTGTTTGCTGTCGCTGATGAGATGCGTGCGGCAGCCACGCCCACATCCCACGGCCATCCCTCCAAACCATGTCACCTTCGACTAGGTCATCTCCGAGTTTCGAAGGCCATCGACCAAACAGTTTTCCGAGCAGAGTGACGAATCTCTTCTGATTAGAAAGTCGAGCAGGCCTTATAACAAAGATGCGCGAATTTATAGGCAGCGGAAGCAAAGACTCGGACAGCGACGAACCTCAATCAACACCAGCACCTCCACGACAACCTAGACGATCTTTGAGGATTAGACGTAGACGATACGCGATAAACCATCCGTCCCCACATTTACGGCGATCGTCTGACGCTACTCGAGATCTAAAGCAGATTGCGAAACGACCGCAACCACGCCCGTTTCCTGGAAAGTCACAATATGACGTTTATCGAACTCAGAGTCAGCAACGTGCCAGAGCTGCATTGCACCATCTGTTCCCACCACGCCGCGGTAGCGGGTCTTTCTCGAGGCGCATCCCTGAACCAACTGTGGTAATGCAAGCACTATCGCCAGACCAACCCGAATCGATCTCTCCCCTCGACCAGATGGCTTCATCGCCACAAGATCTCTCACCGCACACTTCACCACAACCTGTATCACTACACGCTTCGCCAGCACACGCTCCGCCGACACGTACTTCACCACCACGACCCCCTTCAATACAAGGTCCATTGCCCCACGCTACTTCGACACATAGACCACCGAGCTTGGGAAGTCGTAAGTCGTCGATGCCATCCTGGTACGTTGAAAATACAGAGATAGGCACAGTACAGAGCGATGAAGGTAGCAGCGAGAGTTCTTACGAATCTTCAGAGAAGGATCAAAGCGAGCATCCGAGCAACAAAGCTATGTCCGATAATGCTTCAGCTAAAAACGATCTAGAAGTCGAAATTGTTGGTGTTGATGAAGAGTTCAACGCGCAAGCGTTAGTCCCTAGCCTCAACGATGATATCCTAGCAGAAATGGAATCAGATGAAGATTCAGACGATGATGTTATCATGTTTGACCAACTATCCTTTCAGGTCACCTTCGAGAACTTGTGGGGCCAGACAGAAACTCAAAATTGCTGCATACGACTTAGTAGTGGTTCGGTACAGAGGTATAGAGTCTGGGCTCGAGAACAGACTGGCCAGCAACGACGGGAGTTCGACGGAAAAGTACGCTCGCCTATTCCTCGCACGCTTTTCAGACGCCATCCTCCTGAGAAATTTATATTTCCCGCATTCCTAGAACTGTGGGATCATGCACATAAGCTACAAGAAAACCATTTGAAGGCAAAGAAAAGGATCGTGCAACTAAAGGGAAAGGTTGAGTCTCTTAGTTGCCTGTTAGAAGTACCCGATCCCATGCTTCAGAATGAGCTTTTCGCAGTGGAACACGAGGATACGGAACCGGCCCGAGCTAGGGAGAACTCGCAGGAGCCTGCTCAGCAGCCGGACCAAGGCAAGTTTGCAAAACAACCTGTACATGAAGTCCAGCAGCAGCAGCAGCAGCAGCAGCTTCGCAACAGCGATGCGCCTCCTCAGCAGGTATCCCGCCTAGAAACCCATACAATATCGCTCGGCAGTGACAAAAAGATTGATGTGCACGAAAGCTCTTGGCAGGACCAGCTTAACAAGCTGAAGAGCGAGTCGCAGCAGCTTAGGGATTGTAATTTTGAGATGAAATCGTACAATAGAAAGCTGCAAAATGAGTTACAACTGAGCATCGAACGTCATGCTCAGAGCATGGACAGAAGCAAGGCGCTCCAAAAAGTGATCGAGGCAAAAACCAAGGTGTTAAGTAAGAAGACTAGACAACTAAGCGAATTGCAGAAGCGGAACGCTGAATTAGTCAAGGCACTTCGGACACATGATACAGTGGTTGGTGCACAACAGGAGCGGGAAGGATTTGATGCAGAATACCTCAAGGTCAAGCGTCAACGTGACCGCTCATTGCAGACTCTCGACCATGTACAAACATCTATGCACCAAACAGCAGGGTGTCAAGCAGCACGGCAACAACAAATAGCTATTCAACGTGAGCGTCAAAGACTAACGCCGCCTGCTGATGTTGCTAGCATACAGGAACAGGTCACTCCCTTCGTCAAGGAGGCTGGGACGCCGGACACAATGGAACAACTGAAAAGGTTGCGCAACCACAGACCTGACTCTGACAAACTCGATGCTGCACCTATCTCGTCGAATGCTGGTGCTAGACCGTCCACGACCGCTAAACTTGGCCAGACCGACCACAAGAAATCTCGGCCCGCTCCAATCAAAAGACCTATGGGAAAACCTAGAAATCTTGAGGCTACAGAAATCACAAGATCGTTCAGTTTTGCGCGCAGTTTGCCAGGTCCTAGTCTCAAACATCCCATTCGCGATCCTGCAACCAACAAAAGTCCTGTTGTGCAATCGAAAACAGATCCTTTAGAAGCTCCAGGTGAAGATGTCTCAATCGATTCGAGCGCGACTTCGAAGGTTATAGTCTCTCCAAAACTGTTGGCAGGGCAGGACAGTATTGACGTGGCGCATCAATTTGGCGACCTCACAGCATTGTGGAAAAGGATAGATCAGAGTAACTATGTCTTCAATGACACAGCTCTGATTCTGTATAATGTCTACGGAATGAACAGAAGTAAAAGAACACAACTCTTCTCGCGAGGAGATTATGTATATGTTGCTATCCTCGTACAGAACGAGTTTTGGCTCGTAAAGGCTGATACATTGAGCTCGATCTTTATTCTTCCGAGAACAGCAGCTACCTTAGTTTGTCCTCATGGTCAGATGTATTGCGAAATATACGAGGTCGTCTACGGTCACGAAGTTGACGACGAGGACATGCATATCTTTCTGACACCACTCATATCCCTGCCACATCCGCCTTCCTACGGCAAGAAAGAGCTGTCCTTTAGATTTGTTCACTGTGCTCACTCTCAGACAAGCACTGGTCCATTCAGCGATGGATTTGGTGAGCTGTACAGATGTGTAAGAACCCTGGGTGGAGAGAAGAACGGATGGTATCCTGCTATATTGTTGTCCCAAAGTCCTGTGTCTATAACCGACTACGCACCAACTCTATGTCCATGCAGTCAACCCCAGCCCTACACTAGTACCGCAGACGTACTGAAAGATTGTCACAGCATTCTAGCACCATTTGGGACGGAGGGTACTTTCAGCCTTTATGAGCACGATCTCGTTGACATCGCCCATCTGCATCCACAAGGGCGTCAATTATATTGCATTCTCCATCGAAAGACTGGTCAAAGAGGCTGGGTTGATGCTTTTAATTTACGCGTTCATCGGCAGCCTGTTGCGAATGAGCATGGAGATATTTATTACGACATCACTCCAAGACTTTTCGATTTCTCCATGGATTCGCCTATGGGTGGACAGAATTGGAGCGGTAAAGATTATTCTCGGTCTTACGAAATGCCAACGGGCTACAAGGACATCCCAGTCAGGCGCTACGATAATTGGCGCACCGGGCCGCCCATAGGCAAATACGTCGCATACAACGATTACATGCAGCTTCCGAGACCATGGAAGGATACACTGGCAGTCAACTGCTTTGGTCCAAGAAGAGGTAGAAACCGAGCAAGACCCCGTTCGCTCATTCATGATACAGAGTATGAGCATCGCCTTATCAAACGCAATGCGAATATTGGGTGGCAGCCGAAGAGAACCATTGCCGATAGCCAATTACTAGATAGAGACTACAATTCAGATCCTATTACAAAGGAAGCACGATCAAGAAAACTCAAGTACGAATATAGAACAAAGTCTAGAGGCCATGTTATACAAGTTCTTGCTGCCGATCCCGATGAGTACCTTGACGGCCCTTGGTCGGATCGAAACAGGAATGACTGGATCAGCAATTACCGGGGCAGAGGCGGTAATATTGACGAACGAGGGCTCGCTGTCCTTAATGCCATGACGGTGAAAGAGAGAAAACAGGTCGAAGGAGATACTGGCTCGGGTGATGATGCCACCGAGGCTGAGAGTATGACAACTCAGGAGTCGGATCGAATGCAATACGACAAGCTCGCCGAAGACTGGGAACGCGGTTACGATCTCGTCTACCAGTTGTCTGATACTAGTTCGAAGGTTTACGGGCTGGGAAAGACGTTTGTGAGAGTGTTTGACCTTTCTGATGATACGTTAGTCGTACAAGACATCGAGTACCTCAACCGGAAATTTCGTGTACCTATTGGGAAAATAGATGCCTTCCAGCCTCTTCTTCGGACAGCCACTACGGGTCATCGACCAGATACTCAAGTCATTTTACTGGAGAGGTTTGCTGATGACGAAGGAGAAGGCGACGAAAGCGAAACCTTATACTTATGCGTCTGTGCAGAAGAGGTGCACAACTGGTTCACCCGGGATTTGCACATAGAGGACGAGCAGCATTGGCAATCTCTTGAAGCCGTGCTTCAACGTATTAGAGAAGCCCACGAATCCGACAAGGTCGATCTCCCGATTCCGCCAGTACGTGATTGGGATTTTTTCTACACGGTCTTGTATCTTGAAAATAGCGCCTTCGAGAATGATTTGCAGATACAACCAGGTGAACCCGTGTATTTGGACAGGAGTGAATCCGCACCATCTGGTAATTGTTACTGTCGTACCCAGCCTGAAGGCAAACACAAGGCTTTGTTCGAAGAGAAACAGCTCGATATGCTGAACCACTACCTCCGTGTTCTGAGTCCCGCCGCTGACGATCCGGACCTAAAGCAGCTGGATTATGTGATCGTCCTCAAGAAGTTCGAAGACAAGTACTGCTGCAGCTTGCCAGGCCAACGTAAGAAGTGGTTCTCCGAATTTCAACTACAGGCCATTACAAGCACTATGAAAGAGTCACACGACTTGTTTAAGAACCTCGTCGATCTGAGTTATCTGTCTGCTGATGACTGGGAAGAATTTTTACAGTCCTTTGATTCTCACCCGGGTCCAGCTCAGTCTTCAGCAGGTGTGCTGTCGATGGACTCTACGGACATTGGTTTTGATGAAGAAATTATGTCAGATCATATGATCCAGGATCCTGCCTCTAACAGATCGTCGCAAGCATCTGCACAATCTGGACATACATCCACAAGTCCACGATTCGTGCAACACACTACACCAGACATTGATGAGGTTGCGCAGAAGCCCGAACAAACAGAATTTCCGGATTTGTCATCTCCCACGGTCGAGCGATACAGTCCTGTCGGACAACCGACAACAACAATGCCAGCTTCACAGTCCTCCGCCCCCAACACAGTCGGTGCTGAGAAAGTGAATTCGAACTCTCGCGACTCGACTATTCTTCAACGCCCCTCAAAGAGTGCCTCTGTCGTAATATCTGCTGAGAAAAATGGCTGCAAGATCTCGTACACGGACCTAGACCCTGAGCGATTCCAAAAAGTATGTCCTTCCGTCCTCGATAACTTCGAACGCCTGCTGATGATGACTTCGGATAGGCCCGGCACGACCTCGACGCAATCCCTTCAGACGAACCAGGCACCAATTTAAAGTCGAACACGAATCATCGGGCCGATGGGAAATTTGGAGGAGCAAGACTGGTTGAGGAGATCGTTGACGACGTTTTGGAGCAAAAGCTCAGTGCTAGGGAGTCAGTCGATGCTATTCTCAAGGAGGTAACAAGAAGGCCTTCCACACATACTAGATCAGTGTCTATAGGGAACAGGGGCGACTCTGCCTTGAGCGATTCGTCCACTCGTAGTGCCTCAGCCGGATTTTTCTCAGGGACTACTCTCCATACTAGCCGGAAGTACGGTTCGAGAATGTGGACGCTTCCGCAATCAACGCGGCCTACTGATTCGTATGACCAGGAATCCTTGCTCCAAGAGATAAGGAGAAAACAACACGAAGAATCAAAGCGACAACGCAGATCCTACAGAGACTATTGGCGTAAAGAGCGTGCCGAGCGCGAGCGGAGCAACATACATCACAAAAACAAGGCTGCAGACGAGATGTCGGCAATACTGAATGCTCAACCAACTAGCTACGAAACGTTCAGACGGAGGTTCCTGGATAGAAGGGAAACGCCAGAGCATATGGATCGTCGCGAGAACAAGAATAGTGCGCTCGGTGAGACGTTGGCCGAACTCGATCCCCATCCAGCTGCAGACAGTCAGAAGTCCGAAGACAGATCGCCTGATTTAACTCACAGGAAGCCCTCTTCCCGTGAGTCACCTCTCGACACATGGAACGCACCATTCCAAATCACGATCGAAAGTGACAACGAAGGCGAAGACCACGACGACGACACAACCGAAGCCAGTGTAAGCCCGGAAAGTATCATATCGCCACGTTCATCCTTCTCTATGCGACAGCAGCAGCAGCATCATCTCCTCCAAGAACCTAAACCGCTTTCCACTCCGACCTACTCATTGGTCATTTACTGGCTCGCCATGCTCTGGATGTTCATCAGCATGTATGCCATGCGACGGGAGTGGCTGGACGTTAATGGTGTTGGTATGGGTGCACAGCTTGTAAAGAATCGAAGGGATGCATATAGTGGTGATGGGTGGGAGTGGGCAGTTTGGGAGATGGTGAAGAGAGGGTTCTCGGAGCGGTAGGAGAATGTTCTATAGGTCTGTGAATAATAACATCTTGCATATTGTGTGTAAAGTCTGCCTGTTGTGTATATGATTACTCAACTGGCTCACGGGATTGCGCGTATGTACCAAATGTTTCATTCTGTGATGTATGACAGGTGCAACCAAGACAAGTGAAACTTCAGCGCCGTTGCTGTTGTTGCTCTATCTGTTGTGCTACGCAATGTGGTTCTTACATGTCTTCGATACTACCGTACCACTACCACCAGACGCACTAACACTTTGTGAATGTCAATGCTTCTCGTCATCCAGTGGATGAACAGCTTCAACTTCCACATCGTATGTTCCTCCCAATTCTTGATACCTCGGAGCATTTTCATATTGTGGCAATGGCTCTTCCTTCTCTTCCTCTATAATCACGGTTTCGCGCTCAGATCTCACCGGACCTCTTCGACCATGGCGATAGGCTTTGAACCAGATCAGTATTATGGCCTGGCCAACTAGCATGCCGACTGCGCTAGCGACTAGACCACCGATTATGCCTAGCAGGGCAGGAACAATAAAGAATCGGAGTGTCTGGTGGAGCATGTGACTTGCTCGGTGATATCTGTGGCCGCCATGGTGACGATGATGGGCGTGGTGTCCGTGATGTGGGTGTGGCTTTTCGCCGTCAGAGGGAGGTGAATATCGCAAGAGCCCGGAAGGGCCACTCTTGCTGCCGCCACTGCATCCTTTGACCCATTCGTGTACTTTGTTGGCCTTCTCTTTTGTAGCTTCTAACATCGAGCGCATTCTGGACGCGACAATGGCTTGTAGTCTGCAAAGTGGCCACGATGTAGCGCCTTCGCATGCCTCGGCACCCGGCGTTTCTCGGAAAGGCACTTGCTCTGTATTCACAATAACCAGGTCGTTGTTGGGTGTTTGAATGAGCTTTAGAGATATCGTGTTGACCTTGACTGGCATACCACTGAGCCCAAAGACAGTGAACTCGATCGGAATGAGGTTTACGTCGTCCTTGTGAGGAGAGGGAATGGCAGGCATTAGCTCCAGAGCGAAGTTGAGATGCAAGTCGTTGGTCTGATCGTCATCGTCGGCTCGGAATTGGTGGGCTGTGATCACTTTTGACTTCCGACCTTCGTGGGCTTTGTTGAAAGGAAGAAGAGTTTGACCATTGAGGTTGAGGGACTGGTCATGTGTATCGAATTCGAGATGCTGTTCTAGTTAGCATTGCCTGGAATGTCTTACACCAGAGGCCTAACTCACGATATAGCTGTCTGCCGGTTCATCAGCCCACTCGACGTATTCTCCTTCTTCGTTCTGGCCCTTCGACACAGCATAAGGGCAGTTAGGACATTCAAGGTCTATCGCCGTTGTTCTTTGTTGCAGTAAATGGTGGATGAATTCCTTGACGTGTTCGGGTGGCCCTCCTCGAAATCTTGCGTCCTTGAAGTCGCCTGAGACGTGGGGAGGGATTAGGAATGCTGAGGTCGCCGCTGCAAGGCCTGCGACCAGTGCAGTTGAGAGATACATGGTAGTTTAGTGGTCCGGATCAGCCGGCTAGGTGTTATCAGCGTTTCCTACTCAGATATTTGGTGGAAATTTAGCAGAAACAAGACAAAAGGAAATTGCGAACGAGGTCGAACGGAATTGCAACGAGAGAGAGTCATGACAAGCAGGAAGAGACAAAAACTGCCAGTATAACGTGAGGCAGGAGTTGTGTAGATAGCATAATCGGCAAGCCAATAATCCGCATGTCCGCTCGCTTACGTATCGTGCCTCCCCTTGCTACTAAAGAAAGCAATCGCGTACTCGCGTGCAGATATTTCCTGAGTTGCCTTGTTTGGATTTTCTCTTATGGAGGCATTCTGGTGAATTGACCGTAGGAGGCCGCAACCGTGCATGGAGATACGGCAAGCACCTCATTCATGGTCAGTCGGCAATGTGCTACTGGCCTCAAACCCTACTGACGTATCTGCCTACTTGGCACGGCCAAGCTTTGCCCACTAGCTCAAGCTTGGCTTTTCGCTCCTCTCCAGCAGACTGCATTCAGTCGCTCGTATGAGGATGTCCATTCTGTTCTGAGACTCGAATGCACCAGACTGCACCCGGACAAATAGTACCTGCTGCTTACTTATGGCCTCTCCCTGCTGAATGGAATACCAACTCTATGAAATCTGATTCGATATCAGAACACTATCGAAACATGGAACCGTACTACGGCATCACGTTCCCCCTCCGGCAAGGGACGAGGCGATAATCTGCGAGACCGTCTGCCAATTCAGAGACAGCTTCTTCAGCAAAAGTGACAGGGGAACAGTGTCCAGCATGAGCAGTTAGCTGGGTGTGATTGGAGAAGACAATTCCACAGCCCAGACATTCTGGTATAGACCGATATTGTCTGCTTGATTTCTTCCCTGCGTGGTAAAAGTCGTCTTCAAAGTATAGAGGCCGATATCTCTCGTGGCTTTCGTACTTCTCCCACGAAGTCACGACGCAGCCTAAGCGAGTCGCATAGCTTGGTCCCCACTTGCCTGGTCTCCACATACCTCGTCCCAATCCTAGCGCGGACCAATTGTTTGAGACCGGTGCGAGAGGCTGGCCCGATATGTCATCGTAACCTTCGAAATCTTCATCAAAGGCAGACGTCCGGTAGAAGAGCTGGGAGGTGCGCATTCCTTCTCCCCACTCCTGCTTAGCGGACCACTTCTACCGCCCCTGCTGCTGTGGAGGCCCCACCTCTTTCTTGATGATGCTGTTGAGGATTGTGATCTTGCTTGGGTCGTTACCACACCGAACCATTTTCTCAAGTAAGAGACTTGAGAGGTCTGTAATTTCTAACGTATCAGGCTGTGTCGAGGAATATTTCTTAGAACACCAGACAACCCGCTCTGTCTGCAAGGTGTACTTTCGGTCAACTCCCAAAGATCTCATTGCTGAAAAGAGGTTTTCCACAGCACTTGCGATAGCTGGGCTCTCAGAAATAGCATCCTTGAAGTCTGGCTGGACTTTGACTGTGATGTGCTGAAGATCGTGCAGCTTCTCGAGAAAGGTTGCAAAAGATTCCAGGTTGTGGAGAAGTCGAGCTACCCTTCTGCTATGGCGGTGATACCTCTCAAACTCGATCGTGAGTCTTTGCAGCCGCATGTACCATAGCTCTCGAGGTCCCAGCTTGAACTCACCGAAAGACTCTTGCCAAGGTTTCAAGGAAGCGTGAAGTATGCCTTCTTTGAGTCGAGACCGTGGTTTGCTACTTCCACATCGTCCACACTTATTGTCACCCACAACCAGTGGAACATCATGTCTGATCACTGGCAGGTAAGGAGCAGCCTCAGCCCATGTCTGTCGACAAAGCACTAGCCATTTCCACTTTTCAGTACGTCCTCGTTCTGACTGATGAATGTGTTTCTTGTCGCAGCGCTCGAGTTTGCCCCAGCTGAATCGACAATCAGGTCGGGTGGCCAGGAAGTAGATTTTGTTACGGATCTCGGGGGCCAACCGAAAGAAGCTGGTTGGCGAGGTATTATCCTGAGCAACGGCGAAGTGGACCATATTAGGTGGTTGCGCTATTGTTTGATCCGACTGGAGAATTGGTGCAGGGTTCGTGCATGGTCCGCACGAGCACGCCGAATCGTCGAAGCCGAGGAGCAGCCGCATGACAGTAGATAGGAAGTTTAAGAATGCTGAGATTGCTCGAAGGCTTGCCTCAAATTCAAAAATTTTCTTAAGTTGAGGGTTGTAACTCAACTGCGATCGAAGGTGTATGCACTGAATTGACAAGAAGTTAGGTTGGAAGGTTTCTCGTCACGGTTGTTGTTATTTATGCTAGAAGTGACAACGAGTAAACACATCGTCCCGCGTTGTTAAGGCAGAGACTTCGTCTTGTAGTGTTAGCTACATCTTGACTCGTTGAAAAGTGTTGTTTCCTCGTGAAGTATACGTTGCCCGTCGCTCGTCCTGTTTTCCGTCAGTCCTTGACAGTTTTTGGTCACCCACATACTGATGTATGGCCATGCAGGTACAGAGAGCCTGAATGTGACGCACTCACAAGAGACAACATAGCTGAATGACCACGAGAGAGCCTACCCAGGTCCAAGTCGTATCTCACTTCCGCACCTCTACGCATGGTGTCGGCCAGGTCCAACGTTAGTGGTCTAGCCTTCAATGACAGAGACTCTAGGAGTCAGCATTGCTACAGTCCACAACTGAGTATTGCAGGTGAGCTGGTCCACAGTTCAGGTTTACAGTGATGATGCCAACGCTTTCAAGACAGGCACGAAGGAGCTCGACCGCCGAGGCTGATTCGCTCTTGTCAGTATGAAACGTGTAAAATGGCCGTCAGCCTCGCTGAACAAATGGACCATGAGAGGCAAATATTGTATATCACAACTGCTCGTAAATTCACCAGCACAAAACATCAGCTCAAGGTTGTGTATATTGCAAGCTATCTACTGAGCAATTGACCGAAGCATCCTTTGAAATTCGCAAATCACCTTAGCTGCGACTGATCAATGTTATGCAAATATGCCACTGGTCACAATGCTGTCGTGTAGAGCTCAGATAGTGTACGGAAGTCTGTTCGAACCACTGACAGGCACCAGTAGCTGGCTTCAAGTTCTTCGCACAGAGCCCAGGCACATACAGACACCAAACACGTTGCATACGAGGGCCTCACGTCGTGGTACCATAAGAATATAAATGTCGCTCAAACTGATGGATATTGATGCATAGCTGAAGGAAATAGGCTATCGCTGATGCGTCCAAATAGCCATGACCACGAAAAGCTCACACCTCCTGTGTCAATATCTGATCCATTCTGCTCAGACGCCAGTACAAGTCACAACAATTACACCCACATGTCAAGCCGCTCGAAGATCCTCTACTTTTAGCCAGCACACTGGCTCCACTTAAGCCTGCCTAATCGTCGTGTTCAAGTCAAGCATACCCGAATCTCATGTGAGGGCGTCAGGACTTCGCTGGAGTTACACCGTCCCTTTCCATTTTCTCCAGCTTGTTGTGAGAAAATTTTTCTGTTGCGATGTGTTTCAAAGACACACTAAACCCTGTCATGGCCCTGGCCATCTCGTGCAACGCACGGGCTGTGACCAGCAATACGGTGATGTACTCAGCTGCCACTTTTGCTGCTCCAGGCTGTCCTAAACCTTTAGGTAACATGGGCTGTTTCACTTCAGCGAGTACTTGATCCATGGTCTTCTCGCTGGTTCGCCTCAGCACTGTGACCACTTGTTCTGCGAAATCTGCTAGGTAGCGCTGATATTCTAACAGGTAGGTTGAAACTCCCTTGATGAACGGGATGCACACAGCAACGATTTCGTTGTTCGGAAGCATGGGGTTTGTTGTAAGATTAATAGCTTTGTTCAAGCAGTCTTCCGGTTGCGTCACTTGAGAAGTGCGTACAGCCCCAAGCAGCTCGTCCAATAAACTCAAGGTCTTACGCCAATCATCGAGATTGGGGTCCTGTTCTTTAGTACTTTCCAGATAATCATGTGTCCGCTTGGCAAGAGACTGGAGGGTTCTTGACCGCAGCCACAACCCTCGCACGTTCTCTTTGGCATGGCCAATTAGGGCATTTTCACTGGGCGTGATGAAATCCGCGGAAGGGGGGAGCTTCCTGCTCTCAATGGGATCCGGGGAAGAAGGCCGTTTTCTGCTCATGGTTGAGTTCGTGAAAGGAGGTTATCTCGAGTCCAATTGGTATCAGTAAAAGGTTTCTGTGAACAGATTAGGAATGGTATGTATATGGACGTGATAAGTTATTTCAACATCCAAGCAACAGCAGCTCGGCTGAAGATTCTTATACAGCTTCAGGCTTTACTCGTTTGCCACGTGAGGCATGCCAGTCGTTGGGAGCAGGTCATTGACTCCAGTACTTGAGTCAATATAGTGTGATTCATCATCGTGAAGAAACCATTGAGGTATGGACCAGTCACCGCGAACGGGACAATTGATCGGCCAGTCGAGAACGAATTGAGGACGTCGAGACTATCTCACAACGAAGACTGCTCGGACTCATATCGAGGTAAACAGGTTATCTCGTTGGCACTATCGGAGATAGACAAGAACCGAAACAGTGTGCCAGCAGGTTTTAACTACAGAAAACAGTCTCGCAGCTGCACGTTCAACCACAGCGGAAGAAGTTACAAGCCTTCGCGAACTGCCTGCAAAAGACACTATGGCGCATCGATGATACGAAAGCATACTAGGAGCGACAGATAATGGGATCAACATTACAACGATACAAATCGTATAGTTTGGAAACGAAATTTTAGCTCAAGATGATGTTATTGAAATGTATATAAAGCTATCTAGATAATCAAGAAACGAACCAATAATAACCAGCTCCATGCTCGACAGAGCTCAAAATTGCGGAATATGGGCGTGGTTCCCAGCGTCTAAATGGTCGTGTAAGAATAGAAGAGCAGAACTTAAATGTTGTTACACAGTTCTCGTGAAAGTTGAAGCCAGAAAGCTGGTGTTGACAAGCAAATCGGACGAGCCATTAGCTCAGAGTTAGGGTCGGTATAGACGTTGGTGAATCTCGATATGTTCGCCCATAAATTTGAGCCATCTTACGCTTTCGAAGATCCGCACTTAGCTTCAAGTTTCGCCCAGAGCGCATCAAGTAGCTTCCGGATGTCAGCCATATATCGTATACCCTGGAGCAAATTGACTGAGTGTAGGTCGACATGGTCCGGCAGTTCGCCAATGACAATTTTATGATCCTTCCCGACCATCTGCCGTAATTGCCGACGTTGATTCACACTGGGACCTTTTTTTTGTCCGTCGAAAACGCCTCCCAAACCATTGACGTATTCTCTCATCTCCTTAGTGTATGGAATTGTGACTGCCAAGCTTCTATCGTGCTTCGCCTTTAAGTCACCGAAAACCCCATCGGTGACAGTACCTTGATTGACAGCGAAGACGTCCTCAGTCTGGTTTCTAAGGTCTCTCAAGGCATGGAAGACATCGCCCAGTTTTTCAACCAAGACTGCAAGGTTGCTCAGGCTGCTATTGAGCTCCGTGTCATCCTTGTCATCTACTTTGTCAAGATGATAGTTGACAAGGAAACTTGCGGTGGAGTTCACACGCCATAATTCTAGGTTGGTATTCTGTGTGGTGGTCATGTTGGTAAAGTTCCGTATCTGTAAATCGATGCAACTCTTGTCGGTAGTTGAATCTCTTGAAGTGGTTACTAAATGCGAGTTTATCTGGGCAGTTTCTGATATACAGCTTCAACGAGAAGTCTCAGTCCATACCTTCTTATATACCTGGAAGACGACATCGTCGTTTGGCCCCTCGACCCAAGTCATCGCAAGAACACACGGCTGGTTGAATCGACAGCAAATCTAGATTAGTTTCTGACAGAAGCAGCAACAAGATACTCGTAGTCAAGACAAGCCAGGACCACGAAATTTCCAAACAGAAAAGGTCCTTCATGTTTCGAAGGAGGAATGCAAACTGAATGCATGAGTCGAATTGCTGCTAGGGCACAAGGTCGTGCTAATAACCACGAACCGAGGAGAGTTGTGTGTGCCATAACACGCACGGTGATGTGACTAAAGGCATGTCTCCAGTGTAAGTTGTAGTGCTAGCGTAGTAGGACAAACATTCAGATGACTCGTTAGGGTTGCGCAACGGCTAAGCTGTGTTTGAAAAAGAAGGGGGTTGGACAAACTTCAGGTAACACGAGTATTTCTTTGCTGAGCTGTTGGTAAGCTTGTCGTGCTCGAACGACACTGCTTAGACCTGCGAGAGTCGTAGGCTGTGTGTGTGGTGCTTGTCTGCTTCGATATCAGTTTGATCACATATGCAAGCCTGTCAAGAATTAAAGTGGGGATGAACAGGGAGGAAAGCAGTTGGGTTGCAAGTATTCACCAACGCCGGTCAGAACTCCATATCTCTGCCAGAATCTGTTAAATTGAAGTAGGGTCACAATTTACTCCCACTCTTCTGCTTCTTCATCCCACCTACTCCCTCCACACTTCCACCTTCCAGCAGGAAATCTGGATATGGAAAGTCACGTCCTGTCGAGGTTGTCCTCCAAGCACCACCGTCGACGACGAGAACCTCGCCGTTAACATAGTTCGCCGCGTCACTGAACAGATAGACAGTGGCGTCTGCAATATCTTTCACCTTACCCATTCTCCCGCTAGGAATGACCTTCCAAGGATTTGTGCCTTCTTTGGCTTTCTTCGCAAGACGATCCATACCTTCAGTGCCACCTATTGGGCCCGGTGAGATGACATTACTTGTGATGCCTAATGGACCATACTCGATGCAGACCTGTGATGAGAGTGCATCGACGCCAGCTTTAGCAGCCACGGCATGGGTTTGTAATACTGTTCCGCCATAGTGTAGTGTTGCGGAAATGAAGATTATTCGGCCAGACGGTACAGTGGACTCCCCAGTCGGATGCTCTTTTGCTGCCTTGACTAGCTCTGGTAAGCAAGCTTTGGCACAGTTGTAGGAGCCGATCAGGTCGATATCGATGACAGTCTTGAACGCGTTCGAGGAGAGTTGGGACATTGGCGCGAGGAAGTTACCTGCTGCACCAGCGCTGTCATACTGTTAGCATGACTTCCTGGTGTATACTGGGAATAAATGCTTTTTTTCCATAGACTCTTCTTACATGCAGAAATCGATCCTTCCAAGCTCTTTGACACAAGTGTCAACGGCCTTTTGCACACTTTCCATACTCCGCACATCGCATGCGCCTATGCCAATGACTTTTGCTCCCTCTCGTGCTGTAGCAATATCTTTGGCCATGCCCTCTGTCTTCTCGACGTTGCGACCGACGATGCAGGCATTCGCGCCTAGGTGAACCAGAGCTCGAACTTGGCCTGAACATATGCTGCCATTTCCGCCGGTGCAAAAGACGACTTTGTCCTCTGTAGATATAAATTAGCAACAGCATGGACGCAAATCGTGCAGACGAGTCTCAGGCCGCGCTACCACGACCAATTCCAGCATGAAGAAGCACAAGAAGGTCGTCATACTGAATATGCCATCTTTAAAGATGCTGCTCACGTATTCTGATGGGTCTTGAGGCATTGTACGAGGTGTACCAGTCCAGGACTGGCGAGAAATCACGCTGTTAAAGTGCTTTCTCTGGTTGCGGAATGAGGAGATGTTGGGTTCCTGACTTAGAGTGGTATACGCAGGTAAGGCAGCTTTGGAATTGAACACTGGAAGAGCTGAAATGAGTCGAGGAACTTTATGCAATAGATTGTTCACGACCTGCGGCCGTAAGAGTGCCATGGACGTCTGCAGTTGTTCAATAAGTTCAAATCAGGTTACCGCAAGGGCCGCCATAAGAGATCAACCGCAAAGAGCCGAGGCACGAGGCCGTACTGTGAAGACAGGCATACAGGCCGGCCGATGAAGGACCTTGAATACATTGAGCAGTATGGTTGCAACGGACGAAGACTGACAAGCTCTGGGAGTGGTAGAACACGCTCATAGAGCTTATTGCAATCTTTGAAAGAGGCAGGAACGACTGATAGTGAGCATGAGCCGCACGATATAACTTTATGTCTCGCCGTACACAGTCGCAGCCAATAAATTCGTCCACAATGACCACCAATGACATAACGTGAAGCAAGCCCGGAGGTGTCGCGTCTAGTGGCCGTTTGAGCGATCGCAGGCATACCCTCTGGTGACATCGATCATTCAATATAGTGAAGGTGACCACCTTGTCACACAACCCGGCGTTATATTCGTCGGCAAGCTCCATTCGAGTTGCAGCTTCTTCCCGTAGCGACAACTTCCGCAACCCTTTCAACAGTCCTCGAAGTTTAGCAAGCTCGATCGAGCGCCACATATAGAAGGAGACCTCCATCCATCCCCACCTCCAGGCGTGGTATATACAGAGACAAGATGGGAGTGTGTCCTATCACTCTCACAAAGTTCGTGGGAACTTTCTCACTCGGTCTGTTGACTGTAAGTCTTCACTTGTGTTCTACAGAGATTGCCGTCTATGCCAGCGATGGTTGTGGGAATGCGCTCGCTATCGAATCGTTATGCTCGTCTCCACCATCAGCACCATCCATCGTCGTTGGCATGTCTCCGTAACTATACTAACCCACCTCCCAGGGCACATCCTACACCCTCGCAACTGTAGCACTCCCCACCCTCGCTCTCCTCCCCTCCGCCTCAACCGCCAGCCGCACCCTCAACGCCCTCCAAACCTCGACAACCCGCACCTGCCTCACTCTCGCCTCCATCTCCTCCCTGTCCCTAGTCACCGCATTCACCCTCGCCTCAAGACGCAACAAGCACCCTTACCTCCTATGGACAGCGCTCGTCAGCTTCCTCGGCGGCCAAGGCGTTGAATGGTGGTTCAATGGCTTCGAGCGTTTCCCCACTTTCACCAGCCGAAGGACGGCGAAGAACCAGCAGAGCTCGGCTTCTTTGGAAGAGAGCATGACGAGAGGAAGGAAAACAAATGGTATGGCGGATAGTGAGTATGTTAGTGTAAATGCAAGAGAGTCGAGCAGTGGGAGTGAGGATGCTGCTGGTCAGTTGGACGATGTGAATGGGGAGAAGGTCGAGATGGAGATGGCGAGGGAGCGAAGGGTGCAGTTCGTGAGGACTGCGGTGTCCGGTGTTGCGTTCATGATGGGTGTTGTGGGTGTGTGGGGTGATGGTGCTTGAGCGATTCGAATTGTGGTGAGAGCTGGTGGTATACCCGAGAGGACAAGTGATTGCCCTTCCATGGCGAATATCACATCAATGTCAGCGAGATATCTCAATCTTTCCAAAAAGCTATATGTGGAACGACGGAAACGAATCAAGAATTTAGCACGAAGAGACGCAACACTGTCAAAATTTTGAGAAGGCATCGTGTCAGTCCTCAGTTGGTCAATCTCAGTACCTGATATTTTGGAGTTTACGTTTTCTGCTCATCCATAGCCATACTTAGCAAGCAATGTAACAAGCTATCAATATCTATTTCCGTAGCACTCGGTCGCTGATGCTGTCTATGTTCGCTGAACTGCAAAGAGTACATCTCAAGTCCCTCTCCTTTTCTGCTGAGCAATATCAATCATTTCGCCAAAATCTTCCTCGTCATCATCAGAGTCTTCCACAAGCTCATCAGTCGCCCACGAGAAATCATCAGTCTCTTTCGTCTCCGTCCTAATCCGTGCCCTGCCTTCTTCAGTATTATCCTCTGGATGACTATAGTCAGCTGCAAAGAGCTCGTTGAGCTCTTCGTGCAGATGCTTTGGATGCTGGTGTGCATAATCAGCACTGCGACTGCGGGTATGCCGAGGCCTGGAAGTAGGAGACGAAACTGGCCCCGGACCAGTGCTTCTATCACTTGTATTTCTTGGTGTCATAGGTGTCATGCGGAATAATGGATTGCTGAGCAATGCGGATCGAGCATCTTGAATGCTTGCGATGGTTGGCGCCGAATCTGAGCGTTGGTTTGGACGAGGTCGTGCAGAAGAAGAGGAGCCTGTAACGTCTTGTGACTTCGCATTACCCTCAGATCGACGCCGTGGTTGTCTCTCATCGCATCCTTGTACGATGCTATCAGTTTCACGACACTCGCCTGTATTAAATTCGAGCTGGTGTCCTATCCTATGCTCCGTCGACTTCACTCGCCTCAATTTGAGAAGCGGGTCTTGGTTATACTACTGCCAAGCAGGCATATTGCTGCCCAGCCCGGGCCCTCCTTGCGCAATACCCATTGGTCCAAACTCTGAGTTTGGTGACTCAGCAGCCCATCGTGCAGAATGCATTCCGAAATCCTGTCCACGATTTTGGCCCGGAACAGGTGTGGGTGGTTGTTGTGTACCATTAACACCACTTACCACCTCGTTGTTGAGCCCAGGCGCCTCTTCACCGAAACCGACATCCTCGCCCTCCCCTCGGAATCTCATCTCCGCTAGACCCCAGCCAACAGCATCTAATTCGCGCTTGAAGAAGTCTCTCTCCTCGTCGTTGACTTCCTGACCAGCTTCCTCATCTGTGGCTTTCGAATCTTCACCAGGTTTCCTGTTACGCTGTGATTTGAGTTTCATCATGTCTCCGTATTGTCTTTTCATCCACCAGAAGGTCAAACCTCTTAGACCCCATTCGAGCGGCACAGCTTCGTCGTAGTCGCCGCCCTGGCCGTCTGCTCCCGGACCACCCATTCCTGCTCCAGGAGCTGCATCATGTAGGCCGGCGAGCCACTCATCACGTAATTCTGGTCGACAATGCAAATATATAGCTGTAATGACTCGCATGTTGCTTTGTCTCCACTTACGGCCACAGTAAGGGACTTGTGATTTGAACAGCTTAAGGACATACAACCGAAGCGTCGGTTCTGGAACACGGAGAATCCGACGAAGAATCTGAGCAGATTTAAAGGAGACGAGAAGGAGAACTCGATGAGCTTTGCCACGTGTCACTTTCTGAAGAATGCGAAGGAGGGATATACTGGTGTGAAAATGCCGCGTACTGAAACTGTCAACTGGCAATGGATTTGCTGGAAAGTCAGTCAGTGGATTGCCTAGCTCGTCAACGAGTGGTTGTGGAGATGCAGTAGGTGCATTCTGGTCAATGGGAGTGCTGATGGTGATTGAACCTTGCTCCCCCTTTTGTGCTTGATTTGATTCAGCACCATCAGAAGCTGAAGTTGAGGAGCGACGGTGTCTCTGGATTGGTGGTGGAACAGCATCATCGTCTGATCCTTCGTGGTCCGAATGATGACTTGGCGATGTTGGAGATAGTGGTGGACGATCCGAATGAAGCTGACAGTAGCGCCAGAAAGACAGGTCGTCACGATCGTAGCGAAAAGAGACTAGCTCTTCTAAATTCTGATGTGCAAAGTATTTGAGCGTCAACTGGATGTAATTAGAATCAAGCAGAAGCTGTGTGATGTATTCGAATTTGAGTATGTGGCTGATCTTGAACCACTTCAGCATCAAGAACAAACACGCGGATATAGCCTTCTGGCTGACTTCACGTGTTCTGATGTTGTCAAGGTCATCTAGTGTCATTTCGCTTGGCCGTGGCGGTGAAGGTGGATTCGGTATCGTGTTTGGAGCGTTGTTCAGGTTGCTGGTTGATTTACTTCGATGTAGTGCCCCTTGCAAGTTTTGCGTTTCCTGCAGTTGAGTGTTGCGAACAGAAATGTCCTGCACGTTGGTGAGCATGACCTTCATCATCACGATGATCAGCGATTGCAAATCTGGCAAAGCCTTATGGAAGTACTCTTCGACCACGTCCATGCGATCTTGCAGATCCACGTCCTGAGCTCTATCTCCATTCGCAACTTCTTTCTTCGAGTCGTGCTTCCTTTGAGCTTCATCTTTACTTTGCGAAGACCAACCACGATCGTAGCGCATAAATTCATCCCGTTCTTTCCACAATTGTTTCATTGCTCGCGTCATCCGCATTCGGCTAGCGAAAAGTTCTCCTGCCTCCAGAATGGAAGCTGGTATATCACTGCCCTCCCACTTCCGGCCAACCGTCGCATCCTGGTGTTGCGCACCTCCACGCCCACCAATACTGTTACTGTCACTGTCGAGAGGAGGATAGAGGAACGGGAAGTTCTGGTTGGTTTGGTAGTTCTGCTTCTTGCCTCCTTTGCCTCCAGGACCAGCTGGTGAAGGTGGAGGAGATGGTGCGGGCGTGGCGATATGTACAGGCTGGTGCATGATTGACCCGCTCGGCTGTCCTTGTTTGTGAAAAGCATCGAAGGTTTCAATCTTGGCTGCATGATGAGGAAGTGGAGGAAGAATCGTTCTTTGGTCATTTTCAAGAGGAATCAACGGAAGAGGAGGATTGTATGCAGGATACTTGGATGTGATCTCTTGGCGAAAGAGATGGTAGTCCAACGGCGATGCTGTTAGGATAGGCTTGCATGCGTCTGCTGAGAATCGATCGGCTCGAGGCTGTAAGTCGTTCTTCAACCGTTCTATACAATCTTTTGTATCCCCAAATGCTAGCAAGATAGATTTCCAAAGTAATTGTACTGCATGCATTAAGGGTATATTGTAAGTTTCGTCCCATCTTAGTCGAGATACTGTGCGTGTAAGGAATACGAGGAAGTCTGGTCGTCGGTTGAGGAGATGTCGTCGAATTGCACGACCTGCTTCATGATCAATCCGGGAGCGTGCCGACTCGACAATCATGTAGAAGCAGGAAAGGCATAGGGAGATTTCACAATATTGTGCATCATCAAAAAGACCTTCGTATGCATCCTCACCATCCTGCTTTGCTCCAGCATCCGCAAAGGGTCGTTCGAGAGCCTTCCTCAAGTTGTCATAGAGAGGAACTGTGACACCTGTAGTAATAACCAGATCGACATTCTTGTGCATCCATTCAATCTGCACCAAATTTCCAATTGGCTTGTCGTCCGTCTTATCGTCAGGAGATTGATCAGTACCTGCAGTCAATTTCCACACTCCGCATAGGACGAACAGCAAAGAAGCTACAGCTCTCTGACGCTCCGAAATATCGTCACTTTTTATTCGAGGGCCAACATGTTCAATGAAATCTGTCTGCTGGGCTCGCTCTGCGTCAAGCCAAGTGATATCTTTGCGTTTGAGCACAGTCCGGGCGTAGGACTGCCAGCTGTCCTCGAAACTCTCCTGGGCCGTGAGCAGATAATCTCTGTCCTGATCGGGGGCGGTGTAATGGAACCACTCGTCAATCTCTATAGCAAATTCTTGGGCATCCTGATACTGATACGCGAATGCTTTAGCCTCAGGTTTAGGAAAATGTCGAACCAGTTGTCTGAGCTGTGGCAGACTCAGCGAATCTGTGGGATCTTCAGGCTGAGTCGGCGGGGCTGGCGGAGGTTGTGAAGGAGGTGGTGGAGGAGGCGTCGATGTCTCACGTCTCAGACCTGGCCTTGTCGGTACTGCAGGTTTAGCAGGAGAAGGTGGGTTTCCAGATGTAGTCAGTGCGCTCAGAGGCCGTGTATCGCCAGGTGATTTGATTGTAGTGCCAGCATCAACCTCGTCCGCTTTCAATAGCAGCTCCTGGACCGGTTGTCTATCGTCCTGTGTTGGTTGGGTTTCCATTGCTCTAGGTCACGTGTAAATCCAGTAAATCCATTATTGCAATACAGGAACATTTATTGAGCCATTGTTAGTGGTTGATGATTATCGCGCATTCTAAATCCGGAGTGTTCATGCTAGGATCATTTTGTACGTGGTTGCTGTACATCAAGGTCGTCAAGACGGCAAGCGCAACTCGCCAAGCTAAAGATTGCACATGATATCGCCTCGACTGGCCATACTACGGCGCTATTGAAACACTACTTGTGCAGAGTAACAGTATCAGCGTCATTTCCACTTTCCGATCACTCAGCAACCGTGCTACAACATTAATTGTATGCTGACAGCACGCACGGCATATTGACTGCAAGAACACATTCGCGCCAATCAAAGGAGCTCTCAATCATTATCGTTGCCGAAAAAGTCTGAGACAAGCTTTAGAAGGGCCGCAGGTCACGATTACACGAGTCTTCGACAGCATCGTGAGCAAATAAGTGGTCGAGACATGACTAGCGTTTATAATTCATCAACATCAGTCAGAAGGCACTGATGGACTCGAGATAGGTTCGATTGAGATTGAAGTCGAAATTAAACATACGAGATCGGAGCTTGTTCGACCTCTCATCCCGAGCACGAAGAAGAATAGCAAGGTGAGATCTGTCAGGTCGATGTGTGACTTTCGGCGTCTAGCTAGTAGCGAGCGCGCCGGCGATCAAGCTCTGGTTAATCGATGTCGTAGCAAACAGCAGCTTCGAGAGATTCAACCACACAGCATAGTCAGCGAACCGCCTTGAGGAAGGGGCATTGCTTGAGCTCGAGTTTGTGAGATGACTTGGCATCGCTGCTAGTTAGCCTGAAGAGTGCCTCGGATAATCTCAACGACATCTTCAAGACACTGTCGCCCTTGTTTGAGTACACCTAACGCTGATCAGTAACTAGTAGTACATGCCAGAATAGCAAAGGGACGACGTACCACTCAGTGCCATCATCGCATGGGGCATACCATCATAGACACGCATGTCTGTCTGCACTCCTGCCTTACGGAGTAATTCACCGTATGCTAGACCTTCGGTAGACAGCATATCCTGACCAGCAATAGCGATCCAAGTCTTTGGTAACTGAGACAGGAGCTCAGTTGGTGCGTACAGAGGAGACAATTGCCAATCTCGCTGTTGTGGTGGGTTGGAAATGTACAGGTCGCGAAACCAGGTCATTCTGGGTGCAGTCAAACCCGGCGCATGTGGGTACGATGACCACAACGTCTCCAGAGTAGCCGTGTTGTCAGTGACAGGTACAACGAGCACTTGCAGCATGATCGGTATCGAGAGTTGGGCTGCTAACAGGGCACCCACAGTGGCAAGGTTACCACCAGCGCTAGCTCCCCCAATCACGATCTTTGTTCTGTCGATGCCTAACTCTTGCACACCACGATCACTGCTCACCCATTTCAATGTCTCCATCACATCGTCAATCGCAGCAGGATAAGGGTGTTCCGGTGCTAATCTGTAGTCTACATTCAGAACAACGCAGTCCGCTTTCTTGCAGATCAAAGAACATAGATCGTTGTCAGAATCGATGTTGCCACCCACGAACCCGCCTCCATGAAGCCAAATGACCACAGGTCTCCTGCTTGTGGTCGTACTAGTCGCAGGACTGAACGCCCGAATGGTAAAGTCCGAGTCTATTCGAATATCTTGCACCTTTCCGACCGGAGTGAGGGGCGAGCCGGAGTACGGCCAGGTAAAACGAGTTCGAACGTGTGGACTCCAAGGCTCTAGCTGTTCGGGTCGAACGTATTGGACATATCGGTCGTGAAAAGTGACATATTCTGGGTCAAGAAGGGGCCGTATAGATGGGTGTATTGGCTGATATACCACTCGTTCAGTCAGAGTTGTATTGATGGCTGGAACTGCTTCAACCTCGTTCATTGGCGGCATCGTGGGCGGCTGACTATCTCGTCTTTGATCGCCTTGTCTCTCCCTCTCCCTCCATCCGCCACAAACTCGGCGGAAAATTTGCAACATACGTACTTGCCTTGACACAGAATTAGACCTGCGTCATCGCAACGTGCTATGATTGCCTTGTATATATTGTTGAAGTCCCAACTACAAGTGAGGATTGACGAGCGATACTCGGGTAGCAATCAAATTAGCGTCGTACATTGTGAATCTCAAGGTGAAATGAGTGTTAACATCGTAGTATATGGTAAGTGATAGCAAAGGCACGTTTTCGGACTCAAGGACTTATGAGCATCAGCGGTTATCACGGACCCCTTTCAACGTCTTAGCAGGGCCGCACGAAAGAAAACCTAGAAGAGAATATCACTACCGTAAATTCATCAAGTACTGTAGTACAATCAACAGCATCATTGGTGTTGGGAGATCGGTGCTGCATGACGCTAGCACATAGAAAGTCCCACCATTGCAACGGCAAACCCACGTTTATGGTTTTGCTGCGATCCACATACCTTGCTCGAGACCCTATGGAAGCCTGGGCATCGACCTTCGCAGATTCGACCAGGTCTGTCGGACGATGTTTTGGAATATATTTCAAGGATCTTCACACTATCTACCACAATTGTGACATGGGAAATTCAAGTTCTTCCAATATTGCCGAAAGGTGATACTTCGGTCAGCAAAAATTTCTCTTCTGGCCACAGTCTGACCTCGGCTTCCTCCTTTCTTTCCCGTGCGGCTTGTGTAAAAGCTTCGCAATTAGAACCGCAGATGCAGAGATCGGCACTGGATATGTAATTACTACTAAGCGGGCCATGCTGAGACGTCGGTTAATTCTCCTGCGCTAGTCGAACTTACCACATTCATGGATACTTTGCCGTCCCGATTACCTGGTAAGAAGGCTAACGTACCCTGGGGAAAGTTGCACCCTGACGTTCCAGTGGTCACCATATCCATGGCGCAAAAGATAGTCAGTCTGGGCAGCAGACTTTCGAGCAGCTTCGCGTCGAATCGGAGGACTGTAATTTTCGAGGATCGACGGCTTCGGAAATACCAATGACATTTCGAGACCAGTTCTAGATGCCTCCAAGCTGAAGCTCTACGATATATTCACCTCGGAGCATTGCCAATCAAAAAAACCAGAAAAATTGAGGTCCCGAGAACTTGGCATGCTTTCTGAGATCGAACTTAGGTTACATTGCTTACTTCCGTCCATCTCCTCAACGTTTCGAAGAAGGATCCGGATGTTTATGTTCATCAATTCACCCACAGCGAAGAGGCAAAGTAGCCAGGATGGACCATTGTACTCAACCGCAATAACACAATGCCTAGCTAGGTACTGTCAACAAATCTAGGGCACGACCCATGGGACAGGATCGTGCTCGTTCGACATCGAGCCGAAAAACATTCGAGACTACTATACGGAAAAATGTTCGACTCGTAGTGACCTGTTTCTTCGAGTCCGACGATATTGGGCGCCATGCTGGTCGATAAGAGAACCTGACCCGTGCATTCCTGCGTCCTCAATGGTTTCTTCGGAGCTCATGCTTGGAGCCAGCCATCCTTTCCAGACTCACAACAGAGTAGTTCAAGCCAAGTACTTTCGACGGAGCTGATTTTCACAACCGCCCCCATCGGAACAACGATCATTACCGTACCAGGCAGGTAGGCACTATCAGGGAACCCAAGAAGATCGACAGGAACATGACTCGCCTATAGTTACCAGATTAGCGGGACGAGAATGGGCGATCGCAGAACTCTACCAAACGAGTAGGTACATGGTTTCGCTAAATACAGGTTGCATGAACTGCCACAGTTTTGGGATCTTGCAGTACACGCTAATGTGAAGAAGGTAACCCGCAGCAAGTTTAAGTGAAGTTCGGGACATGAAGCGAAATTCGTCTCGTAGCTGGCTCGTCTCGAGGATTGATTCGGGGAAGAAGAAAAGACCACATGGACCATTTCGGATCTCTGCTGTTGCGTACTTCCTGCGCCTTGACCAGGGGTCCTATCATCAAACCAGCTCGCGCATTGTTGCTCCAACATGATTGTCCTGACCCGGCACCGGAATGCAATCCGCAATAGCCGTTGTATATAAAGTACCTGCAGATTGCATTTCCGAGGGAAATGCAGACACGAGAGATGCTCGCAATCTGAGAACTAAATCTGGCTCTCGACGTAGCACCGAACTCTTATACCTTGGACCACAATCCAATCAATCCCTTCAAATATTCCACAATCTCTTCACCACCAAGCTTGCTCTCGCCGTAGACTCGATCTACAAATGTGATCGGACACTCCTCGACATGAAGTCCCATGGCCTTTGCACGGGCCATCAGCTCCATCTGGAACGTGAAACCCTTGCTCTCTGTCGCTTCAATGACCTTGATCACAGCCTCCTTCTTGTACAGTCTGAAGCTGCCCGTCAGATCACTGACCCCTGGCGCCAACAGGAAATCTGCAAGAATGTTTGCGCCCTGACTCGTCAACTTTCTCTTCGCGTCCCAGCCGTATACACCACCAATCATTTTCTGATCCAGACCTTTGGGCTTGTAACTTCTGTATCTTGTGCCTGTGACGATATCGCATCCCGTCGCGGACTGTAATTTTATGAAATCTTTAATAAACTTGGGATGATGCGAGAAATCAGCGTCCATGATTATCACAAAGTTTCCTGTCACAAATTGTAGACCGTGAACATATGCCGTTCCCAAACCAAGCTTGCCCGCCCGTGGCTTGAGGATTATACGGTTCGCGCCGAAGGATTTCTGTATTTCTTTTGCGCGTTCGAGGGTGCCGTCAGGACTTGCGTCGTCTACTACTATGATCTGTGAAAGGCAGGGATGTGAGTCTAGAGCACTTCTTGTTTAGTAGGACAATATGGTGTACTGACCTCCCAGTCTAGATCTTCTGCTGTGAATGAGTCGTAGAGCATTTGCACCAGTACTGGCAGGTTCTGGCGCTCATTGTAAGTGGGCAATATTACAGAGTATTTGTTCTTCTGTGGTTGTTGTGCTTTGGCTTTGGCCATGGTGTCCGCGAAAAGATGTATGCGACGATGTGGTAGGGTCTGCGATCGTATCTGTTTCGAATGTAGGCTCAGACACTGTACGCGACAACTTGTCTGAGGCTCGCAGGTAATTTCAGGGGCGCTCAAATGAAAAGCATGTGCATTTCTGGGGCTGCACTGCGACTTCGAGAAGCCCCGTACTTGACCCCATATCAGTCTTGGCAGTGCATTGCGCTCGTCCTGTCCTTCTTTCCACTCAGCCTCTCTTTACTTCACTGCATCGCCGTCTTGCTTTTGGTCCTGCACCTGAATCAACTATGTACTGATGTAACGGTCATAGTCCTAGTACTGTATGCTTCGAAGGTACCAAAGAGCAACAACCCCACTGGAGGCTCACGCCCAACACCTTGTTGTAGCATTCTTCTGCGCTCCGTGCTTGATCTGGGTTTACTGGCTCCTTTCGTCCAGGTATATCATTGACTCTTATTGCTGGATGCTTCTGCAACCGGACGATTGACCCATGACTACTATACATATGTACATAGCGCTACTGAACGAGGAAGAGGTGCCTACAGTGTTCCAGACCTAGCATTCAGGCGTCCAGCTCAGCTAAACTATTAAGGCTTTTTTCAGCTGAGTGGTCAATCACGAGCTTGTTGCAGAAACAGACGTCTCAATATGGTAGGTGCAGCTTAATTTGTATCCAACGTCAGAGTCGGTGTTCTCCTTCAACTACCTGTCAACATGATCTGGCATAGTCTAGTCCAGACTCTACGCTCTGGGTTGCCTGTCTGGTTCGACAGACGTCTCTCTTGTTTTTGCAATAGCTTGCTGCAATCGTCAAAGAAGTAGATGCAGCAATAACGTCTACAACAAACAGCGTCACCCCGGCGTTCGAAAGATACAGGGCAGAACCCCGTGCCCAAGCTTTCGCATATTATAACCTTTCTGGTCACAGTAGCAGCTGATTAGACTTCGAAGACGTCTCCTCAGCTTTACGAATCAAGATAGATCTGCAGCATCGATATCAAGTAGCTTAATAATCGTTGATGGCTTCCGGCAATGCTAACTACCGCAGACCTGAAGCTCGCGGAATCTCAATTCAGACATCTGTCCTTTCTCGTTCTCGCTAGTCATACATCTACTGGTACCGGTTCTGACACCGTGACAGATCTACGTGTAGACAATCCTTTCTACTAAACTGGCTAGATGATGATCGTCAACTGAGCGGAACTGGTTTGTAATCTGCTATTGACACTCTGTTACCATCTACCTGCTTTCAGGACCTCGACTGTATTGTAGAGCGGAACCTTGAGTCCAAATGATGGCGATTGATAAAATGAAAGTACGATGAGCCAGGCCTACTAAATAAGCTTTCTCCTACTTCCCCAGATGCAGTGTCACAACCAGCTTTCTGGAGAAAGCTTCGACCATGCAGGCAGAAGATGGTCTTTACCATTATTGAGAGGGCAAAACTCTAATCCACCTGTGAACTACTAGGCGTACCTTCGATGAGGTATAAAACCGAAGGCTACCCTCATTTATGGCAAGCACAGTGCTGACGGCCATGCCACCACTTTCACTCGACCGTCTCAACATCGACTTGCCAAAGCACGACCACAATGGCAGCTGGCAGTTCTGTCTTGATTACTTCCAATAATCTCCTCATCTGCAACGCATGTGGTACACAGTTTCCGGTGGAGGAGAGACAGGCCAAGGAAGAATGCAAGATCTGCGATGTACGATGAGGGAGTATACTAAGAATTACTTGTCAACTAACAGCTCCAGGACCCTCGCCAATTCGTACCTCCTGAAGGTCAAACTTTCACCACTCTTGCAACTCTACGACAAAACCACAAAAACATCTGGTGGCAGGACAAGCGCCATCCCCATATCTGGTCTGTCCGCACCGAGCCCAAATTCGCAATTAGCAATCGGGCAGAACTCATTCAAACACCTTATGGCAACGTCCTAATGGATCTCATTCCCTTTCTCGATCAGGAAACCATCGACAAAATCCTGGATCTCGGCGGTCTCGAGGCGATCGTCATTTCCCATCCTCACTACTACTCAACCTGGGCAGACTGGTCTCGAACGTTCAAGTGCCCCATCTACGTTGGAGCACCCGACAAGGAATGGTTAGAACGCCTCGACACGCCAGATGCAGAGATCAGATTCCTCACTGAGCTCAGCACTCCCATCCTACCGCGCGGCAAAGACATTGGCATGAACGCGATCGTGACAGGAGGTCATTTCCCTGGTTCCCTGCTACTGCACTACGAAGACGTTCTCTTTATAGCTGATACCATCTTCGCTGTGCCGTCGGCGACTGACCCTGTTCCAGGCCGACCGGGCAAAATCAGTTTCAGCTTTTGGTACTCCGTGCCAAACCGCATTCCACTAGATCCCGACGAGATGCTGCGTATCTGGCGGATTGTGAAGAACTTAGACTTCCAGACAGCTATAGGTGCATTCGAAGGAATGGACATCTACACTATGGACAATGAGAAAGGAAGAACGGGTGGCGTCAAGGGACGGATCTTGGAGAGTTGCAGGATTACGACGAAGGCTATGGGTTGGAAGGAGCATGCGATCTTTAGTGAGAGCTCATAGGGTCAAAACGACTGAAATTTCAACATACACACCCTTTTTTACATGCATCGGCCGAGATTCTACAGTGCAATCACCCTCACTTCTTCACACTATCCTTCACACCCTGCACAAAACTCTTATCAATACTTCCCCCCGTCTCACCAGCTTCACCATCCAGATTATCCAGCTGACTTCCGGTTTTCTTTTCCTCTTTGCCTTCACTACCACTACCACCTGTGGACACTGACGATTTCTGCCGGATGTAAGTACATAGTATCCTAGAAGTTTGGCGATAGATAGAGCCTACCTGATTCGATTCTGTCTCTGCAACCCGCTGACGACCACCTGTAGACTCGCCAGTCTGGTTCTGTGCTGGTGCTTGGTCGCCTGTGCCTAGGTCTTGTTGGCCGGTCATGGATGCCATGCTTGCTTTAGTATGCTGTGGTGATGTTCGTGCCTTGTCTGTTGTTCAAGATATTTGGTACTTTGTATCACTTCCAGCTCAAAGATAATCGATGATTAGATAAAGACTTCACGCAGTACGAAGACATGTACGTTATAGTAGCATGCGTCACATCTTACGTGAAGTGGTACAGAGCGGATGGCTTTTCCGAAGGCATATCCGGTGAATCCATGTCAGGAGCTGACTGTTAATGCAGTACGAGAAAGTGGTAGGAAACATGTTGCTACAAAATACAGAAATTACGGACACATCTCACGCTTGTGGTGTGCGAGAACATCCAGATTCGACGAGGAAGTGAATTTCTTTCTTGGTCATCGAGCAAAATCTGCTGCCATTACTATGTACTCAGGTAACTTGATTAAATCATTTTGCGAATTCGCGAGGCTGTACAGAAACTAATCTTCATCGCTATCCCACTCATCTTCTCTATCTTCGAGTGCCAGCCTGATGAATCGTTGTATTCCCTGTTCAGCGTTATTGCCTTGTCCGGGAGCGGCTCGAACTTGAGGGGCCGCTGCTGCGTCGTTCCCGTTGCCAGGTATGTGAGCTCGAAGTTGCGCAGGCTGAACCGCTAGTGCTGGCACTGCATGTGCCGGTGCTCTTCTTTGAGCATTACCTCCTCGTCCACGATGACCGCCTCGTTGCTGGTGTGCAGGTGGGTTTGGCGCAGGTGGAGGAGCTCGCGGTGGGGGCTGTAATTCGATTAGTCGGGGAGCACCATTTCGTGCAAAGTTGACGAGCTCGATATGCGGCCGATTTGGTCTTCGTTGATCTGGAGCTGGTTCTTCGTCGTCGGTATCGTCATCCCACGCTGCGGGCGCATCTCCACCAAATGCACCAAAGTTCTCTGCTGGTAAGTCTTCCTCTTCATCATCCAAGTCATCGTCTTCTAGGTCTTCTGCCTGCCAGGGTGCTGCGGCACCTCCAGCAAAGCCTATACCCACATCAGCACCGTCTCCACCTTCCAGCTCCCAAAGTCTCATGTAACACGTGCTCTTGAGTTCATTGAAGTGTCTATAAGGATTATCCGGCATTAGATATGCGCTGCAAAGATAGCAGAAATGAGTTTTGCACTTGAAGCAGATCATGTGGTTGCAGCCATAAGTTTTCTGGGCTGGTGCATTGCAGGTTGGACAAGGTGTGCTGAAGCGCTGCATGTACTCAAGGGACGCCTTTTCTTCCTCGTTGAGTTCTGCTTGTCGGCGAGGATTGCACCTTGCCAATTCGCCATGCCAGCCCTTCTTACAGACGGAACAAAAGGCAAAGTTGCAGTCCTCGCATACAGCCAGACGCTCTGACATAGGAATATCTTCGGGATCGGCTTTCTTTCTCTTGGTAGGCTTCTCTTCGATTTCAGATTCGTAGTCAGAAGCTGTGCCGTCGTGAAGAGGATCGTCGGATTTAGGGTGGCGCTTGGATTTTGCAGCTCCCTGACACCATTGTCTAGGGCAATAGATTGTGTTCTTGTCAGCTTCCAACTTCTTCTTTCTCTTCAATCTCACATATCGCTGAACCAGCTCCTGGTCGATCGGTATCTGCAGTAATTCGCTAGGATTGAGCGTCCGGTCGACTTTGCGTTTCTTCCCAGGAGAGACTTCCACAACTATATCCTTGCCACAACCTGGGTCGAGACATTTTACATTGTCCACATCGCCTTCTGTGATACAATTGTTGAAGAAATCTTGTAGGCATGCGACGCAAAAGACGTGACCACACAGCAGCATTCTGTGACATATCTTGCCCTTCTTTGGCTCCAGACAGATACCACATTCAAAAGTCTCGTTCTCGAATTGCTCGCGCTTCCGCTTCAGGTCGTGATCTAGCAGAATCAATTTGAGGTCGCTTGCCAGTTCAAACCTATGTTCAGGGTTATCTGCAAGCCCGAAGGCCTTCTCCGCCTCTTGCTGTACATAGTCAATAAAAGTGTAAACGACTTGATCTTGACCACAATCCTTCCACAACTCTGCGCAGCGAGCCTGTATATCAGTGATCGTCTTTTGAGGTAGCCAAAGAGGTTGCGCATGGACTTTCACATCCGGCGGTCTTTGTTGAGGATAGCCATCTGGTAACGATATGTCAAGCTTCAGTGGTGGCAAATGAGACAGTTGATGCACATCGACGTTGAGCACTGCAGCAAGTGGTGTAGCAGCAGGCTGTTTAAGCCCACCCTCATTTCCGGACGAATCTGTACCGGGAGGCGTTAACACATCCAGTGGCGCAGAGGTGGTCGAAGATTGGAAGTAGATCTTGAGTGGCTTCTCAGGCGCTACAGGAACATCGAGCGTAGCATGAAACGGTCGCGCTTGGTCGATGACCAGCTCGGGGAAGATTGCGGCAATAGTAGATAGTTCGATCGCTCGTTCGTCGTCCTCATCCATCTTTCTGCACAGGGAGTTGATGTTATCTGTGGTCCAGCATACTGTAATAAAGTTCCGTGGATTCACGGAAGCAGAATTACACCAGATATGGAATCAGTAAATCTTGATTCTAGAAAACAAAAGACTTGCGAAGCAGACAGACTCTTCTGGCCTGCGACAATCCGAGGTTTTGTCGTCCGTCCTTTTCTGCAAGCGACGAACACCATCGAGCCAGCGTCTGACTACAACTCAGGCAACATTACTTTTTCGTGTCAGCGTCATCAGGCACGAATCGCGCTATGGACGCGCTAGTTCTGTCAAAAGAGAACGCGATTTGCTGGTTCGGAGTTTGATCGTTCTCCTTGGACAAGCTCTGACATGTCAGGCACTGCAGGTGAACTCCTATCTCAGGTCAACTACAACCTTTGGATGCGCTCTAAAATTTGCGAGCTATTTGACGAGACAGTGACTAAATTGCAGACAGTTTTCCACGAATTATATTTGCGCACTAGATCGGTCCAGCTGTCTTCTATGCTACCCTTTGACATTGTACCAATTACACCATGTTGCTTCCTTCACCTACGCCTGCCCTTGCTCGAACTGTTCCCCAATCTCAATCTCTCCCTCAAGGTGGCACGGCCTGCCAATGACAGGTACGACACTGCCACCGCGGCCCTCTTAGTGAATTGAACCAGTGGTGCATCAAAATATGCTCGGCATGACCAACTTGCCCACAACCACCGCACGTGAACGTTGACGTGTCTCTCAAGATACCTTTACCGCATACATAACATGCAGCTGGATCAGATGATGTTTCTGAAGCGGCCGTGTGGTAAGAGGATGGTGTCTCTGGAGCCGGCGCAGGTGGCTCCTCGTCAGGTAGCTGGTCCAGCCAACGTTGGACACTCGTGTCGTTGGACAAGCTCGATAATTCTGGTGCAGATATCCCACTCGGTGAGGCTCTTGGGAAAAGACTTGCCTCAGGTCGAAATGATGCCGATGCTACAACCGAAGACGAGGAGGCCTTTCGCAAGCGCACGGTCGAACCTCGAGTTCTGCTTCGCCGCATTCTCATCCGCTCATCGAGTGCTGCTACGATGTTGGAGCCACGATGATGCGCTCGGCCGCCAGCTGATGTTCCGTCTTCATGGTTGTTCTCCGTGGTATCTGGCTCATTTGCGGCCTCAAGCAAGGCATGGCCGTCTCGTCCCATGTAGCTGGCATACTCCTGTCCTAAAATTCTTTCTAGCCACGAAAGAACCAGCTTGACAACACTATCTCGCTTGTGCTGCCAGCAAATCTTGATGTCTGCCATTGCTTTGAGGGTGCGAAGTACATATTTAGGATGCAACTGGCTGCTCAGCTGCCGTCGGAGTGTTTCGCAGTTCGCATACAAACCACGCTGTCGCTTCAACCCTAGTCTTCGTTTGCATCTATGGTGACGGCTATCGGCTGCGCACTTGTATCGAAGAGTCAAGAGCTGATAGAGCTGTCTTGTTGTTGGACCTGCCATATTGTTTTAGAAAGATTTTAAGCTCGAGAGGATGTTCTGTGCAAGGGATTGATATGTACCGGTTGTGGAAGATGAAGTCTGGTTAACATGACAGTCAGATATCTACTCTATTTATCTCACCATGGTAACTCTCGTCTCTCCTGCTACCACCTCATCTGTGCTGAACTGAGTCTCAAGTAGGTACTCACCCTGGTTGCAAGCAACAATGGCTGTATGATTAGAGATCCGAGACTTCTGGCGTCGTCTTTGTTGCAAGCACTCCTGCGAGGCCATTCAATCCCCCAAAACCACTTGAGTCAGAACACACTTCGTCTTTCAAGGTCTCATTCTCTTTCATGGTGGACGACGCGTTTCATGGTCACTCGGTGGTTCACCCATCCATTTATGTTGTCTCAAGCAGGATTTTGTCCCTGAGTGAGAAGTGGTCTTCTGCATAGAGCGTCCTCTGGAAATTAGCTTTAGTCGCTATCTGCGATCTCTAGCATATGGCAGGTGTATCTTGAAGATATGTCAGTACAGAATCGTCCCACTGCATGAAAACAAGCACTGCGGCTAAGATATTTTGCGATATCTGGGTTTCTATCGCGCTTACGTGGGATGAGTTAACGATGAATGTATGAGCGAGGAATCAACCCTCCCGAGCTTCCGGGTGTCGAGCTCCACGGCCAAGACTCTGGGCAGGACCTGACAACGTGAATTGAAAGTATTACCCTTCATATCATACCATCAATCTGAACTTGACACCTTTCGACGCAAAATAGTCTGATACATTCTGAACTTCACGGCGTACACTATTATCCTTAGTCTGAGTTGAGTGTGTCGATTCGTTAAAGTCCACTCAGAATCTCCCGCCACCAGACTTCAGACACTCGTGGACATAGTTTCTGCAGTGTTCAACCCACCCGTTCGTTGTGTCCTGGTCTTTGACATTTTATGAACCTCCGTTATTCTCTTCTGTTCACATGGCCATGGATTAACAGTCTAGAGCTCAGACATTTCTCTTTAAGCCTGTGCCCCAAACATAAGACATACATATGACCTCGAGAACATTATCGTCTGGAGAACGAGAAGTCGTTTGCAAGGTCAAGCCAAGGTTTCGACTTCCTCAGTTGCATTTCGCTTTACCTGCGCGGACCAATTTAAAGTACTGTCGCCTTCGATGAAATTGTCGCTTGGTAGCGGATTCCCAATAGCAAACGCGATGCCACTGCACAATTTACACGATTGGTATTAAAGGTAATGCTATAGACAAGTTGCAGCATTTCCTTCTCTTTTTCATATGCGTCTCTACATATTTTGCAAAGTACGTCCTGCTCAAGATGAAATGTCATGCTCTTTGCGTGATCGGTGTCCTTCTTTGGACCCAGACTAGCACAGTCGACGCTCGAGTCCACTGGTCAGAACTTCTCGGAAGCCTGGGAAACTCTGTTCGCAATTTCATCTCGGTATCGCGCGTCACCTCGAATGGCCAACAGAAATCTCAAGAACAATCTTGGTCAGCCAATTCGCTACGTGAACTGCAAGACGTTCATCAGGCGCTCAACGATTCTCTTGATGCAAGCACAGTATTCGAACCGACATACAGTGCTTACGATTATTTCGACTTCGTCAATTTTCCAGCCGATCCTGATGCTCAGGCTGCCGCGATGGTCAAAACCACGAACTCTCTGTTAGGTGCTCAAATACTTTTGGCCGAGTCGTTGCCCATACTCGATGCTGAATCCATAAAGCCAACACCAGACAATCCATCGTTCCTCCGTTACTTTCATCCAGCTCAACTGACTACAGTTAGAGAAGTTTTGAGCGTCCTGGTGGCGATCTTGGGCGGCCCAACCCCCCCAATCGCCGAGTATCGAAGGTGCCTATACGAGAGATACAGACTAGAAAAGCTTGAAATTTCCTACGGCAAACATCCCGCCCTTAACATTGCAGATCCATGTGCCAAGTGGGGTACAGATGCTTTTAGCCATGAGTATGTGGATGGTCATGGGATACGAAAAAGGACTATTTCACTCTGTCCCCCCTTCTTCGACAAGCACAAAGATTTAACAGCTGTTCAGCCAAGCAATCTTGGGAGAGCAATAGAGATAGGCTGCACCTCAGCGACGGACGAGCCGAGCTATAGTTCTGCAAGAGTCATGATGCACGAACTTATGCATTGGGAGATGGCAACGTTGATAGCATACCCTTTTTTCATTGAGGATGTATTGGTGAAACATCGAGCAGGCTTTGAGACCGCGGCTTATGGCGCCTGGCTTTCGACGATACTCAAAAGATCGGGAGGGGAGTCTGAGCGAACTCCAGGACGAGCGGCTACCACTCTAGACAACGCCGACAGTTATGTCTCTATGATGTTGGAACTTTACTACAAGGTACGAATCAGGACAATCGATTTTCAATGGAAATACTCACAGATTGTGCAGGCCACATACAACCTTCCAGACTGGACAGATCCACCGCCACGAGTCTCCATTGATGATATCCGAGCAGGCAGAGGCAAGGACCCGTGCGGAGTTATCACGTGAGCCGAGTAGTGCAGTGCAAGACTGCCAACGTACTTAGTGCAATGGCTGAGCTAGAAGAATGAGGCTAAAGGAAGTTTTGTCTCATCAGTCCACATTGTACACACTCTATGCCTTCATGTGAGTATTGGTCAATTAGTGCAAGAGAGTTGTTATCACAATCTTTGTGCTTGGGGTTGACGAGGCCGGAAACGTGATGGCTGGTCCAGGAGTTTCGTCTCCAGAAACGAAGTCTTTTATTTTACTAATAGGTTTGCCAAGCCACAACGCACCGCCACATTGAACCGTATGCACTCCTTTCTACGTCGTGACATCGCTCTCTTCCCGTCGATATGCAAGTAAAAATCAGTAGTTGAAGCTCGACACGGCCTGTATCTCTAGGCTCGAAGTCAGTACACACATCTAACCTCCATACACGGCGACCAAGATGGACGACCCTCTCCTCGCATCCTTGTCCCTAACCCATGTCCGCTACGTAAGTACCACCTACTCGTAACAAAGCATCCCTGGCTTCAGTTGAGCAGGCACCACACACACGCCAAATTCTGCAGAACGGTACTTCCCATTCACCACAGTAATCTCCAAAGACACATCTCTAACCTTTCTTTTCTCACAAACAGAACCCAGCAGACCACTGGTCCTACGTCTCAGCATGGCTAGCTCTTGTCCCACAAGCACTCTGCGTCATCTACGTGACATTGATATGGGCGACGCGGGAAGTTGAGGTTCTCCTCATGTTCACCGGACAAATGTCGTGTGAGCTACTGAATTTTGGGTTGAAGCGGTGGATTAGGGAGGATAGACCGCAGCGTGAGTACTGGTTTTTTTTTCTGCCTTTGGGTCTTGAAGTCTATGATTTCCTTCGAGCATGTGTACATATGCTCACTTCTTTGAGCGAACGATACATTAACGAAGGGAGACTCGTCATGCTAGTACTGATATTTGCTGTTCTACAGAAATGCACGGCAAAGGCTACGGCATGCCCAGCTCCCACGCCCAATTCGTCTCCTTCTTCGCCGTCTCACTAACATCATTTCTCCTTCTGCGGCATCAACCATCAACACAGCGTCATCACAACTCACCGCCTCGCTCGAGCACCATAACTGGGAAGACTAGCACCACCACTAACAACTTTGACCCACTAATCTACCCAACCTACAGACAATCCTCCCTCCTCGAACGCCTCGTCCTATCTCTCCTCGCCATCTGCGGCGCCACAGCAGTCGCTGCCTCTCGAATATACTTATCCTACCACACACCTAGACAGGTTCTCGTCGGTGTCATTGCTGGTATTCTATTCGCGCTCTTGTGGTTCATGGGGACGTCATGGTTGAGGACGGAGGGGTGGGTTGAGTGGGGTTTAGATACTTATTTGGCAAGGTTGGTGAGATTGAGAGATTTGATTGTTACGGAGGATTTGCAGGATGCTGGGTGGGGGAGGTGGGAGGCGAGGAGACGGATGATGGTGAAGGGGAAGAGGACGTGATGAGGGAGTGGATGTCCATGACGCTCGATTCGTGTTTTTGTGATACAGTATAGACGAGTGAAGATGTTACGATCAAATCAGGCTCTATTATTTGGTCTATCTTGAATATATAGAAGATGTCTCGCAATGTGATACGTGCTAGCATCACGAATGACCCAGAAGGTAGTTCTGACACTGCATATTTTTCATGCCAAATGCAGTCGTATATCCTGTCAACATGGTTACCTGTTGTTGAACAGGTCGTAAGTAGGCTCCTCGTAATAAAAGTGATCCAGCACCAGTACACAGCCAAATAGAAGCATTGCTTAAGCACCGTTGCCATTATAGGCGAGCCTGTTAGGGCTACCTTGAGCATCCGTCACAACATTGCGTGTCGATAGCGCAGTCAATCGGCTAGCGACAGCTGACGGGCTGGAAAGACCTTCGAGAGCTTGCAGATAGAGAACAAGGCCGACCACGTGTGGTGTAGCCATGGATGTGCCGGAGATAGTGTTGGTGGCAGTGGTAGAACCAATCCAGGTAGATAGAATATCAGTGCCTGGAGCGAAGATATCTAGAACAGTGCCGAAGTTGGAGTATGCTGCTCGAGCATTGCCTCTTTGAATGGCGCCGACAGTAATGGCTTCTGAAGCAGAAGCAGGAGAAGTGGTCGAGGCATCGGAGTCCTCGTTACCAGCAGCAACGACGGTAACGACACCACCATTGAAGGCAGCAGTGACGGCACGGTTGAAGGCGGATGAGAAGCCACCACCAAGAGAGAGGTTGACGGCAGCCTTGTTCTGTCGACCTTTCGATCGGATGTCGTTCACAGCCCATTGGTAGCCATCAAGGATGGTAGACGTTGAACCTTGCTCACCAGCGAAGACTTTGACTGCGATCACACTTGCCTTTTTGGCAACACCGTATGTCTTGGAGGCGATGGTACCAGCGACATGCGTACCGTGACCCACTGTATCAGTGAAAGATCCACCAACGGCATTATAACCATTCGAGGCTCGGCCTTCGAAGTCAACATGAGCAGTGTTAATGCCAGTGTCAACGACGTAGCCAAATGTGCCCGAGCCAGCAGATGTATCATAAACATAACCAGATGTGTTAGGTTGTTTGTGAGAGATGCTGGCTAGACCCCATGTCGAAGGTGACTGAGTAGTGAGAGCGGCAATTGTCCAGATCTGGTCCTCTTCAACCTCATCGACATCATCGCTGTTCTTGATCTGCTCGATCGTAGCATCGTCAAATTGACCAGTGTAAGCTCTCCAGGTATTGATGGTAAACTCTTTCTCAACACCAGTTGTAACATTTTCACCTTCCTGTCGTCGAGCTAGGCTTCGAGCATGTACATCAGAAACCCAGGATAAATGTGAGGTTGAGTCGGCGCCACTTTTGAGAGTGACAATGTATTTGTGAGCCACACTTGGAAGAGTGGATGGTTCGTCTTGTGGTAGAGGGAGTGGGGCAGCGTTCAGGGCTGGGAGAAGTGCCGCCAGGGCAAAAGCAGCTTTGCTGAAATACATGGTTGAATAAACGATTTCAATCGGCTTTGACTCGCGACGTGAGTCGAAAGAGCGTTATAGAGAATGACTGTGGTTAGATTATCAGATGGTTTTGTGATGGAAGACCTTGATCTTGTGATACATGGGAGTTCTTTATACCTTCTCGTGTTACCGTGTGATGGAAGTATCGTTTGTGGTCTCAATTGAGGAGGCTAGAAGCAAGCTACAGCCATAAAGTTAGCACGACGGCAGCGATGGCCAGCCTTTGCACTTTGCGGATGTTTGAGCTGCTCGATCCGGGTAAGCATGTCTTGGTATCTCTTGTCATCTTCCTCACGCATCAATGAGAGGGCTCAAACGACATGAAAGAAGCAGTGTCGAATTTGAAGAAGGGGACGCCAAGGGCAACATGACATTCGGGGCAGGGCACGAAAGAGGCAGGTCGAGAAGAGAATGTCCAGCATCTCAGATAGGTCTGTTATGAGACGCTAGATGCGGCATGTCCGATATGAGCGATCGCATCAGAAGTACTGGCGATGACTATCGTTGAGCATAGTCTCCATGCTGAAGCAAAGCCTGTCTGTTGACGAAGCTGTATGAGCTGGCTCATTGGCCTAAACTGAGCATTTCGGCTGTAGGTCAAGCACGTCCGGGTGGGGGGAAGCTCGTGAGAACATTCAGGACGGTGCCGGCGCCCAAATTGCATTGGGAAAGCATCGATGAACCGCGAGACCAACCATGGTCGAGGTCGGGCATGAGACAGAAGATGGGGATGAAACAAAGCAACGAGGTGGTGCTGCGACTGTGGTGGCTTCAGATGATCGTCTCAACAATGGAAAGGGAAAAGCCCCAGCCGCAGAACTCCACTGCACGGGACATTCGCGCTAGTAACATCCGACGAAGCTTCTTTGAATTCCTATTCGCAGGTGCCTCTGACGCGTAAAGTCCCTGTCTGAAATTACAACAACAGCAGCTTCGCTGTAGAAGCTACACTCACGGTGTACCTCGAAGCGCGGTGACCATGTCCTCGTCACAACGCCGCCATCGCTTTCCACCGGCATGTACATGTCCTCCTGATCCTGTGATTATGATACTTTGATTGAGGCAAGGATTACAATGTAACACATCGTTAAATCGCACTTTTATCAGCGTCGATCACCTTGTGAACCATTAACGGGTGGTTGACAGAGCTCCAGGTTATTGCAGATCATTTGTTTGCGTTGCTGTTGAAACTCCAAGCGAGATTTTGTTACTAGGCTGTAGAGGATGATACTCAACCTCGATTACTCACTCGCATGATCGCAGCAGCTGATCCCTAATACCGTAGGACCCGAAGCAACTGTACAATCTGTCTATGTGCTTCAACGAGAAAATGCAGCCGCGAAAGCGGGGTAGTATGTGTTCAAGGGCAGGTGATTACAGGATGCCAGTAAGAGGAAAACCAGGTGGTGACGACCAGGCAAGAGTGGTACACAACATGGCTGTAAATCGAGCTTTAAAGCAATTAGACAACTGCATGCAGCAAACTGTGGCCGACACGACACGGTTTCCTGGTGCACGTCTCGGTTCTTGAATAGACCCGGTCGATCCAGGTGCCCTTCACGAGTCTCCGCTCCCATCACGACGTCGTTCACAATGAACCAAATCAGTCGAAGTCGCACACCTCAATTTGCAAACTATAGCTACTAATTTCATAGTGCCTAAGCTTCGACCTCATGTATCGAGAGCACTAAACCATCGCCACGAGCTACAGAAGCGTTGTCTTCTTGCTTGAAACGAGAAAGCCCAAATGTCAGGAGGTGATGTCAACAGGAAAGAGATATTGCGAGACGTGGTATATTACCTTACTGATATGTATAAGCAAGGACCCCAGATAGTGTCCGACCTCTACTTGTTCTCGCCGAATCTTGACCTGGAGCATAGTTCATGTGTGTCGAGATCAGCTGTTGGGGAGCAGGCGTTGTAAGAAGGTACTTCGTTCGAGACATACCCAGAAACCCTAGTTGTGAACACGACTCGGAAAGTTGTACGGTGGGCTTTTAAAACAGTTAGTGCAATAAGTCACTGCCTATGACATCGTCTGCGTTCCTGCATTTCGTGATCGAGCTCGTATTTCTAAGCATCAGACAAGCAACTATTTTACCATTTATCGCATCTTCCATTTCGACAATACTATATCGATTCACAAAACGACCACTCGTGTAGATCATTCTATTACACACATATCTTCCCAAGATGTGGCCCTTTTCTTCCGCACCCACCCCAGCGCAACCATTTGAAGGTAAGCAATTGCTATCGAACCACTGAACGGCAAGCACGATGCGCGCATCTTCCTCGTGCTACTCCTGCTTTCAGCGCACCTTTCATGTATCATACAGCAATACATACCCAAGTCCGACGATTCGGTACCCAGGCGCATTCCATCTCGCCCTTGCCACTGTCACACCATCACCCTAACTCAATCTGTTTCACAACGGAACTAATACATTCTCCCAGCGGCAGCTCCCCCTCTTCCAAACAATCTCGCCGCCGACCTCAAACCCTCTACCACAGAGAAAGTAAAACCATGCTGTGTCTGTAAAGACGAGAAAGCCGCTCGGGACGACTGCATGCTATTCAGCAGGTCGGACGATCCTCAAGAGGATTGCAAGGGAATGGTGGCGAAGTATCAGGATTGCATGAAGGGGTTCGGATTCAATGTGAGGTAGCGGTTCAGGAAATGAAAGAGGAACATGGATTGTCTGATTGTCAAGATGAAAAACACGACTCGAGGAAGAGGTGAAGGAGAACAGACAGACCAGCGAGAAATTACTGGCTATACAAGCACAAAGACAATGTGTTGTTAAGTCATCTCTCCAGCGATTTCGGGAGAGCTAGTTCGTCGGCATGACACTCTCGTTTTGAACACGCCACTCCTACGCATGTGACATGGTCAAAACACTATGATGAGCACCGAGCGTTCTATCTGGTATGTCACAAGCGGAAGGTGTATCCACATAAGAGAATTGCTTGAGATGGACACTTGACGAGCTGACGGTGACTGAGTCGCTGTTTGCGCAGTCGAGAACGGCTGTAATCTTTGGCTGTGAAGTGCAGAGCCGCGACGAGGAGGCTGTCAATGAGCGGTAGTGTAACAAAAGAGTTGTTTGTATATTAGTGCACAAAACTAGACTGTAAAGTACTATCTCAACTTCTACGAGAGCTGATTATCCCATTTTGAATTTGTGGTGGTATCACTCATCGCGATAGTATAGTGATACATCGGCACCGTTCTATTAACTCGCAAATCTAATCCTGAGTACCAGAGAAACTCCTCCTCTGCTCGTGACTTCTTAGCAAAAGACCGACCTCGACCGTCCCGTCCCCACCAACGCCAATCCTACACCCCAACTCCTCCAGTCCACTCACAGAATCCTTCTCACTCAAGCCTCCCTAAAGCCCATACAGTAGATTCTGCATCCCAACCTCCATATAATCCTCCCTCTTCAACAAATACGGCCTCAAATTCTCTCTATTCACAGTCGCAAGTGCGCTTCCACCAACATTATCTCCTGCACCGTTGGTCTGTGCGTGATTGCCGTCTCTGCCCTGTCCGTTGGTTTCTTGACCCGTTGTCGCTCGTCCACCCCTAATGCGCTCTTTGATGGCTTCGGGCTTGAGGACGAAGAGACTGCCTACTTCGACGAGGACTTCGAGGGTATTGTTGTATTGTGAGCCGAGATCCCAGGAGCGCAAGAGCTCGACGTAGGCGCTGATGTCGCGGACGAGCATGATTGCGCCGAGACGGTTGACTTGGTATTTCTTGAAGTGTTCGAGGAGTTGAGAGCGGAATTCGCCTGCGATTTCGGTGAGGAGATTGGTGAGATTTGAGCCGCCGCCGGAAAAGGTGGATTTGGAGGACGTTTGGAAGGAGGACAGGAATTTGAGGATGGCAGCGCAGGTTGGTGTGGAGGATTGGGCGAGGGCGGCGTCGGATTCGGTTTCTTTGGGGCGGAAGTCGGTGCGGGATTGGTTGGTGAGGAGGCGAGTTGTCCAGTTGAGGACCGCGTCGATGGTTCGTTGTTCGATAATGTTGATGTGGTCTTCCATGCGAAGTAGGGATGTGCGAGCGTTCTTCTCCATGTCTCGTCTGATTGTGAGGGATGTCGACGCAAGTGGTATTAGTAGTGTGTTCGTGCACGACTGCATTAGGTGCATTATACTGATTGCTGACTTGAGGCCAACTATGTATGATAGATCTGGTGCGTCTCGCTTGGCGTTCTCAGCTGTAGATGCTGCTTCAGCTGCAGCATCGAGAAACAACTCGATGTAATTTTCGCCCATATTGCGAAGAAGCAGGTTGTGAAGAGCTGCAACGTCCTTTGGTGTTTCTGAGCCGCCGGAAAGCTCGAGTCCTCTACGTACACCTTCAGCCAGCCATTTGAGCATACGCTTCGCAAACTGTATATTGAGTCTTCCGTCATTCTCGGTCAAGTCGAGTTCGGGATTGTTCTTGGAGGTGGTTGTGTCGTCTGCAGCAGTGTTCTTAATTCCAGCTACTGACAGTAGGATACGTTTCTGTGTGATAGACATGGATTCTAGGTTGAGTGATTTGACATACGCATCGGTCGCTTCACGCGCTGAACTGAGCAATTCTTGACCTCGAGAGCGAAGAGAAGCCAGGTATGTTTTCGGCTCTTTCTGTCGACGGGAATGGAAAAGCTCAAATTTGAAGAGGAGTGACCGGTATAGTTCAGACAAGTTCTGCTTTTCCTTGTCGATATAGGCACTACCTCCGAAATAGGGTGTGAATAGTTCGTCCACTTGCTGATCCAGCAACTGTGATGTTTGAGAAGACACAGGATCTGGATGTTCAGTCAAACCATGCGCCTTGAGGTCTTCGACTAATGTGTTGATTGAGTTCCTTGCGGCTTGCAGCAAACGAAGATAAGCAAGGGTAGACTCCGATTCTGCTTTGTCGAGAACAAGTTCTAGCCTTTGTTGTAACGACTGCTGGAAGACACGCTGAATGAATTTGCCCGACACTTGCTCTGGATTTGGAAAGGCTCTCTTGATTATTTGCGACTCTTCCTGGACCACGACTCTGACCTCGTCTATCAACGATTGTAGTCCTGGCTCGACTCCTGGAAGTTCAGCGTCAGGGTCTGATAGTCTGACCCATGTCTCTTGGTCACCACCAATCTCGTCAGTGACCAAATTGCTCCGGTCAATGAAGAACTGATGTTGGTTCACGAAAGCAGCTTGGACGGAGGCGCCGCCATTGAAATCCTGCAAGACTGTAGCACAGTTCTTCATCTCCTCAAAATTCTGTCTTCGATAGAAGTCATCGAACAGCTTCAACATATCGTTCTCGAGAGTCTCGATGAACTTCTCGATTATCTCCCGCGTGTTGAAATGTCTGGCGCCTGTAACACCGTTTGTAACTCCATTTGTTTTTTGATCGCCTCCACTGAGACTATGACTTCCTGGATCCAACCTTTGACTGATGCGCAGTAGTTGTTTTGCTATCCTTGCTGACCGTATCTTGCCCTCTCCTGTGCCTGACCTTCTCAAGTTCTCTAGGAGTGTCACCTCGCCACGATTGCTGACTTCATCCCAGCATTGGATCAGAAAATGAGCGTCCATGGCCCTTCTCCTTTGTCTGTCCAGCTCCTCCAACTTCTTTCCGGTTTCGACAGCAATATTGCCTCCCCATTTCCCTCCCCGATCGGAAGTAAGGTTCGAGTCGAGCTGCTGAAAGCTGTTGACGGTCCTATTGAGCTTCCTGCCCAGTGTTTCAACATTTGAAGCGTGCTGCGCCTCTGCTCGCTTGACTGCACCTGAAAGCTCTGTCTCTTTGACTTCTAGCTCTTCTGACAGCTCGTTCAGACGCTTCGAAGCCTGCTCAAAGGCTCGAATAAGTGGTTTCGCATCGAAGGTGTTGGGTGTCGGTCCCTGCGATCGACGTGAAGGTGGCTGTGCTTCGTCCGTTAGAGACTCAATAAAGTCCTTGACTATGAAGTCTTTGCTCGAGAAATTGTTCAGAGTGAATATAGGCCCCTTGCCATAGAGACTGCGTCCTCCCTGCTCCATCGTGTCGCCATTGGCAGAAGTATATGGGTTGCCTGCCATGTGAGTGCTTACGGTGGTGTTGAAGGGATCATGGTCAGACGCAGAGGATGTGCACCACCAACTTGGGACAACCTCTGGGATGTCACAGATGCAGACTACACAGTCGTCTGGTATCAGATCACTTCGCGAGTATCAGGCATTCAAGCTGCTATACTATTTCACATTTCCGCGCAACTTAGGTGTAACAGGCATGCCTGTATAAGCATTGAAGGCACCGAGCCCACCTGAAGTTGGAGATCGCACCACTCGCACCTACTAATTTCTACGGCATACCGCGCCACATACGAGCGCATTTTCGGCTAAACTGCCCTGAATATATTGTCACAAACCTCTACTCCAGCTTGCCAGCGCTTTGAAACAACTTAAATTTGTGATCGCAACTCAGCTTCGTTACTGCGACAATTCGATCTACCAGCACATAACGTTGAGTTGCGATGCCGTTGTTGCGCATTCGGCTGATATCTGCAACTGCTTCAATCTCATGTCCATTTCGATATTTTGAATTCGCCTGTTGCTCGACAAGTTATGCTCGGCAATACTCGAATGGCCATACCTCTCGAAAAGACTCGAACTTCTAGAACTCGAGATTCTGTACATTACTATGCCGCGATTGGCTGCTCCAAATATCTATGCAAAGGCCTTGGGTGAAGACCGCGAGTTCGAGATTCTCGAACCGCACTCTCGGAATCTTGCATGCACGAGGCAGTCCCCACATCGCGAGCTGGAGTGAACCAATGAAGTGTGTTAATCGTTGCAGACATCCTTCCACATCGACACCCTCCCCACAAATGTCTGAGGGGTAGTCGCTTCGTTCTGGTTAATGATTGATCGTTCTATCGATGCTTTGCTGAAGTCTGAAGCCTCTTTACGTGACCTGATGTCAATAGCGATGTCGCTGAAGGTAATCCGAGTGTGCCCGCAGCTGCTCGTGGCATTAGAATGTCTTCAGTCGTGCTTATACAAAGCCTTGCTCATGTTGTGATCCTGTGCGATACGCTGACTCTGCTAACCGTCTCATAGTTGCGAACTCGAAGCATCGCAACCCCAACCCTCTTATAGCATACATACTCATTCTAGTCCAACATGGCTCCTGCCTCGAAGACACTCAAGATTGACGGAAAGGACATCAGCATACCAACCGGCCTCTTCATCAACAATAAGTTTGTCGAAGCTAAAGAGAAGGCTGTCTTCGGCATCGAGAACCCAGCCACTGGCGAGATAGTCATCGAGGTTCAGGAAGGACGAGCTGACGATGTCGATATCGCAGTCAAGGCTGCCAGAAAGACCTTCAAGAGCAAAGAGTTCAAGGAAATGAACCCTGCAGGAAGAGCAGCCCTCCTACACAAGCTTGCAGATCTTATGGAGCAACATAAGGACGAGCTTTGCGCTATCGAGATGCTCGATACTGGCAAGACACACAAGCAGGCCTCGAACCTCGATGTTCCTGGTTCAATTGGCACACTGAGATATTATGCTGGCTGGGCAGACAAGATCTTGGGACAGGCCTCCTTCAATGTGCCAGGCACTTTTTCGTACACTAGACGAGAAGCTGTCGGAGTTTGCGGACAAATCATACCATGGAAGTGAGTTGACCACTCCGTCAACTGAGATGTAAGCACTAATGGTGACAGCTTTCCTTTACTGATGTTTACCTGGAAGATCGCTCCAGCATTCGCCTGCGGAAATACCGTCATTATTAAAGCGGCCGAAGCTACGCCACTCTCAGCCCTATACATGTGCCAGCTGATCAAGGATGCGGGCTTCCCTGCTGGTGCCATCAACTTGATTAACGGCTATGGCAAGAATGCAGGTGCAGCGATTGCTAGTCATATGGGCATCGACAAGGTCGCTTTCACCGGCTCGACTGTCACTGGAAGAGCTATACTCAAAGCCGCTGCATCATCGAACCTGAAGAAAGTCACTCTCGAGCTTGGCGGAAAGTCACCCAACATTGTGTTCCCAGACGCTGATTTGAAGAAGGCAGTGGAGTGGAGTATTTGGGGAATTAACATGAACTTTGGCCAGACCTGTCACGCGGGAACACGCATCTACGTGCATGAGGACGTATACGACGACTTTATCAAGACATATACCGAACGACTCCAGAAGGTCAAGGTCGGAGACAATTTCAATAAGGAGGTCGACCAAGGTAAGTAAATCACGTGACTAATTGCTCAACTTTGCTAACATATTCAGGTCCGCAAAACAGCAAAATGCAATACGACAAGATCCTCAGCTACATCAAATCTGGCCAAGACGAAGGTGCAACACTACACCTAGGCGGCAAAATAGACGAGATCGCGCAGAAAGGAGGAAAAGGCTATTTCATCCAGCCCACAATCTTCACAGACGTCAAGCCAGACATGAAGATCATGAGAGAAGAGATTTTCGGTCCTGTCGTGGCGATATCGAAATTCAAGAGCGAGGAAGAAGTTATCGACTTTGCGAACGATACCTCGTACGGTCTAGCTGCTGGCATCCACACCAAGGACTATGAGAGAGCTATTCGCGTGACAAGCGCGCTCGAAGCTGGCACCGTCTGGGTAAATATGTACAACTTTGTGCATTGGAGGTATGTCAATGTCTCGTCGGCATCTGAACATCACTGACCTCATCGCAGCATGCCTTTCGGAGGTTACAAGGAGAGCGGTATTGGTCGGGAATGTGGCGATTCTGCCTTGTAAGTATATCCGACACCATCCAAGATTGTAAGCTGACGGTCGTGATAGGGAGAACTATACTGAAATCAAGACGGTGTACTTTAACATGGGCCTTCGAGCACCAGATGCTCTAGATTAAAAGACAGGTGAATCGTGGAAAAGATCTTTTCCTCCATGTGTATAGCAATGTACAAAGTACGGTTGAATGTCTGTTTAATTCAACGTGTGCCAGTTACGTCATTCAGCTTACAGTACTTATCGCCAGCCGTATGGAACTATGCCATAGATCGTATGCAGATACATGCACAAGCAAAGACATGTTATATAATGAGCTTCTCAGTGCTCAACAGTTGTCACATCATCCACTACCATCAAGGCAGCACAATTCTAAGACTGCGAACGGCTAATTTTCAAAAAGGAATATGAATTGGTTTCAGAACTTTTGATATTGTTCGTAACAGCATTACATATTACTTATGTACATACAACCACCTCTCAGGGACATAACCCTTCAAGCCCCCTATGCGAGCTGTCCTCGCACGGCTCCTGGCACAGCCAACGACGAGTGTACATCAGCAAAGAAGCCAGCTGGGTTCGCCTCAATCTGCGAGACCTGGAAAGCAGCACCGGTGTCAACGCCGTTTGTGCCGTTGATACCAGTTCTGAAAGGACCCTTGATGCAACCGATGGAGTTGGCGTATTGCTCGTTGCCCACTGGGTTTGGGAAAGCGATTCTTGGTGGGCCAGATTGGCCTCTTGCGGCTTCGTGAAGGTGGGTTGCGGTGATGGCTGCAGATTGGTAGTTGCCTCGGAAGCCGTTGAGAGTGATGTTGAAGCAGATGGTGTTGGTGTATTTGTTCAGGCCGAAGTTATAATATCCGATGGCGCCCTGGGAGTGAATGTCAGAGGGAATAATGAGGGGAAAGTATGGGAGGTACTTACAGCTAGGCCGCCAGTGGGTGTGGTGCCGTTAACGACTTGGTCTGGTGTGGCTACCACTGAATAGGTGGAGGTGAACTCGAATGGGCCATTCTTGCCACCTTTCCATCCAGCTAGAAACTGGTTAGCAAAGGATAGACAAAAGTCGGAGAATTAGGAAGGACATACACCATGGTGCAGCTGAGACGGCTGATGCGCAAGTGGCGGCAGCGAAGACAGTTGAGAACTTCATATTGATTGATGTGGTTGTGTTTGAAAGATTGTTGGAATTAGCGAACGTGTAGTAGAACGACTGACGGCTGTTGCTCTTGTTACTGATGTGTGTTGATGAACTATTGTGGTTCGAAGTAGGGCAGCATGTCCCTGTTATATACACGTTCCGTACCAATCTGGTCGATCTTGTCTTGCAATAGCTCCTCACAGCCCAAGCTCCAAAAGCTAGGTCGCCAAGTGCTGTGACAAATTGGCTGGCGACGCATAACAGCAATACACATCATCGCTCATCTTGGAAGTGAGTAAGTGCTAAGGTAATGTTCGAACCAAACATTAGCTCCAGCTTGATCACAACAGTAGCGGGCAATTCGCCAGGCACTAACCACACAACAAGAGATTCCGCCCTGTAAAGGAAAGAAATTAAGGTAGTCAATAGCTTGTCCTGATCTTGGCGATGGCGAGCCAAGCTTCTGTCAAAGTGGACGAACTCTATCGACAGTCACCCGACTTGTTATGCTTTTCAGAGTGAAATTGTGTGATTCCGGAATCAGATGTCTCAGAACACAGACACACATGTTGGTTGAGCTTGACGTGCCGCAAGGAATTGCTAGCATTTCCATTGTAGCCATATCGGAAGGAGGTCTGATAACCACTGGGTTCCTTCGGAAGCTCTCCTGAAATACATGCGTAGATGAGCTATTTCCCCGGCTTGTCTGGAGAAGACGGACGACAAGGCGACGTACCTTAGCTATTCGCCGTGAGCTTGCTTTCACATTAGGTAAACTTTGGACAAGGTAACCAACGCGGAGAATTGAGCGGTTCGATCGACACAGCAGATTGAACAAGTGACCCCAGGCGACAAACTAGCGGCGACCGTTGGGGCTGTGCTGTGACAGTGATCCTGACTTGCACGAAATGAAGAGAGAGAAGAGGAGAAAGGGCACCTTTCCGGCAGCGATGGTCTAGACACTGGACGATTATGGGCATGGCGTGGCCTAGGAAAGTAGCGCACCTTCCTCTTTCGAGACTCTTGGCGGTACGTTGCCTGCCAAGAATGATGTCGTGGCGCAAATCCCAAGACGCTAGTGATTTGCAGTGCCTGTCATCTGCCCCTGCGTCGATCATCTGGGGTTGCGAGATTCAAGCTCCAGCGAGCGGTTCCGTGCCAATATACACGAACCCTTCTTCCAGAGATGGTGTCTTCTTGTTCATGTCTTTAGCGTCCGGGAATTTCGAGGTACTGTTGAACGGCTAAATACGTAAGGTGCAGAAATGTTGTGACTGATTACATCAGAGGCGCGTTGTTGAAGCTCAACAGTGGTCGCGCTTGCACGTTCAGTAAGCAGACCATATTTTGTGCACATCGCAGCGAATCAGATGTGTGTGAATACACACGCAAGGTGGTCTTGAGCTTGAGAATGAGTTTGCCTAATATCATTTCGAAGGGGCTGAGCTCTTGAGAGCTTGCACGCTATACAGCTGTAGCGCATCATCCACGGAGCACAACCGCGGTAGTCATGGCCATTACGTCCATGGTTGACGCTTGAACCACTTCTGCTGTCACATTCTTTGCCTGCAAGATATGTTCAGATGTGTACAGACTTCTTCGACTGTCGAAGGACAACCAGTGTGTCCAGCGCCCACGCGCCCGTGATTTTGACTTGCTTCTGAAAATGCTTGCGATAGGGGGCGCAATCCATACTGGCCAACCACATTTTGGCTGACATTGCTGACGGCTTTCCAGTGCATCGCAAAGACGTCACTAAAAACTGTCGTGAGTTGGCGTCAAGCCTGAAACTGTATCTTCACCGCTGGTCATTGTTACCGCAAACTCTCCAGCGCACGCAAGCCATTGCGCGACACGTAGGTGGTTCGACATCTTCTTCGCGGACGCTTTGTGATCGGTTAGGCAAAGAAAGCAAGTGTCCATCTGTCAACGAACGTGCGCCGACTCTGGGATCAACCAGATGACTCCAGACAGTCAGGTAACAACGTGAATGTAGGGCGCATCAATCTGAACAGTTGGTGCTATTAACCACAGCCATGATCTGTTGATTTTCAGCTCAGCTTTCAAGAATCATATTTCGAACAGTACAGCAATGCGCGCTACATATTGACACAACAGGCCTTACTCCTCACAAATTTCCTCATATTGTACCTCAACACTGTTTATGGCGAACCAGTGTAGACCTGCTGAAAGAGCAGACAAGACCTCGAATGGTTCGCCATGAATAGCAAATATATCACAATATCTTCAACGATGTTTAACGCGATGCTTTCGAGACAAACTAATATCACGGCGCGTCGATCATGCCCTTGCAATCCCGAAGTTCAGACCCAGCGCCTGTCGAAGAAGGTGAAACCGCGATTTCCATGCGAACATCCCGCGCAACGAGCTATCCAAAACGTCCCCAAGTGACATTGGCTTAGCCTGTGCAAATGATTCGACGTGCTGCGAGCCTGATACAGCGCGGGAACTCCACCAAGTGTACAACAACCTTGCCCACACCGGAGGACTGACGAGACAACATTGGTGCAATTCTATCTGATAAGGCCACATGGCAATACCACATTCTTGCAAACTAGTGTTGAATAAAAACAAATCACAGGCTGCAAGCGCCTTGCATATATGAGTGACATGTATCTTTTGCACACTTCAGATTCGCCGTGTAGCGTCATCATGCACTTACATGGTCTACGTGGCACATACTACTAATCCGACTAATATGTGCAGAATATGCATCGTCACACTCATCTGAGTACGCATATCCTTCAATCATCCCTAAACTCAGCCTGCCTATCCACTCGACCTTTACACTCCATCAGCAAACTAACCACAACATACCAAACCCTACCTTCCAGCCTCACTATTTCAACCACACACACCTATATCCTGTATCTCCTTTCCTACCTAGACGAACCACCCTCCCTATCTCCCTCTATCCCTTTCAACATGCCCAACGAGAACACGCCGAATGAAGAGACCCCTCCCCAAGGCTAAACCCAAAACGCCCGCAATTAAAAGCACTAAGCCGATCGAGCAGCCGACAGTCTACTCGCCATGTCTCAGAACAAACCTGCTCCCCGGCCCCTTGAGAAAACATTACTGCGCAGGCTGCAGGGGAGGCGAATAAGGAGAAGTCATCTGTATGAGTGGTTGAGATCAGGATCAGATCGCTGTTGTGGATGATAACGACGAGCTTGGATGGATTGCTCGAGTGTAAGCCTTTTTCATTATATGAATCTTGAAGTATGGGAAGCCAAGTATGTTCGTGGGATGCGAAAAGCGACGCGTTCCGCAATTGCTAGGCAATTTGTTGTGCGCTGGAGGGACGGAATTGAAGGTCGTAAACTTACAGTATGAGCGGTGGAAATTGGAGATGAAGTGTTCTTGATCGCAGACGAGTACAGATGATAACGAGGAAGAGGATGTAATGCTCAGGGACAAATCTGTTCCCATGTATGTTTCTGGCAATGGAGGGGAAATACTCACTCGAATACCGTTCTAGATCGCACCATATTTTGATGGCAAATCATTATGGGACGCAAGTAGAATATATATTGATTAATCATTTCAATATCGACAGTTAAGAGATTTTTACATACAGAATCGTAGACTTGAAAAGGAGATGAACTATGTAAATGTACAGATATGTTTAATCTGCGTGTCCCCCCGCGTCATTGGGCTCCTTGGAGCATACTATTGGGACTGAGCGTGGGATGGATCGCCCGATCCACCTGCTCCGGTGGCACCACTTGCACCACCCGCACCACCCGCACCACCCGCGCTATCTGCGCTGGTGGTCTGAGCAAGAACAACTGGGCTGTTGGCTACATCAGCTGCCACAGTAGCGGCGTCCTGATCAGTGTCGGATGGAGAACCTGAGCGGTATTCGTCCCAGCCGCCATCGTCAATACCCATACGGATATAGTCAAGATCGAGGAGAGGGATGCTGGCATCAGGCTGGACATAAGTAGATGGATCGAAACCTTCAGGGTACGACGTGTCAGTTGTGCCAACACTTCCGTCCTGGTCTCCGCTCTCCTGTCTCTTTTTCATATCAACTGGTGGGCAGTAGAAGTCAAAGTACAGATAGGCAGGACCGGAAAGCTCATCTGGAACGTAGAAGAAGCCACCTGCTCGTGCCCATCCATCTGTAGGGTCTACAAGACTTGGAATGGCTGGACCCATGACAGGAATGTTGTTAATGAGGACATTTAGTTGGCAGGCATCATTGTTCAGAGCATAGGTTGGAACACGGTACTTGTATGCCATCCAGTAAGAACCAGTTGCAAGGTTGTCAATGATTTGACCAAGACCAGCAGAGCTGTCACTGCCATCATTCCAGGCGGGTGACAGTCTCACATAGGTGCTACCATCGTAAGCTGGCTCATTAGGCGTGTACAGGCTGAGATCTGGGTGATTGTCACCATCTTGTCTCTTCTGTGGGCTAGTCGCGCCGAAGGAGGAACCGGAACCAGAACCAGCCGCTGCAGAATCTGAACCAGCTGAACCAGCTGAGGCAGAAGAAGGATCAGTGCCATCGAATGGCGCGCCACCTGCGACTTCAGTAGACGTGTTGAGGGTATTGATGTATGATAAAGCTTCAGTATCGAGTTCAGGGCCAGCAACGCCACTAGGTCCCCAGTACAACATTGCACCATTGCCACCGACATCCCAGCCAGAGCTGCCACATTCAACCGAAGGATTCTTGAGTAGCTGAGCTGGTGCTGTTGGCTCACAGCTGTTGATAGTGAATGTGCTCGTAGCAGTGTTGACCAGTGTGGTAGCAGGTACTGTTGCCTCAGGCACCGTAGTGTAGACAACAACAGTCGCCGTGGCGGTGACTGTGCTGGAAACGATAGATGTAACATTGACAGGAGTTGCCTTCCAGCTGCAGGCCTGAGAAACGGCAGCATCACTGTAGTTGGCCAGAGCTGCTGGTGTCGAGATTGGCACGGCTTCAGTTGTTCGTTTAGCCAGTCGCTGCCAATTTGGATCAGCAGAAGTGATGGTGATAGTAGTCGGAACGGTGGTCCAGGTCTCGGTCGTACCAGAAGTCAAAGTCCCTTCAGTAACAGTCGCTGTGTCAGTCTCGGTCACTGTAACAGGGACGAACTCGGTTGTGACAGTCGTAGTGTAGCCGAGCAGAGTTGAGCAGAAATCAGTGAAGCCCATAGCGTTGATGACAGACGCTGCTCCGAAAGCCTGAGTCATGTTGTCGGTAACGTTCCATGATTGCCATAGAGTGCCATTGTCGTTGGTGACATTGGAAGGAATGTTGGTAAAGTTGAATCCAGGCGCACTAGAGTTGAATGCTGGACCAGTGAAGTTGAAGCCAGGTTCAGTGGAGTTAGCATATGGCGAAGTGAAATTGTACGCTGGTGCAGTGAAGTTATACCCTGGTGCAGTAGAGTTGTAGTCCGGTGCTGTAAAGTTACCACCATGTGTGCTGTTGCCTCCGAACGTGCCATTCGATGAGGGAATATCTGAAGGCGTCAGAGTCGGTTCAGCCGCTACTGTCGTGCTAGAAGTGGCAGTATCGTCGAGGAAAGTGGTTGTCAGACCATCGGTACTGGTGGTTGACTCTGAAGTGCTCGACGAAGTGGGGACGCTATCGACACTCGTGGTGGTGATGCTGGTAGTGCTTGCTACTGTCGTGCTGGAGCTCATATCAGTCGTTGAGGTTGTCGCAACCTCCACAATATCTGACGTGGTGGTAGTGGTTGTTGAGGCCTCAGCGATGTCCGATGTGGTAGTCGTTGTCGTGACCTCTACAATGTCCGATGAGGTCGTAGTCGTTGAAGCCTCGACAATATCTGATGTAGTGGTTGTGGTCGTAGTCGTGGTTGTTGCAGGATCTACGATATCCAGTGTTGTGGTCGTGGATGTCGGAGCATCAGTAGTCACAGCCGTCGTGGTAGATTCCGTGGTGGCGACAGTAGTAGTCAGGATAGAGGTAGTGGTAGAAGATGTGTCAATTGAGCTCGTAGTTGTGGTAGTGGTAGTGGCTACAGTGCCCGAGGCTGACCTAGCTTCGACAGTAACAGCCTGGAACCCATCCACGGCACTTGGAGCAGACTCTTTGGCGGCAACGACAGCACCTTCTTTGACGTAGAAGCTTGCAGTGCTTAGACCGAAGTCCTGGTTAGAAAAGCCCAAGCCTGTACCAGAAGTTGACCATTCAGTACAGATAGCTGTCGCGCATGCGGCTTCGGAGAATATCTCGAAAGCCGAGTAATCTAAGCCATCTGCCGGAACACCCACATAACCATCATCGCATTCGAGGAACCCGTTTGCAGTGATGGAGAATTCGGTAGCGTCATCTTCTTCGTCAACATAAGTGATCACACCGCCGTTAACAGCCATGTACAAAGAATCTGTCGAGCGCTTCATGTTTGACCCATGGAAGCTGACGATGATTCGTGTTTGTACTGGACCAGGACCCATAACACTTGTGGTTATACCAGCATGCGGAGAAGTGGTAGATGGCAGAGTAAAGGTAGAAGATATAGTTGTGATTTGGATATTAGAGGATGTAGTCATATCAGCCGAGAGAGAAGTTGTGGTAGTAGAAGTCGTAACAGCATCAACAGCCTCTGAGGTAGTGGTTGTCACTGGTATAATGTCGACGGTAGTGGTCATCGTGCTAGTAGATGTACCCACGTTCTCTGTGGTCGAAGAGCTCGTGACGACAGCTTCAGGGAGGTCTGATGTAGTGCTGGATGCCAGTGGAGTTCCTGCAGCCACTGTTGTAGTTGTGCTGGTAGGCAGAGCATCTACACTCTCGGTTGTTGTGGTCGTTGAAGCCCCAACAATCGAAGTCGTGGTAGTCGTCTGGGCTTCTAGAGTTGTCGTGTCGACAGTGGATGAGGAAGTGGTACCAAGCGCTGCATCTGTTGTGCTCGAGCTAGAAGTAATCAGATCAGAAGTGGACGAGCTAGTTGCGATTACTCCTGCATCAGTTGTGGTTGAGCTGCTGACGATTGGGTCATTTACGGCCAGAGTGGTCGTAGTAGTGACGGCTGCAGTTGTAGTAACAGCACCAAGCGAGGACGTACTGGCGGAGGTAGTTACAACAGAAGTCGTGCCAGTAAAAGAGAAGCTAGAAGAAGTGCCATCAAAGACTGGTGGAAAGACAGATCTAGACGTCGTTGTGGTGACTGGAGATGGTCCGTTGACGACAGGAGAAGTTCCGGCAGGTGTCGTTGTGCCAGACATGGTGCTCGAGCTTGTAGATGTGCCAGCAGCAGGTACAACTGCCGTCGTCGACGAGGTCGACACGCCGACGACTGGGGTGCTAGTAGATGACACGGATGGGCCATGGACGGTTGTCGAAGTTGCAGGGGTACTGGTAGAGCTTGTACCTGCCCCTGTGGAGCTGGTTACACCAGTAGTCGAGCTGCTGAGGCTCGGGGTCGTACTGACCGAAGCTGTGGTAGAGATACTCGTGGTTGGTTGAGCAACTGCCAGAGATGTAGTGGTGGTTGTCACGGCACTCGTTGTGGAGCTGCTGGCAGCTGGAACGACAGTAGTCGTGCTGGATAGAGCTGTGCTGGTAGAAATTGTGGTTGAACTTCCTACGATCGGCTGAGCAACGTCCAACGTTGTGGTCGTGCTTACAGTGGTAGTCGGTTGGACATTATCCAGCGAAGTAGTGGTAGTTAGAGTGGAGGTACCGACTACCGGAACGGCTGAGGTCGTGCTGTCTAAAGTTGTGGCCGAGGTGCTGGCAAGTGGCTGAGCACCACCTGATAGCGTGGTCGTTGTCGTGACTGAGCCATCGACGAGTGGAGAAAGCGGAGTTGTGCCCACTGAAGTTGTAGTCAAGCTGCTGGTGGGTGGTTGAGCGACATCTGACGAAGTAGTGGTTGTAGTGGAGCTGCTAACTGCTGGAGCGCCTGTGGTTGTGCCTGCCGGTGCATCTGAAGTTGTACCAGCTGAAGTTGTAGTTGAAGTGCCTACAATCGGCTGGCCAATCTCTGACGAAGTGGTAGTAGTCGTAGTAACGCCTGGGACTTCTGGAACGACTGAAGTCGTGC